CCTCCTCCCCTCCTTTCCCCCCCTCTCGTGTTACGCCACTCCCCCTGAAATCAACAACAACCCCCCCATTCCCATTCCTAAACCCCCCCCTCAACCCCCCGCCCTCATAAACCCTCTCGGTCCTCACCGCATCCGCCGTCGTGGCATCATCCCTCCGATCAGACGGTAAAGCGTGCAAAGCACGGGAGATCAAGCGGCCATCGCGGTAGAGAGCCGCAGAGACGGTGGGCTGGTAGTATTTGTGGGCTTTGGCGACGAGGCGCATGAGTGCTATGTCGTAAGGCCCGGCGCGGGCGCGGATGAAGAGGGCGTCGGTTGATTCGTGCGTCCAGACGAGGGGGAGCCAGGAGCGGTCGAGGCCGCCGAACGTTCCTTTTTCTTCTTTGTTGTTGGCGTCTGTGTCTGTGGTGACGTCGGTGGTGGATGGAGAAGAAGAAGAGGTGAGGAGAAATTGTTTAGGGATTGTAGGCACAGGAGGATGGGAAGGGGGTTGGCCCGGTTTGGTAGGGGGTGGAGGTGGATAGGCCGGGTCGTTGATGAACAGGGTCAGGTCGGCGTCGATGTCGGCTACGGCGATGGGACGCATCCAGTAGGCGCCTGGAGCAACTTCTGCTTCGCGGGCCGTGGCTGGGAGGGTGGTATACCCCCGCGAACGCTGGGTTAGCGTCCCTGTGATACGCCCTGGCGCGTTGAACGTCACCGTCGCGGTGGACAAGTCACCAGCCACATCAAACGACGCGGTAATACCCGGAGTACTCTCGCCAGTAGTCCGCCACACACCAGTAACCCTCCCCCCCTCATGCACCTCCACCACCGACTCCGGCGTGACCAAATGCTGCGACCAAGCCGTGCCATCCGCCCAGAGGGCGTTGATAGCGACGCGGTACGGGTTGGGAGCTTGAGAGCCGTCGCGGAAGAAGGAGGCTGTGAAGGCTGCGCTGCCGTCGGAGGCCATGCCGTCGAAGAGCCAGGTCTCGACGGCTGTGGGGCTGAGGTGGGTGGGCCATTTGGGGAAGAGGTTGCCGTCGTGGGGGGTGAAGGGGGTTGAAGGGAGGGGAGTGGGGGAGATGGATGTGGGAGTGAGATGGGAGGTTGTGGGGGTTTCTGTGGCCATGACTGGGGGGTTTGAAGGGATTGGAGGGAGGGTTGAAGGGGGGTCTGAAACAGATGTGGTAGGGGAGGGTGATGAGAGATGGGGCTTGAACAGACGGAGGAGAGACGGAAGGGGATTGGGTAACGGCATGAGGGATTTGGTTGGATAAAGCTCCAATGGAGGATCAGATGTGTGTCAAAGTGTTTGTCTCCAAGTATTTGTTTTTATTTGGCATCAAATCATTTTTAATGGTTAAGCACCCCCTTCCATGCTGATCGAGAGACAATAATGTGATAGAACGGCGACTCGGAGTCCTTCGGCCTACGGCGGAGTGCCCAGCCGCAATGTTGCATCGGGTCCGAGGTGATTGCGAATACATACATGTAATTGTAATTCTGAGGTGACACCGAAAAGTACCGACAATATGTTCGGAGCTAAGCCGGGGTACAATGCGGATCTATCTCGGAGGATCTAACAAATAATACTTCTGCAATGGCCAACAGCCCATCCTGTGCATAATATTCGACATGCCTTTTTGGTTGAAAAGTGGATAACGCAACCTTCAACTCCGACTCCGACGGTCGTCACACAGCATGCCTCGGCGCTGACCTGAGCACGGCAGACCGGCCGCCGGATCGGGAGCCGACGGGTTGAAGGTGTCTGGCCTGGTAGTTGGTGCCGTGGTTGGCCCCGGATCCGTGCTTGCGTATGTGTCTGGTGTCAAGGATGTGGAGGATGTCCGGAAGTTGGTCAAGGTGTGAAGCACAATGGTTGAGCACATTAGACCAAGCGGTAAGCTGACCACATAAGTTGGGGGGTTGTGGGATGCGTGATAGAAGTGATAGAAACTAAAGAATGCGAGGCGGGATCTGGGTAAAGACTGAATCCTTCAGGAGACAGACCTACGCGTTATCAAGTGAAACATGTTCAGGCAAGGCTAGGATAGTTACACCTATGATCTCTGTACTAGCTACCCCTTTTGTACACCGGTCAAGCAGTGAATACTTCTGACCAACGCACTGAAGAGAATCGCTGATGTGCGGTACTCCTTGTTTGACTGGGAGTTGGTGGATTCCAGCCATACTTTACTTGATCCATGAATATCAAACACATATTATTCTGAACATAATTCAACGCTCCAACGTCCCACGCTAACCTGTAAACCACCCCCACATCCCCCCTAGTACATGTCTTGATACTCGCTGTCTGTGCCTAAATCCCAAGTGCCGCGTATCTTACATTTATTTCACTTTGACTCTTTGTGTCCTAGTCAATACATTCTCAACGCTCCCTACTATGTATGTCATCGTCCAGTATTCATATCAGTCCACGCAAACGTACTCATATGTGCCATAGTCAGACGCTCCCCCAGGCGCCGAGCTTTTCTTTTGTTGAATTCGAACATCTCTTCAGTGCCTACTCCGCCATAGGCTCACCCCCCTGAAACGGAAACGCGACATCGTCCCAGGCGAGATTCAAACTAAACGACGCGGGAGCGTGGAGGATGTATTCTGTTTTGTCAGCATCACACACACCAATCACACACCCACCCAATCCAACCCGCACCTCGACTGGGAAAGAAAGAAACGCGTTCACTCACCCGTCTGCGAATACTCCCACACAGCCTGCCCTTGATGCGGCTCCCTCTCTTTGGCCTCCCGTTCCTTGTTCTCCCCCCTCGCCCCCAAATGTCCGGATCCGCCCGTGTACTTCTCCTTTTCTCTCCCAAGTAATCCCTGCAAATCAGGCAACCCCCTCAACCTCTCCGCAGCTTCCCTCGCATCCCGCGATTCTGCTCCGGCTCGCACCCACAAAGGGTAGGTATCCCGTAGTAGGTCACGAATTTGCGTTCGGTCGTCTTCCGGATGGCTGTGCCCGTTGTGATTGTGGTTGTTGAGATTGAGGGTGGTCAGATCGAGGGTGCTGAGATCGAGAGCCGGGATGTGAGGTAAGGCAGTGCGGGTGAGTTGTAGGTAGTAGCAGGCTACGCTCATGCCGAGGAGAAAGGTGGATTGGATGAGGGAGGAGCGCATCCAGCGGACTTCGGCGGATTTGGGTTTGATTTGGGGGGTGTTTGTTTCCGGTGCTGGTGCGGTGGCTGTAGTGGTTGTTGCTGTTGCTGGGCCTGGCTTGGAGGAGGAAGTGGGCCTCGAAGAATCGCCGCTGGGAGAGTGAGACCGGTTCTCAAGCAGTAGTTGGAACTCGAGGATTTTGACTGCTGCTCGCACGCAGGCGGCCCGGGAGTACTCATAGCGTGCTTGGCTGTAAGCTGGTGCCAGGTACTTCCGATGTAACCAGACCGTCAGCCGCAGCACGCCCAGACGTAGCCACAAGCTAAACAGCTGCACTTCGGGGCCTGTCTTGAGACCACCACCACTGCCCGGTGACTCCTTTTCTTTCCCGCTTTTGTTGTCAGTTTGGCTAGCCAAAGCCTGCCAGCGAAAAGCAGGTGGCAACGAAGCCTCAGCCTCCCTTAGCCTCCGATCCAACTCCAGAATCTCACTATACGGATGATCCCTAGTATCAGCCACCAAATCCGACACCGGCCCCGCCACCCGATCAATCCGATTCTTCGCCAACGAATACAACACCGGCGTAACCTCCGTCTCAGGCCTCGACACCGGCAGCACAGCCGAATGCTCGTCAAAATCCGCATCCAACAAATTCCTCGGTTCCGCCGTACTACACTGCGTAGCCTTCAACAAATGCGGCAGTCCCATCTGAATCGACAACCGCAAATCCATCTGCACCACCGCCGCCCACACCCTCCTCCTCATCTCCCCCGCAAACACCGAAATCCCCGGAAACCCATCCGGATCGCGATGATACCCACCACTCACCGCCAGCGGGACCATAATCCCCAGCGGTAGCCAGGGTCCCACATCCGCGTCGCGGCTATTGCATAGTTCACTGGCGCAGTAATTAATCATGGTCTCGATCACGTACCGGCCGCCTTTGGTGTATTGGCCGAGAACGAGACAGTGGACAATGCGCTCGTGGAAATGGTGGGCGCGGGCGCGCGTGGCGGATTCTTCGCGGGGGGTGTGGCCGGGCGGGTGCAGTTGGTCGGCCAGGCAGATGACGCTGAAGAGGAGGCCTATCCAGGGGAGGGGGGCCGAAAGAGGGGAGTGCCAGAAGGTTTCGTACTGATTTCTTAGTGAGTATATCTACTTAAAAAGGGAATGAGAGAAGGAGCGGAAGAATACCTCGCGCAGGAACTGAGCAGTATGTAAAATCGCTGCTGTCATTAGCCTGCATCCTCCACAAAAACACAACACAGACACAGAGAGAGAAAATACCCGGCACAGTCCCCAAAGCCCCAAAATACCGCGCCACCATGCGATCCACCACCGGCCTCGCCGGCATCGACGACAGGATATCCGCCTTGGTGTCGCGCACCGGCTCGTATAGGAGCCTTGGCACGGGAAATTCTTGTCTCGGCTCTTGTTCATGTTGAATGCTCCCTTGACGTTGCTGCTGGGGTTGGTGTCGCTGCTGGTGATGTTGATATTGACGTTGACCCCCCAAAGGTTGCCCCGGCAACGCGGGCATTCCCGTCCCTATTCCTACGTCTTCCTGCATCGTTACTAGCCCTGTCTCTCCCCGTCCCCAACTCCCCCTTATGACCTGGCCTCCCGACTCACGGCCCTCAGATACAGACGGTGACAACGACCCTTCATCCCGTCCTTCTTCTTCCCCGGGTGCAGTCTCCTCGCAGTATGCGATGAGTTCCGAAATACTGTCGAGAACGGCCGCCCAATGGACACTACTGGCGTAGTAGTTGGCTGAACCCTTTGGATGATCGCGCGTGCGCATCGTGCCGTGTTCTGAGTGGGTGTTACTTCCTGTTCCATTGTCTGTGACATTCGCGGCATCTCTGTCTCTGTCCCTCAGATCGGTTGTGGGTTCAACGGTCCTGGGATTACTGGGGTCGGGAACGCGTTCTGGGCAAGGTGTGATGGGCGTGTTGAATCGCTGCTCGAGGGGCTGGTCAAGAGGGATTATCCGAGAGGATATAGAGGCTGGTGTGAGGAGGTGGGTAGTTGGGCCTGGGGAAGCTGACGATGCCGTTGGGGTTTGGGCGTGGGTTTGCCATAGTTCCGGGACGGGTTGAAGCTGTGGGACTTGCGTCTGGGGGATATGCGCGACTAGTTGGTGTTGGAATTGGAGGTGAGGAGATAAAGGTCCTTGAAGTGGGATTTGTTGATTTTGATGTTGGTTTTGATGTTGGTTTTGAGGAGCCTGGGCATTCTGCTGATGGTGTTGCATGAGCGAGCGCACCATCTCCTCGAGCTGCTGGAGTCGTTCGCTGACGTTGATTGCACTCGGCCGCTGCTGGGGCAGTTGTTGTGGACGGGTTGTGTAGGTGCATGATAGCGACAGTCCTTTCGCTACGCACACGGCGCAGGGAAGTTGACGGTCACATCGGATTCTAAGAGAGTCAGAAAATCGAAATTTGCAGGTCGTCCGTTTCTCCGGATTTGAAGGAATATCTCATGAGCTACTGGGCTATCATGATGCTTGATTCGATATTTCTGAAACAGGTAACACTGAAACCGAGTAACTAGTACGTACTTGCGCCGCTTGCAGTAGTTGCACGACAGCTGCGGTTTCTCCCGTCGCCTGTCTCGTGGCTGTGGTTGTTGGTGCTGCTGCTGTGAAGCCATCCCCGAGTCGATCTGATCCTGCGTGTGTATCTGAGCTGTCGTATACGCTGTTGAGTTGACGGCCATGTAGTCGTAGTCGTAGTCGTTTGTATCCCAAAACGTGGGCCCCGCCGACGATAGCGCCGGTTCTAGCGGGAACCCCTCCATGTCGTTGTACCCCTTCGAACTACCCGATAGACCAACCAACTAACCACAATAGATTGCCCTGCCAACTGAGACATGCGGACTGCCCTCCGTCCCACCTGCTCCCAGCTGTCAAGTGTACCGTCAACTGCACCGGCTTCTTCCTCGCTCGCAGCCGGCTGCGCGGCAATGGTTGGTCGGGGTCTTTCGGGCCGTTCTTCGGTGACGAATCCGTGGCGGGGACGGGCGGACTCAGAGTTGCAGAGCTGCAGAAAGGTCGCTGAGTCGCCGAGTTGCAGCGTCGTGGAGTCCCATCAGAACTCGTCTCACCACGGCGCATTCGACGGGGCAATCGGCGGACGAAGGGCCGGCCGGTTACATATAGCCCATCAAACGAACACAGCACGTCGTTTCCATGGCTTCAGCCCATGCTCTATATGGTTTAAACTCCATGTCATACTCCATGAGCCTCTTCTTGGCTTGCTTCCATTTCCCCTTCTTTTCACTTCTTCTCGGGCTTGGCCGTTGCTTTGTCCGTCGTCTTTTACGTGTTGTTGTAGCAGGCTGGCAGGTTTTGTTTGTCCGGCACCAGCCGTCTTACGCTCTGGTTTTGTTGTAATGCCACCCCTCACCCCATTGTCGGGTACCCTCCCTCCTTTAGGGGTGGCTAATGTGGCTAATGTGGGGGATGCGCCGAGGTGATGTAGGCTCCGGGGACGGCAGGTCGGGATTCTGGTTCAGGGCCAGGGTCCAAGCAGGGTTCAAGGTCAAGCGTGAGTTTGTACTAACAGCACCATGTAAGTTGAAGGCCGGAGTTACCGTTAGATACCGTTGGAGCATACTGTCATCTTGTTGTGTTGGACAAAGAATCTTTTTAACCACAACCAAACGAACTTAACCGCTCCTACTCCTGTATTATCAAACGATTCTCCCCTATTTCTCGCACTGAACACCCAATAACTCAACTCTCGTCTGTCTTTCCCAGATCAGAAATACAGTCCAACCCACCAAAGGAACCTCCCGTCCCGCCGTAGCTTCGGCGATAACACCTGCATCAGTGCATCTGCCTCTCCTCCCGTTGGAAGACGGCCCTTCGGACGCCCCATCTAATCAGCTGCACGCCAAGCGTAAGCCACTGTAGAATTCCGCCCTCAATAACCCGTCGAATCAACAGCCAGCGAGAAAACCGACAACACAGATGTAGCGCAGTTATTAATTCCGGCTCAGCCTGGGCGGGGAAGTATGAAAAGGAGAAGAGCAAGTGGATGAATAAATTAGTGAGGGGTAATTTGTGTAAAGCAAGCCTTGCGCAGGGCCCGATCTGGTGTAACCCTACTTCCATATCATTGCGAGCGCGAGTGGCGTGTCTAGTGTCAGTGTGGTGTGTATCGGACAAGTTGACAGCAGGCTGTGTCTCTCTGTCAATCTGTCATGTGTGTTACCATGCAGCAAGTTTCACCTTCGGGCCGTACTTGGGGTGGGACAGCATATCTGATGGTGGTGACGGATTTGCCGATGGTTAGCGAAAGGAGGGGATCGGGGATTTGCCATTCTAGTCGGAATATTCGTTTTCTGTTTTCTCGTTCCAGGACCTACGGGACTGGCAGCTGGCTTTGTTGTCTGTCTTTGGCTGTCTTTGCGGCGTGGAATCCGGGGTTCGACTTTCGTATCGGGACTCGGGACTCGGGACAATTTCAGCGAGAGAGCAGTTCGTGGTTTGGTTTTGTTACACAGGAGCCAGGTTTCAAGGCGTTGACGCATGTGCGTTGGGTGAATTAGGGCGAGATCGTCACTTTTTTTCCTGTTTGTGGTTGGTTACATAGCATCTCACCCCATCTTTCTCGTGGTCTCCTCCTGCTTTCCCCTGTCCCCACTAAACAAAGTTCCGAGAAGGCCTTAGCTCGCATGGGGACACCGAGGTGAATGTAGAATGGGTGTGATGCTAGCCGCTGAATAAGGAGTTTTAAGTGTGTATTCGTATTTCCCCTAATCATGTAAGTACGGAGTATCCTCAATATCAATCAACACCAATGTATCAATGTTATTGCCTCATATTACGCTCTTAAAATTACCTTCGGAATTCCAACTCACAAATCTCCCCCAAAAAAATAAGCCGAGATCAAAACACCGGGTCTGGGCAAACTCTTGGCTTCTCTTGGTCCGATCGGAAGATTTCTTTCGAATGTTCTCTCATCCCATCAAAACCAAGACCACAAAAACTGGTTCGTCCTACCCGCCAAGAAACTCCCAAGACAATGCCCAGCCTGTATGAAGCACCCTTCGCATGAGCTCATCACCACTCCCACAAAACGTGCTCGGCCCTTCCCCCCAGCGAGAATGAACGAATTGTGCCCAGAACACGCAAGCTCGCAAATAGCAAAACAGGAATGTCCCAAGCTTTTTTTTGCGTCGTTTATGCTTACCGGATTGATGGCCCTGCAGGCCGGTCAAGGCATCGGGGTGGGAAAGCCAAGTAAGCCAAGCAACGAGACGGGAAGAAGCCAAGACGGGATGATCTGGGAGAAAAGAAGCTGGAGGGGCGGGGAGTTCGGGTTCGGCCTGGAGCGAGCTGCTTCGGCATTAACTAATTGTTGTTTTGTCATTTTTAAAGGTGTAAAGTGCAGGTTTTTTTTTGACGTGAAGTGATGGCGACAGATGAAAGATGAGAGTTGAGAGGTAGAAACACGGGATCTGAGTTGGAGATGCTGTTCGGTGGGTTGCGTTCAACATATATACGAATCTGTCCACATGATTCGACGTTCCTGAAGGCGCTGACGCCCGAGTAAAATGGGGGTACGCCGGGAGACGCACCCAGACGCTGTGCTGCAACGCTCGTCCAACGACCCGCTGTCAACCTCTGCACTACACATTATGGTCACAGCGACAACATGGCCAGAGCGACACTGTCGCAGCGCGTTTCGACAACCCCTCTGACTCGTGGCACCTCGTGCGTGGAGAAATATACTCTCCGAACGCACGCAGAATGCCCCAGAATGATATTCTGCACATAATCAGATGGCAAGGGAGTTGCATATAGTTCTGACTGTCGATCTCTCTGGCCTGCTGCGATGATACTCTTTCCCCTATTTTCTTACTTTCCATGAAGAATAAACGTGAGAACGAGACTTGACCACGTGGATACCACACGACTGGTGATCGACCCATATGCCCGTCGCTCTGCCCGTCAATGTCCGCGAACATGCCCGGGACGAGGCGAAAGCTGCCAAGAACACCTGAGCAACAACGAAGCTCAGCAACGTACGCAATCAAGCGATCAAGGGCGCGAGTTACAGACAAAGTGGATGGCAGAATTTCTTGGTATTGTCTGGAACAAACGCTGGGTATTGCCAAGACGTGCCAGCACTGCCAGGTGGTGAGGTTGTGGGCTGACAGGGTAGTAACGCCGTGTCGATCCGCTAACCGATTGGCTTTCTGGGCGTTGAACAGGGGCTTCCGGGGGGATTGGGGGGAATTGGTGGGAGGTCAGCTTTCAAGCATGTTTCCCAGGTTGAAACTCTGCGATGCAAACGTTATCAATCAATCTCGTGTCCGAGGAACCCCGATGTCTGTCTTTTGAGAGTGAAAAAGAGAGAGCCGGGGAAAACATTCCGCTGGCCTTGGGCCGTTTTGAGGTTCGGTGTGCGATGCAGAAAGAGGGTGGGATTACCGGGAAACAGTTCAGGGTCCTGGGGAGGATGGGAATCTTGGCTGAGATTCACGCTTCTCGAAGTGGGTTGCTATGGATGTCGAGTCGGAATCCTGAAGTCGTCAACAAAACGCCACATTTTGTGAATGGCGGAACGGACCGGGGCTTAAGCCGATTTGACGCCTCGATGGTTTTCCGTTGACTGCTTTTTACCGTCTTCCTCTTTTGGCTGACAGCCTGACGTCGTGGTTAACGCCTCACATACAAACAGACATGCCACGGCGACACGACATGGCATTTGCATTCTCACCGGCGGCGGAAATACCCCCGCGCGACGCATCATCGCCGTCCAGTCCTCAAATCGAGCGGCATGCTGCGGGTCGTGATTTCAGGAGAGAGAGGTTGTACACCGGGCGGTCCCAGCGTCGTATTGCTGTCCGCTGCCCCCACTCTGTTGTTCTGTCCCGCCTTCTGTCCCGCCTTCTGTCTCGCCTTCTCGACGTGTTCTTCCGGTGGATTGATCAGTGGACTGCAGCTTGTGGGTTGCGAGCCAAAACAACCTCCGGTCCTCCGCAATTCTCCGGGTGACGCTTCGCAGCCCACGCTGCGCGGAGATGTTCTCTCCCAGGCGGAAGAAAAGAGGACGTCGTCTCTTTCGCTCGCTTGGAACAAGAGCATCGCACAGCATGCTGAGGTGAGGATGAAGATGGAGGGCAAAATAAGCCTGGCTGATGTTGTTTCCTGTCTGGGACCCTGGTGGATGCACAAAAGCAAGCAAGCACTTTATTCTCTTCGATCCTTTTCCGGTGTTTTTCCATCGTTTGTTGGTTTCTTCGTTCTTCGTTAGTTCGCATATCCCGCTGTCCCGTTGTCCCGCCCTGCAGTTTTGTGGTTTGTGGCTTGCTCCCCACGTCGGCTCGGCCCATGTTAGCTCGGCGTTTCGTCCCTTGACGCCACGGTCTCAAGGTTACACACTAAGTTAGAGCCTCTTCTCCTCCGCATTCTCCTCCGAACGAAACTGCCCGCGCCGTCATCATTATGTCCGTTCTGACCGTTTAGTCTGCGCAATGTTGTTCCGTGTCCGAGTTGACAACGCAAAATAACACCAAAAAAGAGATCAAGATAGCTTCATTTTTGTTTTGTGTTGGTAATCTGTCTGTCCCCTGCTGGCAATCATGCTTGCGGCCCGCAGGCAGAGATCGGACGAGAGGATCGCAACATGCCATCTGCATGTTTCGTCTATCTGCATGTCTCTTTTTCCCATGTATGTCTCGTCCTGGATTCCGCATTTGCTTGAGTACTGCCTGAGTAAATGATGTGATTCTCGGCAACGTGCAGTGCAAGGCGAGCTGGTGGTCCCTCGCTGCAGTCCCTCTCTGCAGAAAAAAAGACAGACCCTTGATTTGATCTCGGTGTTTTGCGCGTTCATCGTCTGCTTTGAGAAAATTACCCAAAAGGCTCCGAACGCCACAAACTGCCACCATCTAATCGCAAGCCGCTTGGCTTCTTGGCTTGACTTGACCCCCATGCTGGTGGTCTGATCGTTATTGACGATTTTCCCGGGGTCCCCGCACATCGTCAAGTATTTTGGTGTTTTATCTGATTTTCCGAGTATTTTTGGTTGTTGATCTCTGCAATGGGCCATAATTACCTCGACTTCGGAATCGTTATTGCCCCCAAACCCCGTGCGTATCGCTCGTAAGATCAAATCCACCGATCTGGAAAAAATCAGATAAAACCCGACCTGCCGCAACGAGAGAAACGACTCGTCAAGCGGCTCTTGGAAGGCAAAGCGCCAAGAGACACTAAAACCCCCCTAGAAGCCGCCACGGAGGCACGGCGTCTTTTCGCGCCGGCATTTTTGACAACCCAGACGGGAAAAGAAGGGTGTAAAAGGGTGTGTACAGTGATGAACAATCACAAAATCTGACAGCCTTGTTGGGGACTTGAGGCGTGAGAATGACCCGGAAGAAGAGGGGGGAGTCGGCGTAGGTTTGCGGCGTAAGCTGAGTGTAATTTTGAGCCGATGGTGCAGCCGCTGTCACCCACCGCTGCAGTGCAAGCCCGCTGCCAACTTCGAGGCATGTCTGCTTGGGAGGGGGGAAGAGGGGGGGTAAAGAGCAAAAGGGGGGGACCCTTTTTTGGGCGGAGGGGCGTTGGGCTTGCAGGTGAACCGAGGGGAAAGCGATGAGGGCTGGGCCGGGACCGGTAGGTTAGACTCGTTAGAGGTTGTTTGCAGCGGGCGCTAGACACGGAATGGAGGCCTCGTTTGTGTGTGCCCGGAGGTATGCAAGCGGCGTGTGGACTGTGGAGTGGGAGCGGATCGACGCTAAGCTGGATTGCGAGAGTGCGGCGGGTATCTGATCTGATGTGGCGTGTGGATGTTGGCGGGTGTGCGTGAGTCCCGGGCTTGTATAGAATGGTCGGTGTGGCCGAGATAATAACCGCGAGAGGGTATTATACCGAGCATCGCCAGCTCTGAGTTGCTCCTGGCTGACATTGAGCCTGAGATCTATGGTTTCACCGAAGCATTCGTTAGCTGTCCTTCGTTTTCCATCAACATCAGCTCGAGTTATACTTAACTCTTCCACACTTATGTCAACATCGTGATTTCAACCAAACAACGACACCACATACATTGTCACCAACATTTTCACCAACATTTTCACCAACGTCATCATGTTCCAAACAGAAACATCCGCCCCCCTCCAGTCGATCCGCTCGTCGTGTGACCGCTGCCGGCTGCAGAAACTCAAATGCACTGTGCAAGCCGTCGAGCCAGACGGCCGCATGGTGTGCGAGCGCTGCGTACGTGCTAAAGTACCGTGTGTCTTTGGACGACGCCGACGTGCTAGTCGGCCGAGCGAGTCCAAAAAACAGCAGCAGCAGGCGGACAAAGAGTCAAACACGGCCACAACTGGTTCGACAACGCCTTCAGCAGTAAACGTCAAAAGGGCTTCTGCACCCACGTCGGTGCCTCTTCAACTTCATACCCAGAACCAGCACCAGCACCAGAATCAACACCAGCATGTCCATCACACGCACAGCCATAGCCATGGTCATGGCCGGTTCCCCAGCCTCGATACCGGCGTGCTGACCCCCCCGTTGTCGACCATCGACCCGCCATTCGGCCTCGACACGCCCATGGAAACTCTCATGGACTGTGATTCTGAAGGGTCAGCCTACTTTGGTCTTCCGTCGCGGGATACATCTGTCTCGGCCGCAGCTGGCTCAAGCGGCTTCCCCTGTTCATCGTCCACCTGCATGGACGTGGACGTGGACAGCCAAAGTCTCTCCCATCAGGGTCTCCATTCTCCATATCAAGTCAGTGCCAGCGCCAGCACCAGCGGCAATATGATGGACTGGGGCTGGCTAGACGAGAACCCTTTTTCAGGAACCCAACATGGATCATCAGCCATGGACGAGCTGTACTGTCTCGATCCAGAGCTGCTCGGTACAACCACCACCACCGGCACAGACATGTCCACTCCATCCTCCGGCGCACCCTCACTCAGCATGGGCTCAACACCAACCGATTACACCCAGGCCCTAGTGTCATCATCCATTCTGCTCGAAACCAGCAGCACCAACCCTAACCCTGACACTCCTTTACCAACCACCACCCTCTCAACAACAACAACAGTAGATTCAACACCTTCAGCCCCTCGCCGTCTCCCAGCTCTGATCGCTGAAATGCAACAGCGCCTCGAACTGCTCGAGCACGGCGGCTGGCTAGACCCTCCCGGCCCGGGCAGCGACGATATCAGCCACGCCCGCAGCTTTGACCGGTATCCCATCGGGGCTGTCTTAAGACTGACACAGGAGTTTGGCGCGCTCACGGGGGAGGTGTGGGTTGCCCCCTCATTATCAGCCGGGTGTTGTAACGGGTCAGACAGGTGTGAGAAGGGAGACGGCCTGGGACAAGGGCCGAATGTATCGACTGTGTTGTTGGTGTTGGGGGGTTATGTCCTGCTTGTGCGACTGCATGCGTTGGTGCTGGCGCATTTGCATGCTCATCTTGAACGCTTGCCGTCTCCGCACTCTCATGGCCATTCTCATGCCCACTCTCACAGTCCAACCCTCACACCAGACCAAGACTCCCCCCCCTCCCACCAAGCCCCAACAACCCCCACCGGCTCCAAAGCGATGAGCATGGGCGTGAGTATGACAATGATATCAAACCGTCTGAGACTAGCCGACCTCCTCCCGCACAGCAGCCCGCCCATCGTCCCGCCCGAGGTCAGTCGTATCCATGCCGCGCTGGGTATGCTGCTTGCCGCGCTGCATGGGGTCGAGGCTCAGTTGGGACGTGGGGGGGAGAGGGTTAGGGGGTTGGTTGTTGCTTTGGTTAGTGGGTCGGGGTCGGGGTCTTCGGGGCTGGGAGGGTCTGCGGAGTCGGGGGTTGAGGGATTTGGTGTTCTTGGGGGGTTGGAGCAGGGGGCGTTGCAGGATGGGTTGGGAGAGTTGGGGGAACGGGTGAAGTTGGTGAAGGCGTTGTTGAGGGAGAAGATGGGGTTGTGAGTTGTTTGTAGAGACAAGAAAGGGGGATAAGATTAGGAAGGAAGGATACATGTAAATAGAGATTGTAAATATGATGAATCATGCTTGATGTCTGCGCTTCGGGATCCACATGAAACGGTCAAGTGAGGGGTTGGGTTGTCTCGGCGGGAAGGATTCGTTGGATGGTCGGTTGATCTGTCGACTGCCGGCGAGTTGTGGCTACCGTGGTAGCGGTCCGCTAGGACAAAACGGCTTTTTCATGCATCGTCCGCATTGTTTTCGGGCGGTGGCATTGTGCTCAAGACGGTGATCATATATGATATGGATACCTATGCTGATACGACACAACCGACGAGCAGCTTGCCGAGCACGACTGAGACATCCCGTGGATTAGAAGAATACGTACGCGCGTCACAGCAAATCTGCATGTCTGTCGATCCGTCTCGCTCCGAGTACGTCCCTGCGGAATTCTTAGTGGAGTATTGGGCAGCAGTATTATCTCAGAGACGGCCCAACAGCAAGCGAGAAACCGAGCAACCGAGCAAACAAAAGGCAGAAAAAGCAACCAAGCAGAAACCAAGACATAACCGACGGGGCGGCCGCGTGGCCTGTACAGCATCTCATCAGTCGTCACCGCCAGTCACGCTTGGTCAAGCTTGCGAGCGACGTTGTAACCGGCTCGAGAAACAGCACAAGAAGCAACATAGCGAGCGGTCAAATGTACACGTGGTGCGGAGATAGTACTGGTTTCTGTCCGCACATTCCTCGTCCGCATATTGCTCAGGCGAAGACCGAGGGAGTGACCGTCGGCTGTGGTATCAACGCAACGTCAAGTCGGTGTTTAAGTTGGATACATCCATCTCATGATCAGGATCAGGGATCGGAGGAGAATAAAGAGCGGAACAAAGCAGTTAACAGATTTCCGACTGATTTTCGTCCTTATTCGCTCCCGGTGAAAGTGTTGAACGGTCAGGGACGTACATCAATCTCAACAGATCCAGCAGGAATCAGGAAATCACAGACATCTGCGGAAGTTGCTAGAATTCTTAGCAATCAAACATAGAATTATCGGAGGCTCGGTTCATCTCCCGCGTGGCCGAACTCTGGTTCACAAGTGCACATCTCCAGCGGTTGACGGCAATAGCAACGTTGCCTAAGCCCATAAACCGGCCCATAAACCAGACCCATCCATACTTTGAACAATAACATGACCTCTTATTCATCACATCATCACACCTTAATCTAATTTCCAGTGGTTCTCCAACAAAAACCCATAAATTCAAACCACGAGGGCCCGGCTTCACCAAGATCGGGACTCTTCGCATGTCTCAGTCCCGCATGCTTCAGTGTCGCATATCCAGCACCTTACGAGTTACGAAGCAGAGCGGGAAGGGTCCGCGGACTGCGGAATTCATCCAGTTGGTCGACCGACTTGCGAACCGTTGGCAAATCTCAGACCAGAGTGTAACCTCAATTCCGATGGGTCTCGGAACCAGCAGCCGAGGCAGTGACAACCAAACGAGATCCCAAATGAAATGAAATCCGATTGTCCTTCCGGCAACCCAGGGACTGTTCGTACCGACCGCTCTGCTGCAAAATTTGCAAAAGTTGCAAACGGCCAAGTTCGGATATTTTCGGCCCCCTTTCGACGCGTATGCAGGGCTTGGCATTCACGGGTGTTGATGCAGCGGAATTGTAACACAGCCGGACGGTGAAATGGAAAACCGGAATCGGCCGAAAGCGCGACCCGAATGAAAGTTGACGACCGAAAAGTTCAGTCGAAGGAACGGGTGACCGGCGTTGGGTTCGGTCGGAGTGATGCTTGATTTTAGCATGGATGAGAACCCGATCGGAAGATATCAAACATATGACATATGAAGCATATCAAAGTGAGAGAAACCAAGACTTGAGCGTGAGCTCTGTGATCAACTGATGACCCAACTGTCCATCCTCCAATTACCCAATCTATTTCCCTCCCAAAAAAGGTCCATCTATTTTCTTCCCAGAAACCATCCTCTTCAAAATCACCCAAAAAGAAAACCCAAGAAAAACATCATGACCACCACAACCCTCATCCCAGCCCCCGCGGCTCCCCCCAAAACAACCCAAACGGCCCTCATCGGCGGTCCCAACGACGACATCATCCTCTCCACGACCGCCCCCTTGCCCCCCACCCCCCTAGAACCCGACCAAGTCGCCGTCGACGTCAAAGCCATCGGTCTCAACCCAGTCGACACCAAAATGCTGGGCGCCTTCCACACCCCCGGCGCCGTCCTCGGCTGCGAATTCGCCGGTGTCGTCACCGCCGCTGGGCCCGTCGCACGCGAAACCTGGGGTTTCAAGGAAGGTGACCGGCTCTCCGGCGCGATCATGGGTATGAATCCTTTGCGTCCGCGGGTTGGGGCTTTTGCGCAGCATACCGTTGCGCCGGCGCATGTGGTGCTCAAGATTAGGGATGACTGGTCATTTGCGGAGGGTGCCGGGATGGGGAATGCTTGGTATACTGTTGCCTGGGCGTTGTTCCATACCATGGCGCTGCCTGCGGGTCCCCGGCTGGAACCGTTGAACACTGAAGTACCGCCGCCCGCGGAGATTGCTGCGTTGGTGCGTGGCGGCCCGCCCAAGCCGGAGGCGACTACCGTGCTAGTCAGCGGCGGGTCGAGTTCTACGGGCACATCGGCGATTCAACTGCTCAAGCTGGCGGGTTACCGCGTGATTGCGACCGCGTCGGCGCGCAACTTTGAGCTGGCCAAGTCCTACGGCGCCGACGAGGTGTTTGACCATTCCTCGCCGACGGTCGCGGCGGATATCCGGGCTGCTACGCGCAACGGACTGAAATATGCGCTGGACTGCATCACGACCCCTGAGACGACCCGGCTGTGCTACGCTGCGCTGGGCCGATCCGGGGGTAGGTATGTCTCGCTGGATCCGTTCAGTGAGGCGGTGGCTGCGTCACGGGGCGTGGTCAAGCCCGATTGGGTGCTGGGGCCGGAGATGGTGGGCGAGGATATTGCGTGGCCGGCGCCGCATGGACGCAAGGGGAATCCTGAGGCGAGGGTGTTTTGTGAGGCCTGGGCGCGGACCCTGCAGCGGTTGGTGGATGGGAATAAGGTGCGGGTGCATCCGCAGCTGGTGAGGGAGACGGGGCTCGAGGGGGCGCTGGGTGGGCTGGATGATATTCGCACCAAGAAGGTGTCGGGGAAGAAGCTGATTTACTTGTTGTAGTCTTCTTTCATAGCCCCTGAATAGTGGTAGACAGGAAGGGTTAGGGTTGGGTGTGTTTCGGGGTAAACAGGGTTAGGGTTGTGATCCAGGGGTAGTTAACACATTCACTTCATTCACTGGGCTAAACAACCGTCACCTCGTTCTTGTGCATCGCGTCTTGCTCGATCGTGTGATTTGATTGTGTCGTGAACACATTACCACTCTTCGAGTATGGTCAGTACTTCGGTTCCATTAGTTGCCAGTCTCATTCCCACTTCTCATTCGCAGTTCTCAGTCCTCTCATTTTCTTTCGTGACCTCTCCGTCCGTTACCATCTCTCGGCCGTCTACCATCTGCCGATACGGAGATCTTCGGCGCACGGCTGAACTTAGAATGGAGTCCCACTACCGCTAACCCCTCGCTCCCTGCCTTCCTTTTCTCGTTCCCCCTTAACTGCGTCAGAAGAGGCAAAGCCTCTTACGCACAGGCAGCCCAAGATAACCCCTTTACCTCTGGCCTTCCCCTTTTGTCTTTCACTTTCTCTTCCCAATTACGTTGTCCCTAGCCCACGCCATGTGTTATACGCGGTCGATGCCTGCCTAGTTCTGGTATTTCCAATCCCACGGGCGTGCCCAGCTATATATCCACACATCTGCTGTGTCTTACCACATCCTCCTTGTCTCTGTCCACATTGTCTGTCCCACGTGGTTTTATAAACCCTCTCCTGCAGCATGGCCACCCACAACAATGTCCTGACGAAAGCCGTCGCCGGCCGGTTGTGCAAGGTCCGTAGTCTCTCATCCACCGTACCCCCTAACACCCATTCCTAACCCTACTACAGGCCATGGGCATCCGCATGGTCGCCAACCCCCTCATAGTGCAACTAGCCGCCAACGCCGGCTTCGATGCCCTCTTCATCGACCTCGAGCACTCCACCCTCTCCCTAGCCGACGCCAGCGCCATCGCCTGCGCGGGCCTCCTCTCCGGCCTGACCCCCTTCGTCCGCGTCCCCCACCAATGCGGCGTCGGCTTCGTCCAACAAGCCCTCGACAGCGGCGCCATGGGCATCGTGTTCCCGCACGTCCATTCAGCGGCCGACGCCCGCGCCGCGGTGCAGACGTGCAAGTTCCCGCCGTTGGGGATCCGCTCGATGTGGGGCCAGCAGCCGGCGTTGGGCATGCGCGTTACGGCGGTGGGGAGGATTGTGGAGGTTTGCAATGCGAGTGCGTCGTCGGTGATTGTGATGGTGGAGGAGGCGGCGAGTGTGGAGCATATTGATGCGATTGCGGCGGTGGAGGGGGTCGATGTGTTGTTGGTGGGTTGTTTGGATTTGTCGACGGATATGGGGGCCCCCGGGAAGTTTGAGACACGGTCGTTTCGGGCGGCGCTGGAGAAGGTGAGTGCTGCGTGTCGGAGGGCGGGGAAGGTGATGGGGTTGGCAGGGATTTACAATAATCGGGAGATGCATGAGTGGGCGATCAATACGTTGGGCGTGCGGTTTATGCTGTGCCAGCAGGACTCGAATTTGTTGGCTGCTGCTGCGATTGACTGTGCTGCGTCGGTGGCCAAGATTGAGAGGGATCGGATGCGGTTGCTGGGGTAGTTTCTTAAGGGTCAGGTTGAGGAAAGGTTTTACTATTTACGGTCAGGTCTATGGGCGGTGGTCTGTTCTTGTATAGATTAGGGTTGATATTGAAGTTACAGCAGTCATCTACGCGATAACTCTACGGGATGGTGCGTGACGTTGAGACCAATACGCTCATGTTACCTAGGTGGGTTTCTAACACAACTCCACGCTTCACGGATCACAAGCTCTCTTCTTACAAAAGTAAACGCTTGAAATTACTAAATATACCAGAATTCACGAGTAATTAATATGATTTCTATCTAAGTAGCTCCGCGCCCCTTCCGTCGATACTTACGGCTTTACTTTCAACTTGTATCGAATTGTCCTGTGCTGCATACGGTTACGGTGCCGAAGATAATTAATCGCTGAATGGAAACTCGTTTCTCGACCAGGTCATTTGGAAGAGAGAAATAATCATAGTCTTGTTTACATCCGATTAACACAGAGAACCAACATTTTGCACGAGTCCAATTTCAAGTTTACTCGGTATTTTTGAGGAGGCTCAGGTATTGATCCAATTGGAAACTCAATCTAGCGTGGAGTCACCTTTTGGACATAATTATTAATCGACTCATCGATAACATCATTGAATTCAAATTTGCCTGGGAATTATTGTATACTCGGGATCTATAATTGCTATTTTCATCCATGACCCTTTTTCTTTTTCCGTATCGCTGATACATCGGACACAATTTCTTACTGTCCTCGCAAAACAAGCGATAACTCTGTCGCGATTTAGGGTTTGCCTGTCATCATTCACTCAGGTCATCACATAACAAACCAATGCCAGCCCCTGGTCAATCTCAGCCTCAACTCCGACTGTCCCAAATGCGGGCTACAATGCCACCGACCTGCATCACAGCCGACAGCGTTCCTGGACCACATCTCGACATTCTCCGGCAGGTCAAGACCACAGGAATTCCGTATCTTTGCTGCGTTTCCGCATCCAAAAATATTCCGTGTCAGATTAATTGCAGATTTCTAGAACCGAAAATACCACCCTGTCGGGTCGCTGCAGCGCAACAACTCGGTGTTGTTCGGAGCTGTGTTCTTAGGTTGGTCTTGGCGCCTGAATCTCGCCTCAGTGAGGTTCTTGATATGGCAATCTGTCCGTGATTCCGAATCCGGTGCATTCACGGTTCAGTTCAAAACAGGACAAGGTGATACCACCTTGATGATACCTACTGTGCACGGCTATCGGAGTTTTGGTCCACCCCAGCACCGAGCGCACCACTAATGTTACATGGCCGCAATAATTACGGCCACGATACAACCGAAATAGGCACATCGGAGACCCACATTCCCCGACAGCTAACCGCATGGCAACCACAGGCTCGGGAATTCCAGAGCTCATTCCAGAACTGCATCGATTCACCACTCCACGTGTGGCGTGATGCCAAACAGCGATACCGACACACCGGACAATGCCATGCGCTTACCCGAGACATGTCCCCTTGATGCACGGCATCCCTCAGCTCGACCATGCAGGGGTACGGAATACACCTCGAATCCAGACCCTGAAAACTCCGGCCTACCATTTTTGGCATATCAGACGGGAGGCTTCAGCGAAGGTGACTCGGAGTCTGTCGTATCTTACCTCTTTAGCGTAGCATACCGCAGTATCATACACACCCACCACACTCCTCACCACACCATACCCAATCCAGCCCCGAAGACCGGTTCAATCGAGATGGCAGACCACGGTAAGCAACCGAACCAACTCGGCGGCCGGTCTAGGATCAAGGGAAGCGTCGCTCTCCGGTCCTGATCGGACCACAGTCGGACGACGGTCGGCCTCAGCGGACGGCCTAACCCGTTCCGTTACGCCGATTAGGCGGGGTTAGGGTTTACTTCTTCGAAGCTAGGAGTTGTGTTCGCTATGGACCGTATATATCCTACTCGGAAGAGTCCCATCTAGATTACTAGGCCAGGGATCGCCAGGTTCTCAACTCTTGTGCTGTCCTGCAGTGAACATTGTTTGCCTCGTTGTCTCCCTCGATCGACTGTGTCTTTGTTGACCCGTCCTTTGACTACTCGACCACCCGATTATTTGACTTACTCAATTTGCTCGATTAACTCGACGCCTGACTCTCGACTCTGTCCGACTACCCGTCCGACTATCGACTTGTCTCCGGGCCCAACCATTGCTACTATCCTTGCTTCTCTCATTTGACTTTGTCTTTCCACTCTCTACTAACCCAGAAACCCCTTGTTTACTAACCCAATCAATTCCTCTTCCCACCAACCAAAATGACCAACCAAGAAGAACCCATCGCCGTAATCGGCATGTCCTGCCGCTTCCCCGGCGGCTCTTCCTCCCCCTCCAAACTCTGGGACCTCCTCCGCGCGCCCAAGGACATCGCCAAGCCCGTCCCCGCCGACCGGTTCGATGCCGAAGGGTTCTGGCACGCCAACGGCTCGCACCACGGCGCGACTGACTGCCGCGAGGCGTATTTCCTGGACGAAGACGTCACGCGGTTTGATAACGCGTTTTTTAACGTGCAGGCGGGCGAGGCTGAGGCGCTGGATCCGCAGCAGCGGTTTTTGATGGAGACTATTTATGATTCTTTGTAGGTCCTTGGTCACGTTACACAGCGTTTCCGAGGGTTGGTTCAAGATACTAATGTGAAAAGGGTCTCTGCGGGCCAAACAATCGAATCCCTCCGCGGCTCCCGCGCCGCCTGCTACGTCGGCCTGATGTGCGACGACTGGTCGCAGATGAACAGCCGCGACTGGGACCTCGTCCCTACTTACGCGGCGACTGGCACCAGCCGTGCTGTCGTGTCGAACCGGGTCTCATATTTCTTTGACTGGCACGGCCCCAGCATGACGATTGATACGGCGTGCTCGTCGTCGCTGGTGGCGGTGCATGAAGGCGTGCATGCGCTGAGAAGGGGGGATGCGCCGATTGTGGTGGCGGCGGGGGCGAATTTGATTTTGTCGCCGGGTGTGTACTCTCTTTTCTCTGTCTCAGCCGGAGTTGTCCGTCTAGTGATATGTCGGTGCTGACTGTCTAGGCATGATGATCGCCGAGAGCAACCTACACATGCTCTCGCCCACCGGCCGCAGCAAGATGTGGGACGCCGCAGCCGACGGGTACGCGCGCGGAGAAGGTATCGCAGCGGTGGTTCTCAAGCCGCTCAGCGCGGCCCTGCGTGACGGCGACCCGATCCACTGTCTCGTTCGTGGAACTGGAGGTTTGTCTCTCTCTCATTCCCTTCCATATCCCAGTTTGTGTGGTACTAAGAAAAAGAAAAGTCAACCAAGACGGCCGCACCCCCGGCCTGACGATGCCCAACAACGTGGCCCAAGCCGACCTGATCCGCGACACGTATGCGCGCGCGGGGCTCAACATTTCCGACCCCAAGGACCGGCCGCAGTTCTTCCATGCCCACGGCACGGGTACGCCGGCGGGTGACCCGCAGGAGGCGGAGGCGATTTCCAAGGCGTTTTATGGGGAGAGTGAGGAGCATGAGCCGTTGTTTGTGGGGTCGATCAAGACTGTTATTGGGTGAGTTCTTTTCTCCTTGTTTGGGTGTTGATATCGGTACAGTGTGAATACCGCACAGTCTCCATCCGCACTGTCGCTGCATCATCCTGCATCATCCCACCCCCTTTCTCTCTCATTTTACTCTCTCTCATTTTACTCTCTTTATGCTTTCTAACACTCCATAGACATACAGAAGGCACAGCCGGTCTAGCCAGCCTGATCGGCACAGCCGTAGCCATGCAGCACGGCACGATCCCGCCGAACCTGCATTTCAAGAACATCAGCCCCCGCGTGGCCGAGTTCTGCGGACGTCTGAAGGTCCCGACCGAGGCGGTGGCGTGGCCTGAGGTGGATGGGCGGCGGAGGGCTAGTGTGAACAGTTTTGGTACGTCCCTTTGCACCCGGCGTTACTTTCTCTTGTCTAGGTGGTGTGGTTGGGTCGTGTAGTCGGGTTTGTCGTGGACAACCCTAACCCTGCCCCTGACTGACTCCACTTACCCCTGACTCCACTACCCCTGAGCAAGTAAACAAACCCCAACTAACAACCCCCCAGGTTTCGGCGGCACCAACGCCCACGCCATCCTCGAGTCCTACACCCCAGCCACTCCCACCACCACGACTTCTCCCCCTAAAAGCAACACCCCCTTCACCCCCCTCACCCTCTCAGCCGCCTCTCCCTCCGCCCTCCGACGCACCCTCACCGACCTCTACTCGTTCCTCTCTTCCCCTGAGAATGACAAGGAGGTGAATCTGCGAGATCTAATCTACACCCACACCACCCGCCGCAGCACCCTGCCCTTCCGCAAATCCATCCCCATTCCCTCCCTCTCGTCGTTGCTCTCCACGCTTGCGAGTCTGACCGACGCGTCGGCGGTCGACAGCGAGAATGGGCTCACGACGCGGTACTTCGACGTCACCTCCCCATCTATCCTGGGTGTGTTCACCGGACAAGGCGCACAATGGACGCGTATGGCCGCCCACCTCCTCGAATCTTCCCAGTTTGTTGCGGACCGGGTTGCAGAGCTCGACGCGGCGCTTACCTCCCTGCCGTCCGCTGACCGTCCCACCTGGACTTTGAAGGGACAGATCCTGGCTGCCGCGGAAGAATCCAAGGTTGGAGAGGCGGCTGTGTCACAGCCGTTGTGTACCGCCGTGCAGATTGTGCTTGTCGATTTGCTGCGGCAGGCTGGGATCGAATTCAAGGCTGTGGTGGGGCATTCATCTGGCGAAATCGGCGCTGCGTATGCGGCGGGGTTTTTGAATGCTGTTGATGCGGTTCGCGTGGCGTATTACAGGGGTTTGTACGCCAAATTGGCTGGGTCGGACAGCCAAAAAGGTGCTATGCTGGCTGTTGGGACGTCGTATGAGGATGCCGCGGAGTTTGTGGCGCTGGAAGAGTTTGAGGGACGGATTCAGGTTGCTGCGAGGAACTCGGCGACGAGCGTCACACTATCAGGCGACGCAGACGCCATCGATGAAGCGGCAGAAATCTTTCAGGATGAGGGACGGTTTGCGAGGAAACTCAAAGTCGATACGGCGTATCACTCGCATCATATGCTGCCTTGTGCTGAGCCGTATCGGACGGCCCTCGAGGCGTGCGATATCAAAGTGGGAGAGGGGAATGGGACGGTGTGGTATAGCAGTGTGCTGGAGGAACGGGTGATCACGCGGGAGGATGTCACGCCGCAGTACTGGGTCGATAACATGACTAGTGCTGTGTTGTTTGCCCCGGCTGTTGCCAACGCTCTGCAGGCTGCTGAGTCGCCGGCTAACGCGTTTGATATCGCCGTGGAAGTCGGGCCGCACCCAGCTCTTAAATCCCCCGCGCTGGACACCATCGAAGAAGTCGCCGGCCACCGCATCCCCTACACCGGCGTGCTCGCCCGCGGGAAGAATGACACGCTGGAATTCTCAGCGGCTCTCGGCTACCTCTGGACTCACCTCGGCGCAGGCAGCGTCAACTTCGACGCTGTCGAGCAAACCCTGTCGGGTGATTCCTCACCGAAGAAGGTCCTCACCAACCTCCCGACTTACCCCTTCGACCACTCCCGCTCCTTCTACGCGCTCACCCGCTTCACCGGCGCACACCGCAACACCCACGCGCCTCCCAACCCTATTCTCGGCCGGCGCTGCGTGGAATCCGAGACAGCAGACGCCATCTCGTGGCGTAACATTCTCAAGAGCGGGGAGATCTCCTGGTTACCCGGCCATCAGCTCCAGGGTCAAACTGTGTTCCCCGCGATGGGGTACGTGGCTATGGCCGTTGAGGCTGGTGCTGTCCTCGCAAGCGACGCCAACCGCCCCCTCGGACTAGTCACCCTCGAAGACGTCGTCATCGGCCGCGCACTGGCATTCACCAACGACAGTGCAGGCATGGAAGCCCGCGTCACCGTCCGCATCGACACCTCCACCGCCGACTCCATAACCGGCCACATCTCAGTGCACTCCGGTCTCCCCTTCGACGGTGCCCCTCTCGCCCTCAACTACGCCGCTACCCTCCGTCTCGCGCTGCACGACCCGGCTCCGGATACTCTCCCTGCTGTGAGGGCCGACGAAATCAACCTCGTCAAAACCGACCCCGCGCGCCTCTACTCCCAATTCACCCAGCTAGGCTACAACTACTCTCCCCCCTTTACGGGAGTCACTGCCATCCAACGCAAGCGCGGGTTCGCCACCGGCATAATCGAGGATATTTCGGGGGATTCCTGGGAAGACCAACTGATCGTCCACCCCGGCTGGTTGGATTTCGCTCTGCAAACCGCCTTTGCGGCGTACTCCTACCCGCATGATAACCGGCTCTGGTCGCTGCACGTCCCGACGGAGATCAAATCCCTCTCGGTAAACCCGTATTTCCGCGGGGCGAAAACCCTGCACTACCAATCCACTGCGCGTGAGGGGCTGGGAACCCCCGTGGCAGCTGACATTGACCTGTTTGCTTCGGAAACGGATACGTCTGCGTTTGTGCAACTGGAGGCGGTCCAAGTCAAGCCCTTTGCTGCGGCTACCCCGAGGGATGATGCGTTGTTGTTTGCGCGGTTTGTCTACCGTTTGGCTGCGCCTGATGCCGTGCTAGCCGTTGGGGAGGATGACCTTCTCCCGCCTGCGACAGAGGCAGTCGTCGCTGTCATCGAGAGACTAGGGTTCTACTACCTCCGCCGGGTGCACGAGACCATCACCCCCGCCGAACGGGATTCTGCACTCCCGCATTTCCGCCACCTCATCGATTTGTGCGGGAGGGTCGTGCCGTGGGTTGCGTCGGGACAGCATCCGCATGTGCCGAAGGAGGCGATAAATGATTCAGCGGGGTATGTCAATGCCCTGGTGGAGAAATACCATGATCGCGCGGATATCCGACTCCTCCAAGCTGTGGGGGATAATTTGGTGCCTGAGATTAGAAGAGATGGGATTATGCTCGAGCACATGATGAAAGACGGCATCCTGGACCGGTTCTACGAAGAACTGGCCGGCCTGGACGTAGCCAACGTCTGGATCGGGCGCATGGTCGCTCAGGTAGCGCACCGACACCCAGGGCTCAAAATCTTTGAGATTGGTGCCGGTACGGGCGGGACTACGAGGTCGGTGCTGCCTGCGCTGGAGGGGTCGTTCAACAGTTATACATTTACGGATGTGTCCGCTGGGTTTTTTGGAAGCGCCCAGGAGCGGTTCCGGCAGTGGGTTGACCGGATGGTGTTTGCGACGTATGATATGGAGAAGTCGCCCGAGGAACAGGGGTTTGAAGAGGGCGGGTATGATGTGGTGTTGGCGTCGAATGTGTTGCATGCGACGGGGCGACTGGATGATATGATGGCTAACACGCGGAAGCTGCTCCGGCCGGGTGGGTACCTGATGATGCTGGAGTTTGTGAGCAACGACCGGACGGGGATTACGGCGTGTATGGGTGGTCTGCCTGGTTGGTGGGGGAATGGGGTGTATGATCCTGCGAGAGGCGACGGGCCGTGTTTGACGCCGGCGCAGTGGGATGGATTGGTGAGGAAACATGGGTTTGCGGGGGTTGACACGCACACGCCGATTGGACCGCATCTGCAGTGGTATACCGTGCATTTGTGCCAGGCTGTGGATGATCGGGTGTTGGCGCTGAGGAATCCTCTCGGGGCATTGGGAACCCTAACCCTTACCCCTGAGACTTCCGACACCCTAACCCTGGCCCCTGAGACAATCCCTGAGACGCCTCTCTCGACACTGGCCCCGCCGCCTCCGGAGCTGGTCATCGTGGGCGGGACTACCCCTGGTGTAGCCAGCCTGGTCTCCCAGATCCAAACCCTGCTCACCCCCCGGTACTCGATCACGACCCTCCCGACGCTAGAAGAACTCCACACCCGTGGCATCGCCATCGGCAGCTCGGTCCTCTCGCTCACCGAACTGGACACCCAATTCTTCGAGCACCGCACCGCCGCCAAGCTCGACGCCCTCAAATCCCTCTGGCGCACCGCCGGCTCCATCCTCTGGGTCACCCGCGGCGTGCGCGATGCCTCTCCCTACTCCGCCATGATCCTGGGATTGGCGCGTGTGGTCCGGTTTGAGAATCCGAGTATCAACTTGCAGATTCTGGACTTTGCGGCGCATACCGGGGAGGTGGATACCCCGACTGCGGAGGTCATTGCTTCTGACCTGTTGAGACTGGAAATGGGCCGGTATTGGAAGGAGGAGAATGTCAATATCCTGTGGAGTGTCGAGCCCGAGGCCCATTACGAGAACGGGACGCTGATGATTCCCCGGATGTACCCCGACCGCGAGGCCAACGCGCGCTACAACACCCAGCGCCGGACGGTTTCCGAGGTCGTCAACCCCAAGGAGGTGTCTGTCGCGCTGGAGCCGTCACCAACAAACAACACCGGCCTGGAACTCGTCACCCCCTCGCCGCTGCGTCTCGCCCCGGCCGACGACCTCATCGAGTTGGCCGTGTCCCACTCCGTGCTGCACGCCGTGCATATCCCCGGCGCAGGCTTCTTCACCCTCGCGGCGGGCATCAACACAGAAACCACCAAACCAACCCTAACCCTCTCCGCCGGGCCAGTCGAGTCCAAACTCCAAGTCCCCGTCGAATGGACACTCCCCCTCAAAGAACCCGTCACCCCGGCCGTCCTGGCTGATATCGCCGCCCACCTAGCCGCCAAGTCCCTTTTGCAGGCTGCCCCCGCATTCGGCTCCCTCCTGGTCCACGATCCCCCTACTGTCCTGCGCGAGGCCCTGGACAAAGAAGCCGTCCGCCATGGCGCGCACGTCGTTTTCTCCACTTCCCAACTGCGCGAGGACGACTCCTCGGAATGGACCGTCATCCCCGCCAAACTGCCCACTCGTCTCGTGCAGAAACTCGTACCCGGTGACATATCTGCTTTCGCCAACCTCGCTGATCCGGCGGATGAGGCTGCGCAGGCGAGTGCTGCGTTGATCACCCGAGTTCTGCCCGCTTACACCCCGACGACGACGGTACGGGATGTACTCCGGCCCGAAGCCGGTGCTGTGCCGGAGCCGGTGGTGGATATCACGACGTCGCTGCGTGACGCCTGGAGCGCTGCGAGCAAGAAACGCCGGGGTGGACCGGTAGGGTTAGGGCTCGGGTTAGGGTTAGGGTTGGGTTCAGGGGTCGACAACAACACCATCTCCTTGTCCGACCTATCCGCTGCCCAACCCGGCGAGACTACTCCCCTCTCGGTGGTTTCGTGGAGCGACAAGAGTGTGCTGAGTAACCTCCGCCCCGTGGACGCCGGCCAAATCTTCCGCCCCGACGGCACCTACCTCATGTTTGGTCTCTCCGGCGAGGTCGGGCAGTCTCTCTGCGCGTGGATGGTCGCCCACGGGGCCCGGCATGTTGTGCTCAGCTCGCGGAACCCGAAACTCCATCCGCGGTATGTGGCTGGTCTGGCTGCGCAGGGCGCGGATGTGCGGGCGTTGCCGCTGGATCTTACGAATCGGGAGGCGGTGAGGAAGGCTGTGGGGGAGATTAGGAGGAGCATGCCAGAGGTTATTGGAGTTGCGAACGGTGCGCTGTTGTTGGAGGATGCGTTGTTTGACGGGGTGGTGTTTGAGACGCTCCAGAGAACGGCGGCGCCCAAGGTGGAGGGGAGTGCTTACCTCGACGAACTGTTCTATGACACGCCGCTGGATTTCTTTATCCTGTTTACCTCTGTCGCCAACATCACGGGTAACACCGGCCAGTCGGCGTATGTCATCGCCAACCAGTTCATGACGGCCCTCGCTGCACAACGCCGTGACCGCCGCGGGGTTCCCGGCTCGACGATAGCTATTTCCTCGGTACAAGGCCTGGGCTACCTCGAGCACTCCGACATTGACAAGGATCGGTTGGTCCGCTGGGGATACCGCAACATCTCCGAGCAGGACCTGCACATCCTCTTTGCCGAAGCCGTCCTTGCTGGCCGGCCCGGCGCCGCTGGTATTGGGGAAGTCGTGACGAGTATGTCCCCCTTCCGCGACACCGTCGAGATCCAGCCAAACTTGCGGCTCGACCCCAAGTTCAGACACTATCTCATCCAAGACGGTGGTGGATCAGCCTCTGCTGCGGGCGCCGGAGCAGGGAGTAAAGCTATCCGGCCGCGGGCGAGGTTGGCGGGAGCGACTTCGCAGGCAGAGGTGGTGGAGATTGTGCAGGAGTCGTTGACGGAGAATTTGAAGAGGATTTTGATGATGCCGGCGAGTGAGGAGATTGATCCGCTGTTGTCGTTGGTCGAGTTGGGGATTGACTCGATTATGGCGGTGGATTTGAGGACGTGGTTTTTGAAGGAGTTAGATGTGGATGTGCCCGTGTTGAAGATTTTGAGTCCGGGCGAGACGGTCAGGTCGCTGGGGGAAGAGGCGTTGGGCAAGATTCCGGCCGAGTTGGTGGATTTTGCGAATTTGGCCGAGGTGTCGGATAAGTCGGCTGAGGTCCCTGAGAAGGTGGTTCCTCAAAAGACTCCTCAGGTTGTTCAGAAGGAGAAGCCGGTTGTCGAGAAGGTGGACAAGCCAGTGGAAAAGCCAGTGGAAAAGGCAGTCGAGTCCGAAAGTGACTCCGACACAAACACCACACCCAACACCCTCGCCAGCTCTCCGGCTCTCCTATCCACCCCCGGCACTCCCGCTACCACCGTGGACGACTTCAAGTTCGTCCCCCCTGCTCCTCCCGCTCCCACTTCCGCCGTCTCCGTGTCTGACCTCCCCCAGATCACCGAGGCTATGACGTTTGGCCAGCGCCGCTTCTGGTTCCTGTCGCACTACGTCGACGACCCGACCACCTTCAACATCGCCTACCTCGCCCGCTTAACCGGTCGTCTCCGTCTTTCTGATCTATCCCGCGCCGTCCAATCCGCCGCCCAACGCCACGAAACTTTGCGGACTCGCTTCTTCTGGTCCGCCGACGACACCCGCACCCCGATGCAAGGTATCCTCCCGCACACTTTCATCCGCCTCGAGACAGCCACCATCGAAACCGAAGCCCAAGCCCAAGCCGAACTCGAGGCTATGCGTACCTTCCACTGGGACCTCGGCAACGGCGTGCCTTTGCGGATCAAGGTCTTGTCGCTGTCCGAAACATCCCACTTTCTTCTGCTAGGATCTCACCACATCTCCATGGACGGCCACAGTTTCTCCGTTTTCTTGCTCGATATTCACCAAGCCTACACTTCCCCGCCTCACCGACCCCTTCCTCCGCTACCGGAGTCGTCCCAGGCGCGTGCGTTCGGAGCAGCCCAACTCGCGGCCCACTCTTCGGGCGCTCTCAACGCCGCAATCAACCATTATAAAACCGTCCTCCCGGCAGCAGACCTCGCTCGCCCCATCGCCCTGCTTCCGTTGGCGAAAGTGTCGGTTCGACCCCCGCTAGACCGTTATGCGACTCACGTCGCGCGGACCCATCTAGACGCGACCACCACGGCGCAGTTGAAAGCCCTTGCTCGCTCCCAGCGGGCCACGTCGTTCCATGCCTACCTCGCTACGCTCCAGGCCCTGCTGTTCCGCCTCCTTCCCGCGGATACTACCCCGAGAGTGTACATCGGTATCGCCGACGCCAATCGGTTGGATGCCAAATTCCAAGCTGCCGTCGGGAATTTCCTCAATGTTCTTCCCTTACGCTTCGACCGTGGCAGCGCAGACCAAACAGTCGGCGAAGCCGTCCAAACCGCGCGTGACACAGCCCGCACCGCACTCCTCCACTCCGCTCTACCCTTCGATCTACTCCTCGACGAACTGGCCGTGCCGCGGTCCAACTCCTGGGCTCCCGTCTTCCAGGTGTTCTTGAATTATCGTTTGGTAGTTGCGGAGCATGCAGAGAAACGCTGGGTCGGCGCGCGGATTGGCGAAGAGACCTGGCATACGGCGCGCACGGGGTATGACGTGGCGCTGGAGATTGTGGAGGATCAGGGGGGGGCCATGTTGGCGGTGCATGTGCAGAGGGGGTTGTATGATGAGGAGGGAGCTGGGGTTTTGGTGAGGAGTTTTGCGAATGCGGTGAAGGAGATTGCTAAAAAGGGGGCTGGCGTGAAGACGGGGGGGTTGCCGAAGTGGGATGGGGCGGATGTAAAGAGGGCTTTGGAGGTCGGGATGGGTAGGTTCTGTTGACTTTTGCTGTTGACCCCTTTTCGTTGTTTACTTGGCCCGGTTACCCCGTGTTACCCGGATTTGTTTACTTACCCCTGAAACCCCTTTCATTTTCTGTGCTTACTGATACTAATGCACATTAGGGCCCTCCCTCTCCCTCACCTGGCCCTCCGTCACGCACCAAATCGACAGCATCATCGCCGCCAACCCCACCGCCATCGCCCTCAAAGACGGCACCTCCGTACTCACCTACGCCGACCTCGACACCCGCGCCAACACCATCGCCCACGCTCTCCTCTCCACTCTCTCAGCTTCCAAGTCAGAGTCCGCCGACCCCATCGCCAGCAAAACAGTCGGCGTCTTCCAAACCCCCTCGGTCAACTGGATCGTCTCCCTCCTCGCCATCCACCGCGCCAACGCCATCTACCTCCCCCTCGACCTGCGCAACTCCATCCCGCGGCTGAAGAGCAATGTCGCGGTCGCCAAGCCGGCTGTCCTGCTCGTTGATTCCCAAACAGCCGGCCAAGTTTCCCAGTTAGACGCCCCGGCCACGACAGCAGTAATCAACGTTTCCTCCCTGCCTGAGACGAGCCAAAAAGTCCCAACAACAACAGTGAAGAACTCCCCCGCCTACATAATCTTCACCTCAGGCAGCACCGGCCTCCCGAAAGGCATCCTAGTAACCCACGCCGGCTTAGCAGCCAACCTCGAAGGCTACCACCGCGCTTGGTCCATCCCCTCCTTAGCCTCCGTCGTCCTGCAACAAGCCTCCTTCGGGTTTGACGCTTCCTTACTCCAAATCTATGCCGCGCTCACTACTGGCGGCACTCTCCTCGTAGTCCCGGCTGAGGCGAGAGGGGATCCCGCCGAGGTGGTCAAGTTGATGCGGGAGCATGGGGTGAGTATGACGCAGGCGACGCCGTCGGAGTATGATATGTGGTTGCGGTTTGCACCTGAGGAATTACGCAGGTGTACGGAATGGAAGGCGGCTTGGTTTGGGGGGGAGAGGGCTGCTCCCGGACTGGTGGAAAGGTTTAGGGCTCTCAGTCATCAGTTGCCTAACTTGGAGGTGTATACCAGTTATGGACCGACGGAGAGCACCATCTCGGCGATGAAAGGACGTGCGGATGTCAGGAATGATTTGGAGTTGACTGTTCCCGTGCCGGGGCGGTTGCTGCCGAATTATGCGGCCTATCTGGTCGATGACGAGATGAATCCCCTGCCGGTGGGTGTGCCGGGGGAGATTCTTCTGGGCGGGGCCGGGGTCGGGGAGAATGAGTATCTTGGCAGGGAGGACTTGACGGAGAAGGCGTTTTTGCCGAACCCGTTCCCGGTGCCGAGCACGGCGAAGACTGCGGGGGGGAAGCAGAGGTTGTATCGGACGGGGGATTATGGAAGGTTGGATAAGTCTGGGTTTTTGGCTATTGAGGGACGGATTGCGGGGGATACGCAGGTGAAGTTGCGCGGGTTTAGGATTGAGTTGGTGGAGATTGAACGGGTGATTCTTAGGGAGTCGGAGGGGAAGATTGCGCAGGTGGTGGTTACTGTTCGCGGGGCGGAGGATGAAGATGCCTTTTTGGCTGCTCACATCGTTCTTGATCCGGAGCATGCCTCTTCGTCCGCTCCGGCTCTCATCGACCGTCTGCATGCTCGGCTGCCGCTCAGTCTGCCGCAGTACATGTGCCCGGCCGTTATCGTTGCGCTGGATACGCTCCCCCTGACATCCAACGCCAAGGTCGATCGACGGGCTGTTCAGGCTCTGGCTATCCCCGAGTCCGCTACCTCAACATCAGCGGATACCGCCACGGAGACTCAGCCATCTCGCCCTCTCACATCAACAGAAACCCGCCTCGCCCGTCTCTGGGCTGCCGTGCTGCCTCGTGCGGGTGCTATCGGCCCGCGGTCGGATTTCTTCCTCGCCGGGGGTAACTCTCTGCTACTCGTCAAACTCCAAGCCTCGATCAAAAAAGAGTTTGGCGACAGTCCGCGGCTGAGCAAGTTGATGAGTGCCACCGAGCTGGCAAGCATGGCCGCGTTGCTGGATGATGCAGCTGGCGCTTGGGAGTGGGAGAAGGAGGCTACTGCAGACGTGCCGGTGTCTGCTTCGTCTGGGAGTGTTCGCACCACCGGATTGCATGTCCTCGTGACAGGCGCGACTGGGTCGCTTGGTCAACGCGTCGTCAAACACCTCGCTTCTGACCCTGCCGTGTCTGCGCTCACCCTGCTCCTCCGAGCAACCGAAACCCGTCCCGACCCGACCACCGCCTTTTCCTCCCTGGCAACCACCACCAAGACCAAAATCACCATCCTCCCCGTCGACCTCACCACCGACCTGCCCTCCATCCTAGCCACCCTCTCCAATACCAAAGTCGACATCATCCTCCACAGCGCAGCCGACCGTTCCTTCTGGGACGGCTACCCCTCCCTCCGTCCCGTCAACGTCACTGCCCTCAAACATCTCACCGCCCTCGCCGCGCGTACCAACGCATCCCTTCACACCCTCTCCTCCGGCGCCCTAGCCGCCTTCGATTCTGACTCTGCCTCCGAAACCCGTCCCGACCGCGCGGATGGGTACCTTGCGTCGAAGTGGATTGCTGAGCGGTATCTGACCAACACAGCTGCGGCTGCGGCTAGCAAGGGTGGGGTGAGGGTTACGGCTCACCGACCGACTGCCGCGTCTGGGGGGGTCGATGGGGATGGGAAGGAGACGCTGGATAAGCTGGCGAGGGATATGTTACGGTTGTCGGTGGAACTGGGCGTGAGGCCGGATTATGCTCGGTTATCGGGGAGTTTTGATGTTGGTGTGCTTGAGAGTGTCGCTTCTTCTCTAGCGCACAACATCATTCAAGGCCAGAGTGATCCTCAGGGAGCGAGACTCAAGAAGGTGACATACCCCGGCCAAGCCCGCGTGGAAATCCCGGCCCTAGCAGCTAGAGCAGAGGAGTTACTCGCTGCGGGCGGGGAGGAGGCGGAGGGGGTAAAGGGACTGCCGACGGTGGGCGCGCTGCATTGGGTTGGGCTGGCCAAGAAGGCGGGGTTGTTTGAGTGGTTGTTGACTGCGCAGGAGTTGGTTGTTGAGGATGAGGAGGGGCGGAGGGTTGTTTCGAGGCGGTAGGGGGTATAAGTGGGTGGATGATGAATGGGATTGTGAAGGACAGAGGACGCGGATAAGGATGGCCGGCGTTGAGGGATTATTTCCCGTTTCTTTTGTTAGGTGGTTCGGCGCTTGGGTTGGCTTTTGTACTTCTTGTTTCTTTAATCTTATGATTCTAGATTCTTGTTTCGTTTGTTAAAGTTTAGAAACGGCAGATTGTTACTCGGCGGATTTTTTAGCATATTCAAGAGGAGAAATACAACATCCTCACACGCAGCTTCCCAGTGACGTGATCCCGTTCATTTCTTCGGTACAAATGTATTCTACATCTCGCCAATGTTCTGTACCTGTCACAGCATAAAAGGGTCCCACTTCCTGCTGCAATCGACGATTGTCTTTTGCTGCAACAGTATCGATAATCAGTGGGTCAGGGTTATCGTAGCATTTCTCCGGGCAACCAAGGTCCGTGTCGTGAAATTCATGTAAATGCAAATCGGTGTAGACAAGGCCTCTGCCCCCATCTTCCCCGCGTCATAACATAATTAATTGTAGACGTCCATACGACATCGTATCACTTGACCCTAACCCCTTTTCACAACCTTTCTTTTCAGTCACACCGTCCGATATCCATTGGTATGGTGCAAAGCCTATACCTATACTACAACCTAGGTACCCGGTCTCCACTCGCTCCGCCTTAACGGCCTTAAATTCACCTTCGGTACCTTCTAACTGGGTCTCCTACCTACAATCGAGACAAACAACAAGATGTGCTGATTTGACAGTGCCCCAGTACAGTACGAAGCGTCGTGACACTGGCCAGCTTCGAATGCTGATTTGGCGGGCTTGGTAAGGTGCACCGGTTGGTTCTGGTCCAGTGTTTGCTGCCCCCACTCATCGAATTGAAATGGCACTCGCTCGCAGACAATCTAAACAATTCTTGCAACCACAAAAGCAAGCTCTCAACTGAGCGCCGTCACCCCTGGCTCCAGATATCCCACAAAAGTCCCGATTAAGTAAATAGCATTCAACTGTCCCCTCATCGCGTCCAGCGTTCTTAACATCGTACTGACCTAGCCGCACCCTGCCAAGCACCATGTCGTCCGCCCTCTTTGGTACGTCGTCCGAGGCGATCCCTCAGTCCCTCCGCGACGAGTTGGACGGCAACGTGTTCCGGGGCGTCGATGGCTTCTTTGCCAAGTATTTCGAGAACAAATCCTGGTCCGCTACTGCTCAGAAAAAACTGCAGGAAGCCAAGTCGGCCGAGGTCATCAGGAAGCTATCTGCACAGGCGTCCGAGCTGGCTCAGCTCACTTTGACGCACTGGTGGAATGGCTTGCCGCGTTCCAATCTCTGTTCTTCACGGCCGACCAGCCCAGCGGCCTCAACCTCCACTTCCGCAGCCAGCCGCTCACCAAACCAGCCGGTCCTCTGAGCGCCAGCGTCTATCTTGAGACGTCGCATCTCCCGTCCGTCGCAGGGAACACCCGCGTGGTTGGAGAGTTCCATCACGAAAACGCCGCCCCTGTCGCTGTGGAGGATAACGATGACATCCTGCGCCTCTGCGGTCGCGCACTAGAGGTGTTCAAGGCCCAGTCGGCTCGTCTCTTCCTGCACGGCTTCCGAGTCTGCGGCACCACCCTGGAGCTCTGGGTCTTTGATCGGTCGGGGGCGTACAGCAGCGGCGAGCTCGACCTCGCGCAGCGACCCGACCTGCTGGTGCAGGTCCTCGTAAGCTACGCCATGATGGGTGATCAGGAATCCGGCTTCAATACCTTTGTGAAACATCTCGGGCCTGTTGGATCGGACGGCGGCTACGTCGCGTTCGATCAGGGCAACAAGTTATATCTCAGACCGAAGTTGATTGCAGCACCGAGCTACCTAGTTGGACTGGGAACAACCTGCTATCCGGCCTCAGTATCGCCAACAGGCGAGCCAGATGCCGTCGTCAAGTTCTCGTGGAGAGAGTAAGCGGTGCATACCGAGATCGAGCAGCTGAAGCAGGCGCGCGAACGCAAAGTCTGGGGCGTCCTCCAGCTCCTCGGCTCCCAGGACCTAGGCAGCGTCGCCGATCTTCGCTCTGGGCTGCAGTTTCCTGGGCCGTTTGTCAACCGGATCTTCTCCTGCGTGGCAACCGCCCCTCTTGGCCGTCCGATCCAGAAGTTCACGTCAATCCCCGAGCTTCTACACGCCCTCAGTGACCTTGTCAAGGCCCTCCGATCTCTCTATGTGGACGCGGGCATTATCCATCGCGACATCGCCATCAAGAACTTGTTCCTCGCTCCACATCGCAGCAGCACCGACGGCCCAAAGGGCGTCTTGATTGATTTCGACCAGGCCCTAGACCTGGCTACCGCCTCTCCTGAGCAGCCGCTGGTCGGATCCGATGGGTTCATGGCCATCGGCATTCTCTCCGGGCAGCGGCACACGTACCGACACGACCTCGAATCCCTGTTCTATGTGTTCCTGTGGTTTGCGATTGGGAATGACCACGAGCACGACGATGCGTGTGACATTTTAGAGGGTCTGCCCAAAACCTCCCGGCTCTGGAAATGGTGCTCACTGGACTTCCGTTCCGTTGGTCGGGCAAAGGCTGCCGACATGAGCCCGAAAGGCTTTGAGGCCATTTTGGATGAGTTCTCGGCTGATTTCGCTCCTCTCCGGGGCGTGGCCTGGGAGCTGCACGCGCTGATTTTCCCTTTGCGTGATGGACGGGTTTTTACGGGGACGGATACTGAGCAGGTGGCTGTCGAGGGGCTCTATACTGCGATGGCGGATGCTTTTGAACGGGGTGTCTTGGCACCTCAGAACTAGGAGACTGGTGCGAAGAGGATGGATGACGAATGAGTGGGATGGAACCGGATTTCGATGGAATACATGACGGAGATAGGGATGGCCGGCGTTTAGCGGCTATTTTCTGTTTCTATTGTCAGGCTAATTTGGTGTGGGGTTGGCAGTTCTCCGGGGAATCAAGACCCGTGTCGTAAGATTCATGTACACTTTGATTTAGTGTAGACAAAGCCTTTGCCCCCATCTCCCAGGCGTCTCGAGTAACCGATCCCTTACTACGGCTTTCTTTGCAGTCTCACCTCCGGAGATCATTAACACAAGCCTGTCACAATGCACAGTTTAGTTGGTTCCAGAAACGATACCTTTGTAGTTCCTGTGTACTAAAAATCAGAATAAGTACGACTGCTCCCGAGTAATTCAGTGTAATGGAACACGTACTGACCCACGTGCCAAACCTGCTACCCGCCTACCTTACACCCCGAGTTCCAGAGTCGCGTAACCATCGCCATAATGGCCCCTGCACCCTCATCCCCCGTCAAAAAGCCAAATTCAAGCATTCCACACCCCGAAAGAGGAACCGCATCTTCGCCTACTACTCCGCCGGCATCTCTGCCAAAGCAATCGCGGTCAAGGAGGATGTGCTGGAGTCCCACGTGCGAGGCGTAATCCGCCGCTTCTCGGCACAAGACTTCGGTGTCAGTCGACCCAGCCGTGGTCGGCCGCAAAAGCTTACAGAACGCGATCAACGGGTTATTTTGCGCGAAGTGGCCAAGGATCCCTTGATACCGCTCGAAACCTTGCGCAAATTGACCGTTCCACACGTGTCGCGGGGGTGTTTACGCAGCTTCCTCACGAAGCAGGGGATCCGCTTAGACGATCAGGGCCCCGGCTCGGATGCGATCGCGACTTCACCAACACAATCGAAACCATTAACACAACAATCTAAACGCCTAACCTAGGGATCTCATGTTCACCCTCCATCTCCCCCTTTAATTGCAGATGCAATTCACACGGATGAAACACCCCAAAATCACCCACGATAACTACACGTCACGCCATGCACAAACACCCCGGTCGGCTGGCCGTCAAATCTTGTCACTCTTGTGGCAGTCGCCAAATGTCACTATCAAACAATATCGTTAGGACTTAACGGACACCGACCTGCTCCCTCAGGCCTCTATGCGGGCCGCACTATCAGGTCCCCAATGGGCCTTTAAATGGGCCTCCACCGTTGCAACATCTCACACACCAACCGTCGCCGTTACCGCCCGCCCGTCAGAGGTTTAACCGACACAACCGCCGGTTGGGATACGTACACACCGTCACGCAGGGGGGCGAAGCGGCATTGGGGATGCAGTCCAGAATGGCGAGGTATAATTTTAGAAATGGTGACGTTGTACGGTTTGGAGGAGGACGTCAGAGGGGTTAAAAGGTTTGCATGGCGTTTATGGGGGATTCCTTGGCATGGCGTTAGTTTCTCGGATTCAGTCTCAGTGCCAGCTTGGATAATGGAAGTGATAGACAGATAGGTACCTACCTTGAGGAATTAGCGCTGGTTTGGCACGACGAAGGCTGAGTTAAACCGGAGGCGGGTGGATTTGATTCGGACATGTTACTTATCAAGGTTTCATGTTTGCTCAGAAGAGTCCGGATTATTGTTTCGCTTGAATTTTTGAAATGGAAACCGTGCCCTCTATTATCGACGAAGACCAGAAACTGACCGCGTTCTAAGGGCCAATCGCTAACGTCTTCAAGGTTCAAGGTACGGACTCGACAGAGCTCGGTCACGTATAGCTGATCAGTTCACACCGGAACGGTACGTAGATTGTGAAACACCGTTTCTTGCTGTCGTTTTCAGCTCCGTGGCTTAATTATGCCGTGGTCACGTGGTGTGATATTAACATCTCATTGTAACCGCCAACACGATGCAACTCCTCGCCTAATTATCTAACGCGCCTACGGTCAAGAGATATGAGGGGGAGCTGTAAATGGTAGCATCCGTCGCGCACCGGATAAAGATGACTGCAAACGAAAAGATACAAGGCTTGTCTGCTTTTACTCGGAGCTGCTTTCTTCACAAATGCTCTTTTAAATGAGGTTAGACTGTGTTGGGTATTCTTCAAAAGCTGTAACTCATGAGACATAAAACCGTAGCTGTATTTCTACGCTAGCTGGTAGCCGGTCGAGATAAACGACTGATTGGTGCTGTTGTGAGCTGTGAGTGATTGCATGGTGGTTGTTCTGGTTTACATCTGGAATTCAGGATGCACAGAGCGTTACTAATTAATAATTACACAACCTGGAACCCTGCGACTTGGTGGTTTAATGAATCGAGTTTATAATAGTCGAGTGGGAGCACCCTACTTTTCCCCTCAACCTCATTGTTGTGTTTGTGCCCGACCGTTGGTTCCGTCGGGATATTCAATCGGTATGAAAACATAAATATTATAGACAACCTCAATCCCGTCGTTAGTTCAGAATTCTTTTAGCGTGCAGCAGGTTCCCCTTAATGCTGTCTGTGGTCATGAAATCCGGCTCAGATAGCGTAAGATACGGTTGGTGGCTAAGGGTCACATTGAAAAGTGCAAATGAAGTTCTGCCATTGTACTGTTGTAGCAAGTGTTGTTGTAGGGTCATAAAGTTGTAGGGTTGAAAGGGCCGGTGCCTGTTTATGATTATTACACCTGGAATGGACGCAGGCGCAGAGAACGAGATCAGACCACATATTTCGAAGATCGGAAGGTATACACTCTGCTCCTTCCCGTCCCTACCTCTGCCTATTGCATGCTGTGGGTTTATTCGCCGGTTTCGCTCCCAAAATGGCATCATTATCATTGGCAGTTCTAGGCGTTCGGTGGTCGACCCACAGCAGCCACTGCCCCCTTTGGGCGCAGCAAGGCTTACCCATACTGAATGGGCGCTTTTTACGCAACCTTGTCGCGCTCCCAATTCTCCCGAGGCGGTATGACTTTCCCCAATCCTCATCGACAGGCCCAACCCCGGCCTAGCCAAGTGTATCCTTCAATGAGACCGAGTTGAAAAACCTGGATCAACCAAACAATGGTTCGTGGGCCCTTCGTTTTGTCCTCTGCATTCGCTTGACATTAGCGACGTGGTTTGACCTCGATGTCCGCTGGGCAGAAGTACTTTCGGAGGACAACCGATGCTAGCCCTGCAAAGGACTCAGTCAATGCGACCGCCGTCGCCCTAACTCAACCGCCCCATACGCCCATAGTTGACACTAGTCTCACCGCTGCCTCCACCCTCACGCGCAAGGTCGATGATAACACCGTCGGCCCCTTGGGACTGAGCCTAGTCTACTCCCCCGTCGAGGAGCCCACGACGGACTTCATTTTTGTCCATGGGCTCGGCGGCGGCTCTAGGAAAACGTGGAGCAAGACACCTTCTCCCGACCACTTTTGGCCGCAACAATGGCTCCCCCTCGAGCCAGTTTTCCAAAAAGTGCGAATCCACACTTATGGTTACAGCTGCGACTGGACGAAACGAAATCTGGACATCTGCAATGTCCACGACTTCGGGAAGGGGCTCCTCAGCGAGATAAGCACGTCGCCGCTACTTGCTGATGCTGAAGTGAGTTGCCTACCTATGGAGCCCTTTTTTAGCCTGGGTTGGAGCCAGTTACTTAACTTTGACAGACACCCCTTGTGCTAGTTGGTCATAGCATGGGAGGCTTGGTCATCAAGAAGGTGAGTCGGAATTCAAACTGTTTGTCCATCAAGGGATAATCCCCTAACACATGATAGGCATACATTCTTGCTCGGCAGAATGCACTGTACCGGCCCATAGCAAAACGGTTCCACACGATATACTTCCTTGCCACGCCGCATCGAGGGTCTGACTCCGCACAGCTTCTCAACAATCTCCTTCGCGTGGCTGGTCTCTCTCGCGCCTACATTGCCGACCTTCAGAGGGGGTCACTTAACAGTCAGTCAATCAATGACGAATTCAGGCAGTACTCGGGCGATGTCCAGCTGTGGTCATTTTACGAGTTACGAAAGACATCGGCGGGGATATTCAATGCGCTTATTGTCGATCCGGAATCTGCAACGCTTGGATACGATGGGGAACGGCAGACGCCCATCGATGCCAACCACCGTTCGATCTGCAAATTTGATTCACCTACGAACCCTAATTATCGGGTACTCTTGCAATCTTTCTCTACCACGATTCGGGACATCGAAACCTCGCGGCTGGAATTTATGGAAAGGCAGAGACGGGACCAGTTCAAGAAATTCGAGCAGTACCTGATGGTCCCCGAATCCCCCGAGAATGACCTCATATCCTTCCAGGATACTCTAGTACCCGGGACCTGCGATTGGTTGCTGTCCCGCGAGAAATTCACTCAGTGGCAGGATTTCTCCTCTTACGGCCCGACTCTCTTTTGGCTCCGTGGTCAGCCAGGGGGCGGCAAGTCCACTTTAGCCAGCCATGTTATTAATCACCTCCAGAAAGCTTCTCAGCAGTGTAGCTATTTCTTCTTCAAGCGTGGTGATAAATTCAAGATGCGGCTTGGCGACTGCTTTCGTTCTCTTGCTTTCCAGATGGGGTTGGCTGACCCCCAAGTCCTAGAGAAGCTCCTTCGTATGCGGAATGAGGGCGTTGGAATCGATGGAGATGACGTCCGGAGCCTTTGGCGTAAGGTGTTCGAAGCTGGCGTTCTAGCTGTCACTCCATCAGCCCCGGAACGCTACTGGGTCATCGATGGACTTGATGAATGCAGCAGCGATGGCTCAGCGTTATCTTTCCTTTTGTTGAAACTGGAAGACGCCACCTCCTTGCGGGTCTTTATCACAAGTAGGGAGTCGGAAGAGTTGGAGAGCTGTGCGCAACGCTTGCACATGCATGACGGCCGGACCTACTGCGAACGTCTGTCGCCATCAGACACCCTCGCGGACATGGACACGCTGATTCGGACAAGGATGGAGACTTGGACCATGTGGGATGAAAGAGATCGGGCTGCTCTCGGAGCGAAGATCCTGGTCAAATCGAGTGGTTCTTTCTTGTGGTCCGTCCTGGTCCTTGACAGGATGATTTTGGCACACGGAAAAGAACAGATCAACAGGGTCTTGGAGGAGATGCCGTCTGAGATGGAATCGACGCCAGGAATTCCCGAAAACAAACCCTTGGCGAAATCCAATCTGACGTGGGGTTCGGCCGAGCAAATTGGCAAGTTAAGCGCATCCTTCCCTGTTCCGACGTAAACTCCTAGTCGAGTTCTACCAGTAACCAGCGACATCGCCATTGCCGATATCTCCCTTTTACAACCGTCAAAAACGCTTCCTAGCCGACACCAATGGTTTCGTCTACATGCCCGGCTGATGCCGACCTTGTGGGCAAGATATCCACATCATTAAGGCAAAGCGTTCCTGATGCTGTTCTGAGATGTACTATGTAACGTTACATTGAAGAAGCGAAGGAACGATTCATTTCATTTACGAGGATAATCCTCCCAAGTTCTCTAGCGAACGATCGGATGCCGCAGTCAACCTGCATAGGTAACTGCCATGTGTTTTAGTGGCGTTGTAGCTCAAAACGTACGATACCTAACGAAAGACGTACGGTATCACCAATGTTCCTCCTCTTTTTGGCCGATTGCGCCTCCCTTTTTTTGGTATTGTAGTTGATAAACTAATTACCAACCTTATAACCACCAACCTTTCAATCACCCACCTCGCAACCACTAATCTCCCAACTACCATCGTTACACCACCAAGGGGTTACGACGGTCTATATCAAGCCTCACTTCACACTTGCTAGGGTAAACCGTAGGCGGTGGCACAGTCACTAATATTCTAGGCGTAAGGGACGGCAGGTTCATCTTCATCGACAAACATTCCTGGGTCTTGTCTGCCGGCATTGAGAGCGAAAATCTGCTTGCAGAAACGATCTATCTCCGCCATTTCGTCGCGCCACACAACTAGTTTTTGAAGGTCTGTGGGATCATCTGTGAGATTTTCCAATGCAGGAACGAGACGAATGTCATTGTCGCTCAGCATGACAGGGTCGTGATTGTGCGGAACGCATTGGCGTTCTCGGAGCGGTTTGGGTTGCTGCATGAACAGATGTTGCCACAGCCTTTCGCTCTGTTGGCCAACCCCGCCCTTGTGTAACCAGCTGGGAGAGCCTCGTGTTGTGCCCAACGAGTCAACAGCCACATTCGTTTGAACAAGTGACTCTGAGGTTTTGCGGTTCAAACCAGCCATTGTGAGTTTTCTCCGTGTTCAAGCGAGCGGGGACCCTGCAATAAATATCCTGACGTAAAATTTAGACTCCAAATTTCACCGCCCGGTGACCCGGCTTATAATCGCAATGGACGTCATAGCGTGTTCTAAGGCCGAGGCGGATTCCCAGCTCCAGCAGATTCGCAAAGGTCTGGGGGTTGAGGGAGACGAACAAACCTCCCCGATCCGGGTGCTGGCCTCTCTCAACCGGACCTTGAAGGTGTTCATACCCTTCTTTCTCAGCTTCAACTCTTGAAGAACTGTCGCGAAACCTCCTCAGTGCTGACTGGAATGTAGCATCTCCGACCAACTCTACCAGACACCAACGCATTTCCTTCTAGAACTGATCCAAAATGCAGACGACAACCACTATCAACCTTACGTCGTCCCTAGTCTCGTCTTATCGCTCTACGAGAGCGATAGCAAGCGGTATTTTCACACCGACTGCAACGAAGTCGGTTTCACGCTTGGTCAGATCGACTCACTGACCGACGTGGTCAAGAGCACCAAAAGGGTTGATAAAAGCTCCGGGCAGAAGGGATACATTGGCGAAAAGGGCATCGGGTTCAAGTCCGTGTTCAAGGTGGCCGATGTCGTCCACATCGCGAGCGGCCACTACCAGTTTGAACTGGACCGCAACCAGCCGATCGGCATGATACTTCCCATCCCCTCTCCGTTTCCCTACCCCCGTGCTGATCTTGTCTCCTCCGATAAGCACCACACCCAGTTCCTCTTGGAAGTGAAGCGCAATGACGACTTTCTGGAGATCGAACGGCAGCTGAAAAAACTAAACCCAGAGCTTTTGCTCTTCCTGCGTAAATTAAAGCAATTACGCCTATCTTTCCCCGACAATCGCCGCTTCATCCTCCTCGTGCGTTCCGTTCACTTATCGAACCGGGATTTGGGAGGTGGCGGTGGTGTGGAAATGATCACGCTCAAGGCTTCCATCGGTGGTATCGGCCCGGGTGGCAATATGACACAACACAGAGAGAAGAAATATGTCATCTATCGACACGAAGTGCGCGATTTGCCCTCAGACCCCGTGAGGGAGGGAGTTTCTGCATCCGAAGCCATACTCGCATTCCCTTTTCGCTCTCAGACAGATAACGGTTGCGTGCCGGTCATCGAAAGCCACAAGACGTTTGCTTTTCTGCCGATCAATGATTTCGGATTCAAGTTCGCCATCCACGCCGACTTTCTGCTTGTGGCAAGCCGAGAGGCGCTCGAGGAACGACGTCCATGGAACCTGGCTCTCCGCGACGGCATTCGCGACGCCTTCCTGGCAGCAATGCAAGGCTTTGCATTCAGCAGTCCAGAGGATCAGCTAGGAGGGTTCCGTTTCACCTGGCCTAAATACCTTACACGCACGCCCCATGGCAGTGAATTCTGGGATGAACTCTACGCGGATATCATCAAGCATCTGAGACAGAGGCCACTTCTTGCATCACAACATGGACCACCAAACAAGTTTTGCAACCCCAGCACTCTACGGTATGTGCCTACTAAATACCGATTCCATGGCCGAACGCTATTTGAGCCCCTTTCCGACGAGTCCAGTCATGACCACTTATCATTTCAGTACGACGACGTCTGGTCTGAACTCGAGCAGCTCGGCGTGCAACCCCTCAGCCTCGACGAGCTATGCACCGAATTTGAGCAGTGGCTCGCACGAGTCGACAGCGTGGTGGCGCTCAAGGCCCGGCCGCTCGCATGGCACGAACATGTCAGTCGGCTCTTCTATGGCTGTAATCCTTTTTTACAAGCAAGGCTGAAAGCATTACCCATCATCCCATTGTGTGACGGGGCGTGGAGCAAGGTAGGGCCAGGTCAGAATATATATCTTGAATCCCCATTTCACGACGACGACAGCGTGCCAGGAAACCTAGATATGTTCATCGTGAATCCTGTCGCGTCCCGAAACAAAGCGAGAAGGGAGTTTTTTGAGTTCCTCGGTATCAATCAGTACACACCCCGGCAGGTTGGCGATCTGATTCTCAAATTACACCGTGACCCTAATAGAGGTATTAGTCGCACAGCGGAAAACCTCATCCTCGACGCGGCATACCTCTTCAAGCACCGATCGCTGCTCCGCTGGTATTTCTGCAAAACCCCCAACATCTTCTTCGCCGTTACCAGAAATGGCGAACGTGCAAACAGGAAAGTCGGTCCCATTTACTACGACGATCCCCGCGTACAACCCAATCTCATCAACCGGTACAAATCATCCGCTGGAAATCCGTTCTGGGTCCTGGACGACGGATACGAGGCCGTAATCTTCACGGATAATGATCCGTCAACACAGGCTCAAAAACAGCAGGAATTCCCCAACTGGCTGCTGCAGTCTCCCACCATCTCACAGGTTCCAGAGCTCGTACGGAATCACCAGCTGACACCAGAGTGGGAATTCCTCCGCGATGCCAATGTCATTGACCTTCTCCACGCGCTGAAGTCGCGTTACGGGTCCTCTGCCCCTGAGGTAGTACCTGTCGTACTGTTACAGGCTGTGCAGCAGTTGCAGGTCTGGTGTCGGGATGGGAGCCAGCGGCGTTTGGGTGACCTGGCCCTGCCGACGGAGGAACTTCTGCGGGAGTGTCCTAACATCGATTTTGTCGATCTCTCCGAGGCTGGCTCCACGAATTCCTGGGAATTCTTGTCCCGGTTTGGCGTTCTTTGTACATGTGATACTACGGCGAGACTGCGCGAACTGCAGGCTCTGAGCGAGAGGTTTCAGCCGGGGGATGTTAGTAAAGAGGCTGTTCATGGAATTTACCGGTCGTTAAATTCGGATGGGTATCGAGAGAATAAGGATAAAGTCCGGTGAGTATCCACGCTGAGTTCCTGAGCAGCACAATTGACTCTGTTTCTGTAAACTCGCTATATAATCGGATATGCTAACCATCCCCAGAGCCTTCTTCAACAACAACCGCGTCGTGCTGATTCCAGACGGGGAGCATTCAGGATGGATATGTCACGACCGTTGCGTGTGGAACGCACCGCCACTCCTCCAACAGGTTGTCAGGCTCCGTCCGTACTACCAAGATTGTGAAAGGTTGTTCACGCAGATCCTAGAGGTAAGACCGGCCAGTCTCGGTGAAGTGGTACACGAATTCTGCTCCTCAGAGTCCAACAGGGGAAATGAAAAGTCCGCAGTCCAACGTTTTGAGAAGTTGCTTCTCTTGTTGGCGGATTTTGAGTCCAAAGGCCCCCCGTGGCTATGTAAGGAGGAGTTGATGAGGATCCGGGCTGCTCCCGTCTTCCCTGTTATTTGGCACCAGCAGAAAGTAGACGACGCGCCGCAAGATAATCCCGCCGCTATTATGTGGCGTTCGATGGACGAAGGCGGCTGGAACATTCCTGATGACATCTTTCTCGAGAGCTTGTTTCGGGGCATGGTGTATATGCTCGGCATGCCGGTCAGGTCCATCATCAAGTCCGCAGACCGCCTGAAGGAATTGTTCGTGGCGCTCGGTTGCACGGAGATGCTTCTTTCGGTTTCCGTGGAACAAACGGTTGAGCTGGATGGGGATAAGGTGCGAGCGCTATCCGTGGAGAGGGAGCTCAAGATCCGGGTTCAGCATCTTTCCCAGTAAGTATTCGCTTCGGCGCAAACCTGAGCACATAATACTCGGCTGCTTACCTGTGATATGTGTCGTTAGGCTCCCGAGAACCACAGATGCTACAGACAGCCCTCATGCGCTCATCCAGGTTTGGCGTGTCCCGTCCATCGCGATCACCCGACGCTTGGGCGACGTTGAAATCACGGCGGATGATGGACTCTTAAAAGTGCACAAAAACGATATCTACCTGCCGTTGGCCATCCCGCCACATCGCCAGGCCGAACTTAACTACGAGCTCGGATGCCACTTTGCCAAATTGTTAGGTATCGAAAAGGCCAGTGTAGGGTTATTGAACCTCCTCATGAGCGCTCCGGCCAACCAACTTACCAATATCCTGCAACGTCACAATATTGAGCCGCCTTCATGCGGTGAGATTAGCAGCGGAGAGGCAGATGATAACATTGGACTCACAGGCTTTCCCGCCCATTTCGCCCATTACCCCGAGGATGTAGGCTCAGCGAGTGACGCCCGTGAGGGATGGGGGGGAAACGATAGCATGCCGCTAGCATTGGGAATAAGTGCCGGGTCCTCGAACATCTCAACATTGACTTTACCAATTCGGCCCCGGGTGGGAGGCGGACAAGGTTCTGTTATTGATCACCCGTCTACAGCGAGGGCACTAATCTCACCCGAGGCGGAACTGCGCCGCAAGAAGATCGGATTCCGTGGGGAACGGCACGTGAGTACACATTTCTTTTAGTCCACGTTCTCTCTCTCAAAGTTCCTGAAGCTTGAGCTTACCGACTCCCAGGTTTACCATTGGTTTGAACACCGCATCAGCGACTGGACCTTTGCCAATTGGACCAGCAAGCTGCGCTCCGAGGCCGGGTATCCCGAGTTTATGCAAAGTGAGAAAGACTTTAGCGACTTCACCTACCGTGACACCTTGGGGTACATGAAGACGGAACTCGGCCAACTGGGAATAGAAACCGAGGCGGGGTGGTCCCGGAGCACGACATATCATCTTGAAGTGAAGACCACGACAGGGGCTGCCAACGAACCCTTTTTTGCGAGCCAGATCCAGGTCGATATGGTAGGTCTGGAATAATACGTCTCTTGCCCCTGTTTGTTATACTAAAGAGCAGAGTAGATGCGAACCCACGATGGAGATCCCGAAAATGTGTATATCCTGCTCCGAGTGTTCAAGGTTGATGGAGATCGCCCAGGGATGGTGCTATATCCCAACCCCTGGAGATCCTACATGGATCGTCTGCTGGAATTTAAATCGGTTGATGGGTACACAGTATACAGCAATGCAGAAGTTCAGAACTGTGGCATGGTTGGGCTCTGACTGCATGTGACAGTCGTGTTGGATAGAGACTGTTAATACCCCGGAGGGCCTTTGTGGGTGGGCACAGCTCAGGATTTAGGCGTCACTCGAAGAGCGCGAAATATTTCAGATACAGCGGTAATTAATTACCTAAGTATCTCGGTACCTATCTAGGTCATCATCTAATACACCTAACTGGAACGACGAGAAAGATAAAGTTTCAAGATTGATTTAATTACGGTTGCTATTGTTTTAGATCACTGCCAACTGATTTCCATTCGCAAAGAAGTGTGCAGTGCTAATAAACCTGTATCAAAGAGTGCGCTGATGGCGGATTGGGAAAGAGTGCACGGTTTAACCCCAAAGGTGGTAACGTTATATAAGGAAGGTCCACGGACCCAGTTTCCAACAACACCAACCAAGGCACCATCGCAGATTACTCGGTAGTGTAGTGGTTAAGATCTGTGTACCTAGTTGGATACTGTCTGGGGCCGAAAGACCGACCCACACCCTGTCTGACCACAGTTCTTCTTTTTCGATTCCTGTTTGTTGCACTTTTTTGCATTTTTAGTTTTATTTCCCGTTTCGCTCTTTCCTTCCCGCCCTCAACCATGGGGTGAACAACCCGGGCAACGCATCTGGTGGACCCCTCACAGTCAGGTCACTTTCTACCTCCAAGAAAGCGGGTAATAAAACAATCAACTGCACGAAGAAGCCTCAACATATCGCCGCGGCCAAATCCTCGACCAGGCAGACTCGTTCTCCGAGCCTCACAAGTCGTGCAACCAGTCGGCTCATTGGACTATCAAAATCCTCAATAGCCCACCCACCCTCCTTCCCCAACCGCATCAACCTCGCTAACGTGCGTTTCAGTCCAACCGTCAGACACTGCAGCCAGCCACGTCATCCTCCCTGGACTCCATACCGTCGAGTCGACAAGCTAATGACTCAAGGTCGTTACGCAGTTGGTTCGATACCCGCCGCCCAGTCGTTAGTTCATACCGGAGTCGTCCTTCTCCTCCTCCTGCATGCAGGGTCTACGGCCTCGGCTTTTGGCCTCACCTGCAACGAGGCATTTCTAGGATCCCTCTCAGCTCTGCCTTACCGCACCATGCCATGTCAGCCATGCCATGCGATGATATGTTATGCGTCCTGACACTGACACAACCCACTCACACCCACACGCACACCGACGCCAACACCAACACCAACACTCCCCTCACCACACCGCCGTTACGCACCCTCATCTCTGTTTAATCCGTTTTCCTTAGCCTAGTATTGATTTCGCCCAGGAAACCCTGCATGCACGCGGCTACGAATAAGCGTCCCCCCCTCACAAACCTCAACGCGACTGGCCACCACCGCGCTAAACAAGCGCACTCCTTCCTCCAGGATTGACATGCCTGCTACTGCTGCCGCCACTGTACCATCTACAGAGTAGTCCATCAATTCCGCAAGACAAAACGAAAAAGAAATGAAATACGCACCTCGCTTATCCGCGTCTGTCGGCTGTCGCTTATCCCGGCTCCTGACCAAGCCTAAAAGTCCAAGCACCAAGATTGAGACCCAAGACCCAACACCAAGCCCAAGAGCCCCGAAGGAACAAGCGCGATCTGCAAGTCGAACCAACCGCATATGAGACCACCCCCAAGGGCAGGCTCGGCTCCGCCGACTCGGGATGCAGCCCCCATTTTGGTTCGGGGTCGCGTCATGCGAGACCGAGTGGCGGACGGACACCGCCGAGGCAGAGAGGGCCGCCATAAGTTTGTGAGTCAGTTGTGTGAAAAGAGGGTGTTCTGAGTTTGTCAGTTGGTTGAAGCCTTTGCGGGTGCAGGTGAGGATGTGAATATGAGCTTGGGTTAACACTGTACTGTTGGACCTTGGTAATTACCTGTGGCCACGGCGTGGTTGGTGCAAACTGCAAACTCAACACCCACAAACAAGATTACTGGGCCCGCTCGGCCCTCTAACAACAAACTGGGCTCGCCGATGCCCGAAGTGAGTTGGGAGGGCATGATGCGGCCGAACCAGGCACGCACGCACCGTAATCGAATTCCTCATCCCTTCCACATGCTGTTGGGCAAGACCGCATCTAATCCTTGAACTATAGACCCAGTAGAATACTGCAGGCGCACTCCACCATGTGAAGACGCAATATCGGACGTTGCAGACAGGGAGTATAGCACGCTTCGTCAGCAGAAGCCACAAAGAAAAACAACATGACTCCGACAAAGCATGGAAACCATGCTGTCCTCCCGAGCATCCCTTGCTAGCGCGGGTGGTTGGACTGAAATCCGCGCGGCCGGCGGAAAACTCGGCTATTGACTCGATAGTCGCGCCAACGGACCAATGTCCCGTCGTTGCTCTGCCGCAGGAATGCATGCCGGGGCGGGCGGGCTCCGCATGTGGAATGGTGGATGGAAAAGTTCCTCGGCCAAAAAGAAAGGCCAACATGCCAAATCATCAATCAACATGGGGGACCTGGAAGCCCTGATTTCGGGCTTGGCCGCCGCCCTCGAAGGATGCAACAGCCGCGAAGTTCCATTCCTATGAGAAAAATGGGGTGTTGGTCCGTGGAGATGGGCTGGTCGCGGTTGTTCGGCAAACTTCCAACGCGCCATTGCCCGGATTGGAAAGGCAAAGTCCAAGAGAAGAAACGTGAGTGGACAACGCGAAGCAGGGATCCCTGCAGCCGACGCGCTTCTAAGCGCCGGATGCAACCGTTGGCGCGGCTCCCATTGGCTGGTCTCACGCCACGAGATCGCGCAACGTGCAGAAGTGGGAATCCGCCCATGTCGCCGTCCATTGACATGCGGGACAGAGATTGCAATATTGACCGACTATCCAGGCTTATGATCTTGGAGTTCGGTCTGGCCAGCCACCAGCGTCGGGCGGGGAGGGGTTGCCGTTCTGTCAAGACGGTGTCGATTTTGCGGAGCCCGTAAAACGACTCCCTTTGGGTCCCGGTCTTGCTGTTTGCGGAAGGCGGGGCGCCCAGGGAGAGCCGTGCACCAATTGACAGTACGGAGTGCCACAAACCGTGTTCGTTTTCAACGGATATCCTCGGATCGTTGGCTACAAAGCAAACAGGTTTTCCAGCTCAGATCTCGCGCTGCACTGAAGCTTGCTCATGGCTTCAAGAAACATGGCTGGTCCTGCAATTTGTTCCAATCGCGGTGGGTTTGCGGCACAGTGCCAGGGTCAAGCTAGGGGGGTTTGACAGCAGGGCCGACCGGGTTTGCCCAGTTTCTTTTGACACCGACGCTAGTGCATCCACGGGGTAAAATCGACCAAGTTGGGGGTAAGGCTGCGAGGATTATGTTTTTGTATCATTAAAGAACGAAAACTGCGCGATTTCGAATCTTAGAGATGTTGCATTCAGCCAGCACGTGGTAGCTAGTCGGCGTTGGTGGTTTGTTTCACTGAAACGGTGCGGAGGGGCGTCCGTGCGGTGTTTCCAGGGGCTTCACATGGGACGAGAACGATACTCACGGACTCGAAACGAAACACCGCGGGAGGCGGGATCGGTCCGGAAACTCACGGACGCGATTTTCACAAACCCGGTGCCTGATGATTTTGTTTCGTCGGTGGTGTTTTACGAATCGGGGGGGACAAGGCGGGGCGTGGTGGTCCGCGCCGGTATGACCAAGAGTCTGAGAATGTTAGCTGCAGAGAATGCTGCAAGACTCCCAACAGCAGGACGGCCGGCTGCGTTTGTGTGCCGCGATCACTGCCACGTGTCGGCGTTGGACGTACCAGAGTTGGGGGTTCTGGAAGATTGGATGGGTTGTTGCCAGTTGGGAGTTGAAGCCATTGCCCTAGCTATTTTGAGTAATATTGGCGGTGATCAACGCTCCGCTGGGAATGTCGACGACGGGCCTAACAACTGTGTTTGATGGACGACACATGCTTGCCTGCAGCGCCGAAGGGACGGGTCCGTCCGAACTGCGCGAGATGTCAATGTCCTCAACGGGTCAGTGCCCGGCGTCGTCCGATGTCCGTACACCTACGGACCTGGGCATCTCCCTTGTGCATCCTTGACGAAGATCATTTTCGAGACAGTCTCCACGGGGGTTCGCATGGTTGACAACTATCGCGCAGGAAAATGTTTCAAAGGTTAGGTCTTCAGCAAATTTCAGAAACAATATCTGGCCATAAGCCCAGAAACAAAATGTAGTCGTAAAGGGAAGACATCCAAAATGTCAAAGCTCCAGGGGCTTCTCCGAATCCTGCAGGAGCTTTAGTCTCAGGCAACGGCACACGGCTGGGGCTTGCAGTCAGCAGCACGGGCCCTATTGCAAAGCGATCAAAGTGATGAGGCGACGACTGAGAACATCGCCCTTTCCTAAAAGATGGATTAGCCTTTAGCCGTCGCTTCCGTTTTGTGTTTTCCATTCTTCTCGGTCGTCACGCTTGCGTTTCATTCCCGTTTCTCTTTTCCTCCTTGATATCCCCTCACAAGGAAAAGCAACCGAGAGACAAGCGAGCCGAACAAACCATGCCAAATGGAAACAAGCTTCCACCCTATCTCGGCTGACCAGCCACTAAAACTGCGCTAATCGCTTACAGGCCAAACTAAAAAGGTTAGCCGCGCAGACGGGAAAATCATCGTCAAAGCGACTGTTTTTTCGAAGGACACTGCCTAGTCTTCCAAATCAGAAAAACTAACCCGATGTTCGAGGCTCATGCCAGTGCCCCGCATGGGAACCCCGACCGCTGCCATTTCTCGACAGCCTTTTACATTTCGGGGTCAAACTGATTTCCGGGTGGCTCGTGTCTCAGATCGCTGCACGTTGGCCGTGGAGACAGCCAGACAGTGAAAAAACCACGCCGCATCAAATTGGTGCCTCACGGCACCAACATCCACAAAGGTCGACAGCGCATTTTCACTTACAGATATTTCACGTGTTTCAGCACTGTCGAAGCAACGCAAAGCTTCTCTCACGCTTCTCGCCTTACCGCCGTTAGGGCAAGGCGAAATCCCAGGCGAGGTCCCCTCATTTCGCTCTGCAGCAGACAGCCGCTCCAAGCCCCCACAATTTGAAGGACGGCCCATTATGGCGGCCGACCGCCGTCGTGCAAACCCTATGGGAGTTGGACCGGACAACCAATGATACTCCACCTTCTCGAATTGGCTTCCGTAATGTCTCCTTGGGGTGTATTGTGTAAACGCCCGTTCGCTAGACAATTTGCCTACCAAAACGGGCTCGATTTCCCCCCAGGTTCCGCGAGGCATCCGCAGAGCTTATGGAGATGCAGCTGATGGAACGGACAGGAGCTCCTTTGCAGCTGCCATCACAGAAACGAAACTGCAGGTTCTTCCCCCTCAAACAAGCATCACGGCCGCGGCCTCCAAGGCGCAAAGGGCACGGGTACAAACGGCCGGACGTTGAGGTTGCAGTATTGATGAACCCCCGCCATTCCAGCCACCCCACCCACACCAAAGCTGCATCTGCATCTGTTTTGCACCCCCTGTCTGAGGTACGCCCCCCCCCCCTGCAACTTTAGACGCAGCAATCGTCAAGGATCTCGTGCCTTCAGAACAACAGCAGCCGCCAGGGTCTCTTGGGACGTCCCGTCCACGCTCCGACGTGGGAAAACGTTGGAATCCCGTCCCAAAGAAGTGGATCAAATTCCTGTCCGATCGAATGACCGCGACACCCCAGGCAAGGGGGCGTTCACCCTCCGTCTGCACCATGTGGGTGGGACTCACATCTTTCTGCAGAACAACCTTGCTCTCACATCTTGTGGTTTTTCCCCATCCTCACCCCTGCTCGTCGAGCTTGTGTGCCCCGGTCAGTTTCTGCCCTCCCGTTCTGGATCCGGCGCCGTAGACTACCACATTCCCACAAGCCACATCGAGCTGTTCTGGAACCAGGGTCCCAAGCTGCCGCCTTCCGTGGGCGTCCTCGCATGTTCTCCCACACCATGCAGCTCCAGGAGGATATAAGCTTCCGTTGTCCCACCAGCATCGTCCCAAGATCACACACTTCACACAGCTTCACTCGTCCTCCACCCAGCGTTCTTTCCTACCTCACTCGAGTCCATTCCTCTTGTGGTATCCATTGGATCTTCCCCTTGCCATCTTCTCTCCACCCGCCAACATGAAGTTTTCCGCGACAACCGTCTTGGCCGCACTCGCGGCTGTGGCATCCGCCGTCCCGGTCTGCAAGCCGCCTGTCTACACTCTCCCGAAGATCGGAGAAGGTGAGCCTCGGATTCTGTTCCGTCACGAGGACTACGAAATTAACATAAGCTAGGCGCCGAGCTCACGCCCCCGGCTGCCTCCCTCGTGCTCAAGAAGATCGCCATCGGCCACGGCATCCAAAACTACACCTGTGCCGCCAACACCGGCGACAGCGTGGCCACCGGCGCTCTCGCCATCCTCCACGACGTTACTAGCTTCTACCCGGGCACCGAGCGAACCGGCGTCCCCCAGAACGCTTGGGATGGCCTGCCGAGCAACCTCCTCTGGAACACCCCCTTCCCGCTGAACAAGCTCGCGGGTACCGAGTACGGTGCCGACCCTACTACGCCTTTCCCTGTGACGGGCGATCTCCGTCTCAAGGGCGTTCCGCCTGCCAAGTTCCTCGGCCACCACTTCTTCGACAGCAAAGGCACCCCCGTCTTCGATCTCCCCGCCGCGGGCCTCAAGGCGGTTCTCAAGAAGACGGACACCAAGACCGCACCGTCGGGGGCCGACAAGGGCATCATTGGCACCGGCGCCGTTGCCTGGCTGCAGCTGGACGACAACGGCACTGGCCAATCCGTCGGTGTGACCTCAGTCTACCGCGTCATCACCGCCGGCGGCGCTCCCCAACCCTGCTCGGCCGTCGGGGCCGGTGTGCAGAGTGTGCCGTACACGACGTTTTACTGGTTCTTCTAGAAGATAGGCGACGCCACCAGGTTGAAGATGCAAAATACAGGAGCGCAGAGTGCGGGAAAACAGCACCCCTCTGCACATCCGCACACGTGGACGGGATAAGAGCATGCGTTCGTTCCGATGGGGCCAAAATTGGACGTTCGCACGGGATTTGGAGAATTGGCTCCTCGGAGATGAGGAACGGGTGGGACGTGATGAGTGGCCCATCTCGGTTCGGGAAATGGGTGTTCCGGTCTGGCTGGCCACTCGTCATGCGGCCGCACACGGGACGATGCAGCCGGGCTATTTTTGGCGAGCGCCCGGCGGCTGGCGTTGAAGAACCAGCCATTCATTTACCGAACACTCCCACACGTCTTCCTCACCACGTTACATCCCCTACTCTCTTTCCACACACAACACAACGCAACCACATACACTGCATTCCAACCATGCATTCACCATTACACACTGGCACAGACTCACGTCTGTCACTGCATCATTTAACGATGGACCAACGGAACATCTCCGTGCTTGACACGGTGTAGGAGATTAATGATAGGGACGGACACCTACCTCATGGCTCGGCGTTTGTACTGCGGAAAAGGCTTGGATAATTCGGGCTTGCTACTTTTGGCTTTTGGCTTTTGGCTTTTACATGGATTATTCGAGTATTTATTATAGGGATCTAAGGATGGTGAATATACTTGATGTTGAAACGATCTCTGTGCTTTGCAATTAACTTGGTGTTGTCATGTGTGATGATCTGGAACTCGGCTGGCATAGCCTGCCTTCGAGTGAGATGTACATTAATCATGTATATCGACCGCCATACAGTCCTTACATCTGAGCCCTCCTTGCGAAGCTCCCTTGGCGGTTGTCTATTGAAGCTGAAGATAGTCTTGGCCAGAAAATCTCCCACATTTGCAGTCCCCCCATTCCCATACTCTGCCCTAGATGTCACTTGAACATTTATTTTCCCTCACAAACCCCTCCCAGCTTTCTCAGGCACTTACACTCAGTGAACCTTCAAGATCCATGCCCCTTCCATCCCATTTCGAGTCTTCCATTACGCCTCAACCACCCACAACTTGGGAGGAAGGACCGAAAACAACCCCCCCGCCGTGCCAAAAACAAAAAAAGCCCAAAAAAAGTGCAACCACAGGATTCGAAAAAGAAGAACTGTGGTCAGACAGGGTGTGGGTCGGTCTTTCGGCCCCAGACAGTATCCGACTAGGTACACAGATCTTAACCACTGCACTACCGAGTAATCTGCGATGGCGCAGTGGTTTCTGGAGGTGTTGGGAATTGGGATTGCGGAGGGGGTTTATATACCCTCTTCCCCCGCCCAAACGGACCACAGGATTGGGTAAGAACTTTGCGGATTTATTCTTTCATTGGTGCAGGGCCTTACGTTTTATTTTCTTGCATGCCATCTTCCGTGTAGGTGTGTAAACCGGTTAACCGATAAATCCTAACACAACGGCTGCAAATGGAAAAACAGTAACAAAAGCACCAACGGCAGTGTCCCGTCAAGGCAACATAACACAAAAGTATGGCAGCACTTGGAAATAATTTAAAGACCATGGGCCTAAATTATTTCAGCACTAAAGTTTCAAATTTGTACCAAACCAAACCAACTCCCAGTCCAGAGCATACCTAAGTCATTGAGGAACTCCCAATACAACATGAAAAGTTGTAACCCCAGAGTCCAGAGTTCGGTTCATAAGAGTATTAAGAGGGACATACACGAGTCACGGCCATCTCTGTACTTGGCGTTAGAGTCGGCCGACTATCTCCTTTAGTTCCGCCAGACTTGCTGAGCTCGCCGAGAGTAGCTTTAAACACATTGACACCACATGACAGATATGTAACCTCATCCCATTCTCAGTCCAACCTCGCGGCGCTCCCCGCCCTACTCGGCCCTTTCCCCGTTCCTCGCAGCAGCAGTGCCACACAAAGGGACCGTGCAGGGCATGGCAGTGGGAATGGCACTTAACACATAACCTCCTCAGATACGGATACATACCTTGTCCTCCTGCACATTCTCCCACGAGCATTCTTCAACACGTTCTGGACACCAGACTATCACATACGACCATACGCGCTAGAAAATACGGGATCCCGTCCGCTCTCCCCTAGTCAAACTGGCGACGGCCGGATCAGTACTCAGGTCGGTGACGACTGGGGAATCCCCGGTGTTGTATGTTTTTGTTGTTTTTGTTGGGTGGCTTGTTGGATAACGTTAGCTGTCTGTCTGCCCCGGCCATAACGTTGAATTTCACTTCATTCACCTCGTCAAGTCGACCCTGCCATCCCTCAAACCCTACCCTCACACCTGAAGGCGTCTCTACACTCTAGCCCTCCCAATCCTCCATCTCTCCACAACAAACAGCATAACCCCGTAGTTGTTCCTGCTCGTTCCAATAGCAACCCACGATTCATCCCCACGATATCGTGCTGCATCATCATGGGCAGTCAAACAAACCCCATACCTAGTCCCCCCCAACCTCCCAAAAACTCTCCGTGTAGTATGCATGAATCTCATCCGTGCAGAGTAGCGGACACGTTTGTCACCACCATTACACGAATGATCAGTCCATACCTTGTCGCAACAATACTCCTCGTCAGTGGCGATCAGGTCAGGGGAAGTAAGGAAAGTAATTAGAACTCGGTACTTTATGGCAGCAATATACCTACCTAACTCCAAAACGAAATGGAAAAGAATTAACAGACTCTAAAAGCAGCATACAGTGGAACAAGAAAGAAGACACGAAGACGGGAATACAAGAATGTAAAAAACAGTTATGTCAAATGGCTATACCATGCGCCCGCACATCCGAAGCAGAACGAATCGCAGAAGTCCACGCAGAACCAAGCCATACGAAATGAATATACACACACATTCTTCTCTCTCTCTCTGGCAATCGCTCCGCCGCAAATCGCTCTCCAACCCGCTAGTATACAAACCAAACATAACGCCATGACGCCAAATCGGCGCACAACGCACAAAGCTTCCACTCCTCGGCTTGCCCTTATGCCTTTTGCCTTCCACCCCACCAATCCCACCTTTAAACATCCAACCTCGCCGTTTATAACCAACCCAACACCCCCATAACCTTCCTTCCTATCATCCCCCATGCGATATGTCCCATCCATCTCGTCTATGACACCCATCACCCTTAATACCCCCCCTGCCCATAAACCCCCCCATAATGCTGCTGCTGCTGCCCAGGCCCCCCATGTCCATGATACCCATGCTGCGACGGCAACCCACCCCCACCATGATGAGGCCCATGTCTCCTCGACGACCTCCCCGTCCCAATATCAATCTGCCTAAACTCCTCTTCCAACGATAACATCCCCCCTCCACCACCTCCTCCTCCTTTTCCGCGATAGCCCCCGCCACCGTTGCTACCACCATACCCATACTGATCACTATACCCATCATACCCATCATCCCCCATATCCCTCCCGCGACCCCCATCTCGACCACGATCATACTCCCCCCCATACCCATACCCATCATCAATCCCACTCCCCGCGCGTCGCGCCACACTGCTACTATGCAACTGCAGCGCACCACTCATACTCCCGCCAGTATCAGATGATGACGACCCCGGCGGCGGCAGCGCAAGGGGGATTTTAGCTGGGATGGGTGGACCGCTGCCACTACTGCTGATGCTGCCCATGGCGGAGTGGAGATTGCCCGTGCTGCGGCTGTATTGGTTTTGTTGAGCGGGGTAGGGGTTGTGGTGGGGGTGTTGGTGATGGTGATGACTTGGTCCGCGACCGGGGCTGACGCCGCGGAGGTGGGAGTTGTGGGAGGATGAGTTGTAGGAGTTGTGTTGCTGGTGGTGGTGGCGTTGGCTACCGGGGGAGGTGCCGTAGATGGCTGCGGCGGAGGAGGAGGATGTGGAATGGTGGGATGGTGCGGCGTAGGGGTCACGGTCGCTAGTGTAGTTGTCGAAGGTTGAGGCGCGGGTGATGGTTCCGCGTTGAGAGGAGAAGTTGTTGTCGTGGTGGGAGGGTGGTTCCATGCTGTGGCCGCTGGCGCCGCTGCTCTTTCTAAGAAGGTTGGGGCCGTTACCGCTGCTGCTGGAGGTGGTAACCCCGGGACCGTTGGCGCCCGACATGATGGGTACGATGGCCGAGGTGGACTGGCGGTAGCCTGCCTTTTTCTGCAGCCGGTTCCGATGTCCGGAGCTCACGGGCTCGACGTGATCTGTTATACCGCCCGAGAAGGTGATGGCCGAGGAAGACGACGCAGAAGGGAGCATGGACTGCGTCCGCCCGGCGACGCGGAGCGGTCGACGACCTGATGTGGGAGCCGGCTGCGGGCCAGCTGGAGATGGGCGGGCCGATGCCGAGTTGGAAGACGGTGGCTTCGGCTCTGGCTCGGGCGCCCAACTCTCGACGGGGAGATGGTCTGATGGATCGACCTCGCGGCCGTCGTGTGTGATGATCTTTCCCGTGGCCTCGCTATAGTCAGGCCGTAAAGACGCTTCATCCCGAACCGCGGCCGTGGACGCGTGTGGGTTGATGGCATCGTACGAGTCGGGCCCAAAGGGAATGCCGGAGATCTTGCGCGGGTCAACCGGCGGTCGGGGGCTAACGGACTTGCGCCGGATCGTGTGGTGCGGATTCGGGCTCGGGTCCCGCGCGGGATTCGGGGAGTATGCGCGGGACTTGATCACCACGTTTACACTCGATGTCGAAGGGCCGTTGGTGTAAGTGTGCGCCGCCCTACCATGAGTCCCCGTGTTGCCGTTGTTGTATGCCGGAACAACATCCTGGCTGTACCGGTCGTTCATGGTCCTCCCTCTCGGTTGTGTCTCCACCAGCGCCTGAGAGTAGCCCCGAGGCTGAGCGAACGACTGTCTTCTCTCGTGGTGGGCACGGTCCGAGATTTCTTGAGCAACAGCCGGGTCAATGCCCGGAACGAGTGCGGCCGGGACCGGGGCCGGTGCCGGGGAATAGCCAACTGCCTCGTCTTCGCCCCGGTACGTCAGGGCACGCTGCTCAGAGTGCGGGATATGCAGTGGCAGAGAGGATTCAGAGTGTCTGCCGTAATTCGGAGCATAGTCCGGCGACTGCCTCTGCGGCATCTCCGGGGCTGCTGCCTGATATCCGTTGGTGCCTTGATACCGCGGCTCTGGCGGGTAGCGTACTGCTTCGTTGCTGTTCCGGCTGGAGAGCGCAAGTGGCGCAGGGCTCGCCGTCAGGTCGTATTCCCGGTCCCGATCCAGCTGGGGTTGTGACTGCGAGTACGGCTGCGACTGAGCTGGTGGCTGGGGCTGCGAATATGACTGTGACTGGGTTGGTGGTTGAGGTTGCGAGATAGGCCAGCGACCCGAGGACCTCCGCGGGTTATTTGAGGACTCGGGCGACTCAGGCACATCCTCGACGGTAGCCTGCATGGTCCTTTGCGGCTCGTAAGCCGGGTCGTACGAATAGTGCCTCGACGGCTGCCCTTGTTCTGGCGTCGGATACTGACTCGATGGGAGCGAAGGTGGGGCCGAGTCGTAGGCCTTGTACGTCGGTCGGCCAGGGTAGCTCCCCGAGACTGAATTGCGGTGGGCCTCGTGTCGCAGCACGTCCTGTCGCATCGTCGGTGGTGTGGCCTGAAAAGGCGCATTGGCAGACGGGTTGCTCCCGGCCCTGCTCCTATGAGCTGGTGGGGGCGGTGGCCGGTCGTCCTCCATTGCCCGTGGCTCAGCCAGGTGCTCATGAGCGTTCCCATGTCGGGGATCATACACGAGCTGCTGCTGCTGCTGCTGTTGTGGGTGCGGACGGTATCCGGGATCTTGTTGCGGGGGGTACTGATCGGGCCTCTCAGGTGTGCGGTACTGCTGACTAGGCACGTCTTGACGACGAGAGGGTGTCCCAAGCTCAACACCACGGTCCTGCGGTGGTTGTTTGTAGTGCTGCGGCGCGGGTACCGGGGCTGGAGCTGGAAGTGGAGCAGCCGCCGGGGCCGAGACCTGATTGTACTCTATCTGCTGGTGTGCGGCAGGCGCCGGGTTCGGTTGTGGTCGTGGTGGTGTCTCGACCTCGGGGGCCACGGGTGAGGGAAGTGCAGGGGTCTTGCCAGTGACCGGGTCTGAAGGCAACGGGCGACGCTTGGGTACCGGTCTTGGTCCAGCAGCCGTACCCGGGGCCGCCGGCGCAGGAGCGCTCTGGATCTGCTCGGGCTCGGCTGCCACGGGCGGTTTCGCCTTGACAACAGCTTTCTCGGGCTTCGCCCGGTTGTCGTAGTACGTGACCTCGATACGGACCTCACCGGCATACTTGCCCCTGCAAGCAAGCTGATGCCACTGGTCACTCTGTCCACCGCCGGGCACCACGATGTCGCGCAGGTCAATCCATGCCTCGCCGATCAGTTCCGTTCTCTTGTCGTCGTTGAATACCGAAACCTTAATCTGGTAGTAGTCGGGCGAGTCGTGCACTGTGAACCGGAGCTCCTGGTCCCTGTGAAAGAAGGTTCAATTAGTACAACGCCGCGCCGACAAGGAATGGGGGAACTGCGCGTGTATGTACCATTTCGGAGTCTGCCCGCCGCGGATGTCTGTTGTCGTCTTCTTCGCTTCTTTTCCAAGTCTCGCAGCGCAGTAGGGGTCCTGCTTGCCAATGGTCTTGCGGTTGGGCAGGTTCTTTGCGCGGTCGATCACAAGCACTAGCGTCCCAATCTCCGGCCCATCGACGCTCATATCAGAGAAGATGCCCGCCGTGTGCATCCCATTGAGCGGGTGTGTCTTCGCCTTGGTCGTCATGTTTATGACTGTGGTGCCGCGCTGGGCCGTACCATGGAGATTCGAAAAACTCGGGGGTCGAGGAAATCGAGTTGAGAGGAAACAGTGGGAGGGCCGATAAAGGTAAAGGTCGAGGTCGATCGAGAAAGCCGATTGTTTACTTTACCCCGCCGAAATGGATGGAGAATCGGAGATCAGGAATGGGGAACGGAGCTAAGAAGAAACAAGGAAGGGTCCAAAACACACAATGAACCACAGCTTAGCTTGGATGGTGTAACAAAGATTCATTCAATGGAAAAAGCCCAACGTAAAAAAGAAAAGAAGGGTATGCAAATGCAGAATGCAGATTTCAGAATGCAGGCAAGAAACGACAGAAAGATAGATTGAAAAGAGAGTGCCCGGGAAAGGGAGATAACGTCGGTACTGCGTAGAAGGATATCCGCGCTGAAAACGCAGCACTGCGGCATGCAACCTGGAAGTGGGATGGAGTGGACATGAGTGGGATCCAATGGCCTGTCGCTGCCTTGCTTGTTGACGTGCGCCAGGGGTCTTGGGGAGCACTGGGAGCCGAATAGCAGGGGGGGTTGGATCGCGTTTGCAGTGGCTGGGGCCTCTGGTCTTGCGCGTCGCCAAATCAGAACTGCGGAATTCACTGTCCAGTCGGTGGCTGGCATGCGCCAAAGCGTCGCAAATCAGCGAGGCTGGGATGGAAGCTTTGATCATGCCCCGCAATGGGCCTGCACCTTCGATTCCACCACGCTTCTTCCGTGGGTCCACTTCTTTTCTCCGACCCTAACCCGTCGTTACCATTCTCTCGACCCAGAACATCACTTCCAATTCATCGAATTCTATCCGCCAAGCCTAACCCCGGCCCGGATCTCAGACGACACCTCATCCCCCCGATCGTGACGGTGTGATCTGTCTGGCGGGCCGTTGCGCAACACCATTGCCCAGAGATGCAAGATGCACGTCACTTTGTCGGTGCCGCGTTATCGAAACGGTCTCGATCCTCAACTCCCTGTCCCCGACTCCATCCATCGGTTAGAGAGTATCCATTTGTAGCCCTCGGCATCGACCGGTGACCGACCGGTGCCCGGCAACCGTGGATCCGTCATTTCGGCCGCCTCGGCGGACGGTAGTTTTGAGGCTGGCGACCGGCTAGTCCGCCCAGGCGCCCGACGACAGGCTCTGGTGGATCCGCCCGTTCCGGGCGTCACGCTATGATCGACGGTCGGTTAGGAATTCCAAGGCGCATGGTCCTCCACCCCGTGCAGCGTGTTTCCCTCACCACCAGACAAGTTGTCAGCGGTGATGTTTTGCCTTCGTGGATTACGCGGCTGTCGGAGATGAAAGCGGGTATGAAGGAGTGCTGCTCTCTTCCGATGCCTCTTATCCGCTTTCCCGGATGCTCGACTCTTTTTTCAACTTTATTCTGAAGCCGAAGAGAGCCGGGCTAGTTTCACTGGAGAGGATAAGTCAGCTATAGGAAACGGAAGCGTACAATGGATCGAACTACCTTCGGCTATGCGTAACATACCACGCACCGCCGTCAACACACCGCCCACCTGATCCATAACAAAGATGGAAAACAGTTGGCGACTTCGGCATAGCCAGCACCTAGGGCGGACGGTTGACGGTGGATAGACGTGAACTTCTAGCCGCCCATAAGCCATCACTCTGTGGTCTTGTTCCATTGTCGAGAGCGGACCACGTCGGATTGAGTTCAAGTTGAGACGAGATCGCTCAAGGGGCGCAAGGAGGTTGTCGATTCTCAGGGGGTTCAGGAGAAATAAGGATAGGCGAGAACCGCCACCCGCTTTTGGAGATATCTTTCTCCAGAACCACCCCAATCCAGAACTTGTTGGGAAACTAATACCTCTGGCCAGAACTTCTCGACTGAGACACCGCGGGATTCTCGAAACCCGCAGTACTTGAAAAGCTTGTACCTACCTCTCCACAGCCAAGTACTTTCCGCCGTAAACGCCGTGAAAATACTCACTAGCTGAATGCTAACCCTCTTGCGACTCATCACAAGAAATTTGGATACTGCCAAGACTGTGGTGATAGAAGACCCGGAGGCCTTTTGGTGTTGTCGGAGCTCCGCATATGTCTCACTTCGCTGGAGCCGAGAATGGGCGGCCCGCCATTCGCCACGATCTTCCGTGGACCATGTCACAGCCACTCACTGATGCGTCGGTTTCCCCTGTTTTGAACCGCAAACCAAACAGAGCCAAGCCTGCTGCGAGCTTGACCGAGGTCCGCTATGCAACACCAATCACCCTATTTATCATCCTGTGATGCGCCTCGGCACCACGAAAATGATGAATGAGAAATCACAGCGCTAATGCAATTGTTGTCGTCAACAGCAGCCAACCGGCATCGCACAACTTGTTGTCTCGGCTCTGTATCCGAATTGATCAATCCGAGGGCAATGATAAAAATACCCGCGACGTTGGCGCGCAAGCAGGTACACGTTACATGCAGATGTCACAGCCAAGCCCAATGTGCGATCTGAAACGCAAGGTGAAGAGGCCACCTTCAGCTTGCAGCTAGCACGATCATCAACCAGATCCGGGGAAAAGAAAAAGGAAAAGGGGAAAAGGGGTTTGTTCTCAAACTACGTACGGAGTACAGTCGTCTATGCCCAATTCGGCAATTATAGCAGCCCCGAATTAAGTTTACTCGGGTCCATTCAGCGCCGACACCCGGCATTTCTTTGTCATTCCCCAACTCCTCTCTCCCCCCTTGCCACCGTCGCCACAGCAGGGCTGAATTCATTCAGCCTCAGCCTTACCGTCGATAGGCAAACCGCGGGTGTTCGTCGTCAATTTAGAAGTCTGGGCCGCGAGATCCCCACAACCGGGCCCTCAACTCTTCGACCCCTGATCCCTGCGCTGCTGAGACCCCTGCACCCCTTGTAACCCTGGTCCCATACCCCTAACCCTCGATCCATCCATCTCAATCTTGCCTAACCCTGAACCGCGAAACTCCACCAGCATCATCATCAACATCAACACCGCCAGCATCATCATCATCACCATCACCATCACCACCACACCCCCATCAATCCCCTAACCCAATTCTCTCCTAAAAAAACAAAATGTCAACCCCCTCCAACCCCCCCACCCCCACGCCCCCCGCGATAAACTACATCCTCTCCTTCCTGCTTGTCGGTCTCGCCTGGGGCCTCACAACGCCCTTCATCCGTCGCGCCGCGCGCGACCACCAACCGCCTGCGCACCCGATCCTCTCTTCGCCGGGTGTAGCATCCAGCTGGCTGCGGACGAAAGTGTATGGCGGCGTGTTGGCGGTCGTGGATTTGTTGCGGAATCCGCGGTATGCGGTGCCGTTGGTTGTTAATTTGACGGGGAGTGTGTGGTTTTTTTTGTTGATTGGGAAGGCCGGTAAGGACTTTTTAGTCTTTTTTTCGTTTCCTTTCTTGGATCTAGTTTGGGGGGTTGTTTTCGGGTGATGGTGTTTCTCCGTGGATCATCGTAACACGTGGTTGAGGCTCATCAATGGTGGATGGATCGAAGTGCAGAAACATCCAAAGCCAAACCAGTCCACTAACGCAAACCAGAACTGAGCCTCACAGTCCCCATTGTCAACACTCTGGCTTTCCTCTTCACCGTCGTTGGGGAATGGTGGGTCGAGGGCAAAGTTATCAGCCGAGGTAGGTTCACCACGCTCCCCATTTTCTCCTTTTTTTCTTCATGACCTGCGGACGGCACACACTAACGAAAAGCAGAAACCATGCTTGGAATGCTGTTGTCGGTTGGGGGAATCGCGCTATGTGTTCAGAGCAAAAATTTTTAGTAGTAAATGGGTCAAGACGGGCTGGATATACCGTATTACGGCTGTATTTAAGGGGCATCTCCCAAGCATCAACGTCCATGATTCTTTTCCTTGTATATCACAAATAATTAGGAGGTTTCAGGCCCCATAGTATTCATCACTTCAGCCTTATTGTAGATGATCGACTTGTTTAATACTATTCCACTCGCTGTCTATGGATACCGCGTCTAGTTCTGCTCCAGGCAGCCTAACAGCTCGACTCCGAAAAACTCACGTCCACTCTTCCGGCATCCCTCCCCGTAGACATACAAAACAAGACGTTCCCGACGTTCTTTCCTTAATAACCATGTATACTAAATCCTATCCGGCCCTGCCGTCAGTCCGTTCAACCATCGTCTCTTTCTTTTGTTTTTCCCTCTTGTAAACAAATGTTCCCAGTGGTATCCTAATGATGATAATGAAAATAAAACCTTAACCAAAGAAATGAAGTCCTGTTTCTAACCCAGCCTTTTAACGAATGCCCCATCCAAAAAATGCTCCTGACCAAAAAAAAGTAGACCGAGAAAGACAAAGCTGCAGACAAGTAAAGAACGATTAGGAGTTATTTGAACCCGCCGCCTCATCAAGAAGCGAAGGCCATTCCGAAGGGGTATTGGTATCAAAGAAGACGGAGAGTGGAAGCTGGGAAGTGTTGTGTTGAATCAGAATAGCGTTTCGTGATACCCCCGCCCATGGAGGAAGGGTATATATAGGTCGTGGAGGGTGTGGTAGTGGTGGTTGTGGGCAGCTACTTGGTCGTTTCACCGTTCTCGTCTCGTCCGGTTTCTCGTAATCTCTTCGTCTCGTCTCATCTCGTCTCGTCTCGTCTTCCCTCGAGCGCTCGTGTCGTGTTTCGTAGCGTCGCTCTTTTCAGCATCTACGTGTCCGCACCCAGCGTTGTACCGCACGCAGGGATGGATCCTCGGCCGTCCAGCGGCCCATAGTCAAGTCAGAGTTCTGCAGGTCGGCATAAACGACTTCGTCGGTGATAGTCGCGAGCTCCTGTAGCGGTGTTAGCGCGTCGAAAAGAACTCAACTTGGTGCACTTCACAAGAAGAACACGTACAGTCCGCAGCTGCTGGTCGACCACGTCCAGCTGTGCCTGGTTCCCCGAGTGTGGCCGCCCACCTGCGAGGATCTGGTCCCGCCACTGAATCCAACGTTGTGCTGCCTGCTGCCGAAGGTAGATCTTTTGGCCTTCGTGCCTACGAGCGTACGCGTCGAGAAGGACTCTGAGAAACGAGTTAGCAGGGGGGACAGCGGAGCAAACCCGGAGATAGAATGGGAGGTGAGGGTCCAGTGAGTCATTAGAAACAGGAAAAAGGGGAGTAAACAAAGGGGGCTGGAGGACGACGACGAGGAGAAACAAGGTAAGGAGAACGCACTGCATCAACTCGGCTCTCTCCTGCTCATCGGGACCGCCGTTGGCGCGTGGCACCGTCACGTCGGCCGCGCAGTTGAGAATGTGTTGGCCGTCTAGCGCGCACTGCCGGAGCTGGGCCCAACCCTCGGTGTAATAGTCGTCCATGTCGGCTGGGTTGCAGTCGGCAGCAGCGATGTAGTACTGCAGCGTGCGGAAGTCGGCCAGCAACTCCGCCACGCGCGCTGTCCGATAGTTGTTGTCTGTTGTTGTGGGTATTGTCGTCAGCAAAGAATGATTTTCAGAGCTGGCCGGCCTCTGTAGCCCGTGCTCCTCTCCGTCTCTGTTGTCCATCTTCTGGTGGTCACACGGCGACTTCCGCTGTTCTGAACTGTGGATGGCTGGGCATATTTGCCGCTTGTCAGGGGCAGAGGGTATGTACCGGGGTTGGCGGTCTGGGAAACACACCGGCACACATGCGCCCCGTAGGGCACAATGGGTGGCAAGCGAGGACACCCAACCATTACCCGGTCCTCCCCATCCCTCCCTTTCCCTTCCCCTTCCCGAGAGGGCTAGGGCTTGTTCGGCAAGGGGAGGGTGTGTGACAAGGAGAAGGGGGGGTGGGCACTGAAAGAAAATCCGACCTACATCCGTCCGACATGGTGTGTGTTTTGGTTCGGTTTGTCGAGTTTGTCGTGGGGAGATTATACAGAGGTAAAGACGGGGGCCAGGAAAATCGCGCCCGGCCTTATACAAGTAAAATTGAAGTCGGTAAGGAGTGAAGAATGTCTCTGCCACTGGCACAGCACGGAAAAAAAACCAAGCAACAAGATAAAGGCACTAGACCAGCAACCCAACGCAAGCGAAAAAAAATAGTTGCACTTTCGGTCGATGAAGATAGGCACAAAGCTAGAAGGAGAGTAGGTAATTAGGGTGGTGTGTCCCCCCGTCGTCGTCGTTGATGGACAAGATGTCGGTCGTGGAGTCGTTCCCGAGTCGTGATGGCTTCAAGTCCCAAGGGCACAGGGCTGGTGGCGGCCGGATAAGTGGCCACCTCGTGGGCTTTTGTAGAATTTGCCATCGCCAATCCCCAAAACCGTTGAGCTAAGGGGGAAAGGGGAGTCGTGAGGGCCCTCCCGCCGATTCATCAGCCAAGGTACCTCCCGATCATTCCTCCACCTCCCGTGGCCCAATGATACGTATCAGGTGAGTTGTGGGGGAAAGAGTGGGAGGGAGCAAGCAAAAAAAAAAGACAAGAACAAAAAAGTGACCGTCGAGTGTATTCTCTGATCTCCAATCAACAAGTTACCAATTGTGTTCACACACGCCCAAGTCTTGTCCACTTCGGGCCTCTGCGCCAGGGCTGTTTGGACGAGACGCAATGGCCCGATGTGTGCGATCAACGCCTCCCTCGTCCAGCCATTCCCGGCGCTGTGGGTTGACGACATGGGGTCGGCGTGGCTAGGAGTCGGAAAAGGGTAAAGATTGTGGTCTCATGGCTGTCTGAAGAGTGCTGTTCCTGCATCTTGGGATTCCCAGACTAGCCAAGAGCTCGGTCACCCAGGAGCCGGGCGCCACCGATCGGAGAAACAGCCTCGCAAGGCCCCTACAGAGCTGTATCTCGCATGCAATGAACCCACCCGGGCCCGGCCGACACTGCCCAATGACGGCGCCACGACGGCACGAGGCCGAGGTGGAGGAGGTGGAGGAGGTGGACAAAGGTGGACATAGGTGGGCAAACTGGACGAGTGCGAGATCGTGGTAGGTGGGCGGGGCCTTCAGAGGGGGAAATAGCCAGCGAACCGGAACCGGCGGCTTGCAACGGCGTGTTCGGAACATGCAGAAAGCAGTTGATCAATGAGAGAAGGCAAAAGAAGAAGACGACGAAGAACAAGAAGGGGGGTGGCCCTTGTCAGGCTGGGAGGCGACTTGCAGGAGGCAGGGCTGCCACGATCGTCCCGGCCTCCCAAAGATGTGCATGCTGGACGAACCGAGTATGCACTGTCCTCGATGTTCGGGTGGGTTGCTGAGTTAGCCTGATCCAAGACACAGATGTTGCAGCGCAATGGTGCAGCTTTCGCTTTGGAATCTGAAATGGTCCGATACCTACAGTTCCCGTCGCTAGGTGGCTGCCGCAAAAGTAATTCTATCCCGCGCTAAGGGTTCTTCCGTGATCTGTACTTGCCTACTCTGTGATTGTTTCTCGTTTGGGTTCTATCGGCCCTTCCAGTTGTGACTCGAGTCGTGCCTTCTTCCGTTGCGCCTTGCCCACCTTCACCGGCTGTTGCTTCCTTCCGCACCACTTCAACCCCCGCGTTGCACCGGGAAGAGAAGAATCGAATCGAACCCAGGCCCAATTCCAATCCCACCATCAAGCACACGGCACGTCAACGACTGCTACCCACAGTCAGATTCTGTGTCCACCGTCAAAGATCTTCCTGCTCCCCCTCCCTGGCAAAACCGATCGGTTGTGTGGCTTGGACCCTTGCTGTGCAACGCGTGGTGCAGAAGTAGTCTCCATGTTTCGACAGGGGGCTCCTAAAAGTAGAAAGTTTAACGAGGTTTCAGCCGCGCCATGGAAACGGACTAAACCAGATGCAGCAAGCCTCCGGCGAGAACGTTAGCCAGCCCCACAGCATCTTCTCTGTCCCCCGGGCAAACACCCCCGGGAGGCAGCTCATGTGGCTCATAACTGTCGGGAACCAATGGCGTGCCGAGCCTTGCAGTTCAACAACCTCTCATTCTGCTTCGGCTGAGCTGAATGCAGAGTGCGATTGCTCGAAAGAGAAGAAAAGGGGTGTCAAAAGGGAAGAGGAGAAAGAAAGAAAGGAAACGTGGAAAAAAAATTAGACCATTCCCCACTCAAGCCACCCTCTCCGGCCTTCTGCGACCTCCGCCCATGCCGGGAAGGTACGGCCTTGACCGCCAAGGGTTGAACGGCCTCCCAGTGATTTTCCACGACGATCCGGCACCGACGGACGTCACTCGCTACTGCGTATTCTTCCAGCCAGCCCACCATCCTCTCTCGTCCAGTAAAAACCCAGATCGAATGGTTTTCAGTCAGACCCCCGGTCGCTAACTGCACATACAACTCCACCTTGAACCGTTTGTTCATGACATCCCATCCCAGATACTCACCTTTTCTGCAACGTCACTGGGAACACTACTGCCCCGAACCCACCATCAACCCCCCGCCAAGAAGTCCCGGCAATCAGGCTCGTTAGGGAACCGGGAGGCTATGGAGGCTATCAAAAGACGCTTGCGGCCCATGTCAGCTACGCAGGGTCTGTTGTCTTTCTTCCGCTTCGTCCCGGGCTCCTCATAGCCTGTCGAGCCTTGTCCCCTCGGCCCCATGCAACATTGCACCACGAAATGCACGTCCGAGCAACCGAGTGACCGAAGAGGGATTCCACGCGACTGTATCGCAAAGTGTGATCGAAGTTGGAATCACCTACGATAGCCGAACTAGAACCCAAAGTGGACATGCAGGAACAACAATTCCTCCCACACTAGTAGTACGTTCTGTATGTACATAGTAGACCGATCTCGAAGCCTCAACCCCTCTGGCCACCCCCGGCCCCTGTCTCATTCACAAGACCACCCTCACCCTCCCTCCCTCCCAGTTCCCACCAACCAAGCACTGATCCATCCCTCCAGACGAATTCCCAGAGCCCCGGGTAGCCTTCGTCCATCGTGCCAGTGTACCAGTGCATGTCATCCACCCATCCATCCCATCTGTTCACCCCCACTCATTACTTCGTCGATCTGTTCGCCCAGCCCCTTCGCATGTCTTGTATGCCCCCAACATGCACTCACGACGTAGTGCAAACGGCAGTGCAATGCAGTGCACGATTCAGTCGATTCGATTCTGTGCGGGCCGATTTCGATGTCGTTGAATCGATACGTTAGTGGCACACCCCCCGTCCTCAACGGTGTTCGCCCCCCTCCCCGGCCCGTTGGGAATTCGCCACCAGATCGGCGGAACTTCCTGGGGTATATGGAGGTTGATATCGTAAGCAAGGTCAGCAAGCTCGCAAGCCAGGGTGGCAGGGGGGCGGGGGGGAGAGGATCATGCAAATCATCTACACACTAGAGATCATCGCCACCTCCGCGGCCGCTAGCCTCGAGACTTGAGACATGGGCGTGACAACATGCCGCCCAGGAGACTTTTGATATGCTATGCTTGTTTGGTTCCTCAATGATCTCGGCGCCACAGGCACATTCGGGCATGGGAGCTAACGCAGAGATCTTTCGATAGTCATTGGCATTCATTTGCATTCATTGGCACTTTCATTGCTCTCCTTCCGCTTCTCCTATCGGGTTGGGTCATCGAGCTGCATATTGACGTCGTGTGCTGGAACAGGCCACAAGAAGCAACGTGGTACCCGGGGATACCAAAACTCCACCAATAGCTGTGATATCTCCCTCTGAGACACTCACGGCACTTTTGCAAGCTACTAGCTTCAGCGGCGAGCATCAAGCTGGACCCTATCGACGGGCCATGGGCCGCCCGGCCCGTCCCTCTTCATCACATCACCGTCTCAGTCCTTCTCGGCGATCGCCTGTAACCTCTCGTCGATCTCCTCTTCAGTCAGCCTCCTGAAGCCAGGTTGCGTCCCCTCCTGTCCGTCGGCATGCGGCCCCCCGACAATACCAATTTCAATCTCCGTCTTCTTGAAGTCCATACTAAGCACGGTGCTGAGTGTTGTGATGGCGAGCTCGACCACCTCCTTCCAGTCGCCTGGCGCATGGTCCTTGTTCTTGAGTTTCTTCTCCAGGTGATTGAGGGCTTCCTGCTGCTTTGGGCCCGCGGCCGTACCCTTGTACCCAATATAGTACCCAGCCGGGTCGCACTTGAACAGCTGCGGCCCAAACTCTGAGTCGAGGGATATCAGCGTCGTCGCCACGCCATACGGCCGCATGTACGCCTACAGATGGTCAACACAACATAACAACCTCACAAACGTTTGACATCCTGTCCCCCCCTTCATCCACATACCCGCTGAGTGTAGACCTGGCTAATGTTGGCCAACCGCTTCGCCAGGGCGTCGCATGGCATCTCATACCCAAACTTGTACTTGAAATCGGCCGCTTCCGACTGGGCGCGCTGCGAGAAGGCCCGGGCATCGGCAATCGAGCCCGTCATGACACAACCGACCGACGGCGAGATCTGGAAGATGTGCGAGACTGACGAGGGGTCGATGAGCTTGTCCTACGAGAATATCAGCTAGGTTCGTCCTGGAATCGGAGAACGACGGAGGAGAGACCGTAACGTACGGGCACTTTCTTCTGAGACAGGACTACGGCGCAGTCCTTGCCCCGCACACCGATCGACATGATGTTTGCCGCTGTGATCGCCTTGAATGCATATTCTAAGAATCGAGCTTCCGTCAGCATCTTGCGGTCGTGGCCTTGAAGCGTCGTGCGCATCTCGTCTCCTTCTCTTCCCAGCATCCCCCTCCCAAACCGACCGGCCATTAGGCCCCCATCTTAACCACCCCCCCGCCTTGTTCCCAGTGCATCGTATTGTTGTTAAACGTACCGACTTGAAACAGCCGTCCCTGCTCCGAGAAGATGGTAATGTGCCTGTCGTAGCCAGCGTTGCCTGTGGTTGTGATGTTAGTCGTAAGGGGTCGAGTCGAGCTACCACTGCCTAGCTCCAAGCTGCAACGACAGCAGGCCAGGAAGTGCGGGGGGTTTGCATACCCGCCATCTTGACAGATGCTAGATTTGGTACTTCGAAGTGGTCGGTATCCGCTCAATGCTGCACAAATCAGGTCCGAGGGCCTCCGCAGAAATATTTGGTGGTGGCGTTGAGGTTGTGGTTATTCGGGAGCGGGCGGTCGAGCTTGGTTCGAGGTTGGGGGACTGGAGCTTCCAACTTGGGCCCAGCTGATTGACGCGTTGCGGCGGTTTGCCTGGAGCAAGGCTGATGGTGGGGACCTGGAGCCTGCCTTCATGCCTCGAATGCTAGGCGGAAACGTCACAAGTCTGCTTAGTCATTTTCCAGGGTGCTGAAGCTGTTGTCAGCTTCATTCACCGCCCGGCAGAAAGCAGTCCAGAGATGTCCCCGCAGGACCCACCGTTCCAACCCCCCCACATTGAATTATTTCTTTCCGAACTTAACACCCCTGCGTCGGGTACCGATAAGATCCATCTGGGCAGAAATTTGCGACAACAAGCGCGAACCGCTTGGGAAACTGCACCAGCAACACCCAATGAGACATACAGGAACGGTGCCCCCAACACTGGCAAACACGTTGCGTCCATTTGCCTCGCCTGATTCCGGCGAAGAAACTTTTTCCCGTTCCTGTGGAAACCCCGCTGCTGCAGGTTCTAGCTATTCGTCCATTCGTCCTCTCGCCCACGTTCGCCCGCTGCTGCAGTGGCACTGGACTGGGCCAATTCCTGAACACCTAGCCCTTTTTCTCCCGTTCCGCTTGCTTCGCTCTCGTCTCGATCGTCATCATGTCCGCCCATGTCCCCGCGTGGAAGCGATTGGGCCTCAAGCTCAAGGGACCTGCGTCGGCCGAGACCATTCCCAGCTCGGGCAGCCCCAATGCGCGCGCAAAACCGTCTGCGCAGGTCCCCAACTCGAATTCGAATGCACACGCACACGCTCAGAACGGCCGAGTAAACGGAAGTCCGGCGAGCGCCTTAAAACGAAAACAACCAGGCTCCGCGCCCGCCCCGAATGCCGCCTTGTCGGCGCAAACGCCAAGCAAGAAGCAACGGAAAGACGACGGATCGGCGCCGGACCAGGCGACGATCGCGACCCCCTCGTCACTGAAGAAGTCGGTCTCATTTTCCGACGGGACCAAGTCCGGCGATAAGGCCAAAAAGAACAAGCCCAAGACCAAGGCAAAGAAGGCCAAGAAGGCGGCCGAGGCAACCCAAGCCGACTTCAGCCTCGAACCCTCCCTAGTATACCTACGCCAGTGGCATACCGCACGCGACTCGTGGAAGTTCAACAAGAACCACCAGACGCTCCTGATCAAGTACCTCTTCGACGGCGACAAAATCCCCTCCGCCGACGTCCCCGTCTTCTACCAGTACATCCGCGACCTCAAGGGCTTCGTCCGCACGAGACTCCGCGAGACGGCTACCGAAATACAACACAAAGACATGGAGGCCGGTGCGGGGGCGTTCCCGGCCGCCCTCAAGGACAAGGAGACCAAACAGAAGGAATACGAAGACACAATAGCCCGCTTCCTGCGTGACCTCCACCAGTACCAAGAACACCAACAAAAAGAACAACAAGCCAATGGCACACTATCCAAGCACAAAAATGCCAACGGCAAACGCACCCTCGATGAAGTCGAATACGTCCTGCGCGTCGGCACCCCGGAAATCAAACAGCGCCTCCTCAAACGCATCCGCGCCGAGCTCGTCCTTGACTCCCTCTCCGACAGCGAAGATAGCACCAGCAGCACCACCAGCGCCGCTGATTCCGTCGCTGGCACGTCTACCACCAGTACCACCACCATTACCGCCGGCACGGCCGTCGCTGCCCGGCGTAGCGACGGGCAGCCTGCGAAGCGCCGCCGGCTGCGGAATGTGAGGACGGATATTGGGGATGAGGATGAGGATAGTAGCGATAGCAGCTCGTCTGAGTCGGAAGACGAGTCTAACGATGATGAAGAAGATGAGGAAGATGAAAGCGATTCAGACGATGACGACAGCAGCAGTACCAGCACCAGTGAAAGCGAAGAATCAGAGGAAGGTGATGCGATGGATGTAGACCAAGCACCTGGGGGTCAGGTCGACGATTCATCGAGTTCGAGCAGCAGTTCGTCAGAGGACGAAGATGATGATGAGGACGATGACAACGACGATGATGATGACGAAGCCGAATCTGGGGCCGGAGTGGCATCTGCGTCGGATGAGGAGAGTGACGGGGTAGGGAGTAGCAGTGGTGAGGACTGAGTGTGGGTGAGTGAGTGAGTGAGTGAGCACGGAGAGAGTGTGTGACATCTATTGTATCGCTACTTGTAACCATTTTATGTAATATGGGGAGTAGATGGGAAGCTCGTCGCTTGTATTGCCAAAAAAAGGTTGGACGATGGGGGGATAAAGCGATGTAATACCCTAGATCTAAGTGTACCACATTCTAATTTTTATTGTACATTGGCCAGCGGGACGGAGAAAAAAGACTGTTATCAATGAATTCCAAGTACTTCGTAATATTATCCCTCCTGTGCTTCCATAGATTTGCCATGGTTTAAGACATGAAGGTTGAACACACGCCTCTATCTTGTGCTGTTTAATATCCCATAAGTTGAGAGTAATATGTGCTGTAATGCAAAACATCAAAATCAGATACCCGCCAATGCGAAGGGATGCGACCGTAGCCTGCTCCCATGTGCTCATGTTCAAAACGACTGCTGCCACCCAATATCCCAGAAAATTCCTGACCGGTTAGTATCACAGGATGTGTGAACTGGGTCGGTTCCGAAGATACAACAAAATGAACGACCGGAGGGAAAATTCCCGGGAGAGAAATAACGATGCGCAAAACAAAACCGCCCATCAGACCAAACGCCAGCCGCATGCTATGCCAATGCGACAAAAATCCGCCCAACCAAGAATCCCTCCCATCCTCCTTTCTTCCCTCCTGTTTCGTCCATACCATCGTGTCATGGCTCCAGCCATCGCGACTTCATACGTTCATCTCATGTATGAATCACGCTTCCATCCCTAATAATGTACCGATTTCCAACAACCCCACACACTCCCCCTTCTCCATGATCGCCATAATCGCCTCATCATCGTACAATCCCTGGTGGTACCCAACAGAGCCGGAGCTGGACGCAGAGCTGAAATCGGAGCCAGAGGTCATAGACATGGAGGTACCCATGGAACCGAAGCCCTCGTTTGTCTCCGTACTCCTTTCAGTTCCGTCACTCTCACCACTATCAGAGCCCGCAGTGGCCGTCCGCATCCCCCGAATCCACTCTGCCGCCCGTGAAACACTCGTATCCGCCGTGACCGGGATGAACGCGCTGCGCGGGATCGCCGTGACAGGTTGAGCCATGGCCTCCACACTGAGTCCGCGGATTGTACGCGGGGAGACGACGCCCCCGGTACGATGGCTAGCTTTCTCTGTGCTATTCGGACCGGGTAACCAGACCCAGCCCGATGGACTTGAGTAACCTGCTCGGAGCACGCCCAAGCCGGTCACAGCCGTGGGAGATGCGGCTGTGGTGGGTGAGAGAATGGGAATATCCTCTAACGACACCATTACTGCACGCAGATTTGGTGTCTTCCGCGCCCGCTCCTGTACCTCTCCCACTTCCTCTTCCTCCTGTCCCCTCTTTTTTGCATTAGCCCACAAAGCAGCACCAATAGCACCGCCGGGGTGGTTCCGCGCAAAGACATCTGCCACAGACGGGTGCAACTCTCGCGCGGCAACAATAGCCAAAGCATCGCCGACGGCAAGCGCGACAGTGGTGGATGTCGTCGGAGCAGACACGCCAAATGATGCGGTTTCGGCCTCGTGTATCGGCGCGGGCAATAGGATGGCGGTGTCCGAGTGCTGGCGATGACGCACAATGATCTCGCATGTTTCCGGCCGAGTATGCGACGTGAGCAGGATGAGTGGGAGGGACGGATCGAGATGGGGAAGCAAGGCGAGCAGCTCTGGAGTCTTGCCCGAGAAGGTTATCAGTAACAATGTGTCGTGCGGCGTAATCTGTCCGAGGTCACCATGTAACGCCTCAGTAGGATGCAGAAAGATGGCGTGGATGGCGAGGCTGTTGAAGGTTGCGACGAGCTTCTTTGCGATGTGGCCCGACTTGCCGACACCAATTACCACCAACTTGCCGCCGCCGCAACGTCCACCGTCTTTGTTGCTCCGCGAGGCATGACGACTGGTAATGGCGTCGACGGCCCGGGTGAAGCCATCACGGACGATGCTGTCTGAGGAGTAGAGCTGTGTGAGGTTTTGGAGGGCGGCGGTCTCAGTGGCTAGGACGTGGACTGCGCGCGCGATGCGTTCCTCAACCGCAAGCTTCTTGCCGCATACTGCAATATCGGGCTGGGTAAGCCCGCGGGAATCAACAGGCGAGTCGTCAAAGTCCTCGGCGGGTGTGATGGGCGATGGAGGAGAGAGCGGCGGAAACGGCGGAACTTGACGCAGCACGTACACCTCGCTATTCTGGATCGGCCGCTGCTGCTGGCATAGCTGGACCATGGTGGCGGTGATGTCCCAGTCTTGAGTTGAGTAGCCACTGAGATTCGGGAACGACGGAGTTGGGCTTGACTATAAAAGTCGACGAGACCGGGCAGTAGTGCGAGCAGGGGTTAACCAGGTTCGTAGTCCAGCGATTGCATCCGCCACAGATGGGCTCGAAGTACGAGAGCTGGGGGGATCGAAGGTTCCCGTTTTCTTCGGACGACCGTCTGATGGGCCGTAAGAAAAGCTCCGAAAGTCCCGGATGGAACTGTAGATCGGGCGCGGGGTGATGAAGAAGATCGAGTGGATGTTGATAATACACGCGCTAAGTAATTTCGGAACAAAGTATCCGGTTCCAGGAGGTTATGCAACAGGAAAGAAAGTTAGCACTCCGTGGGGAACAGTGCAGAACCTTAGTTAAGCTGTGGCGTGGAGAATTCCCAGCTTGGAACAGCTGGTAAGGGAGTTTCAAGGAACTAGCGAAGGAATGCGAGAACGGAACCACCGGACCCAAGACTACGGCGCGCGGGCGGGTAGATATTACCTCAACCAACCAGCCATTATCTCCGTCGAATGTACGGAATAGTCACCGGTATCGACATGTACGGGTGGGTAGTTGAGCCATCCCGGCTCCAGCCGCGGCGAATGGACTCGGCCGTGGGCGCGGGCGAACAGATCGCCAGGGTTCAATGCGTTTTGGATGGTTTAAAATGGGGTCAATGGCCCGGTGGAGGGGTGGGGAAGAACCCAAGAAGGGCAAGAATGTACCGCATTTCAGCGCTCCTCCGGCTGCTTCGCACTTTCTTTCGAGGACATTTTCCCCACGATATCCTACCTTCCATGCTGCGAGCACGTCAATGACCGGGCGGCGTTATCGGCGATGATCGTCCCGGCACGGCGGGAGGGGATGTGGGAGCGAGACAACCAAACGGCCAGATGATGATGAATCACGGAGTTTTTCTGGCGGGGTAGAGTGGCGGCGATGCCCCGCGGCCGCGTCTCGGCATGTGCTTGCGAAATGCAGAAGGGCGCTGCCCCTAACCCCTGCGCGCACGCAACTTTGCGTGATTGACTTCGACGGCTCCAACGGCACAACACCAAACTCCTGTGCAGCTACATACATTACCTACAAGCGAGAATGGCATTTGGTCAAAAGATGACCACCAATATCAAGAAATGGGAAACGTGAGGTGGGAATTATGTAAATCCTATCACTGCGATCGCCTTTCTCAGATGCATTACTACGTAACGGGGATTGCCAACAGGAGATCTATCACTCGCTAATGCACCCGACCAACGCGTCTTTTCTTCTCCATGCCCCGACGTATCGCCGAGTTCATAGTGAAAAAAGGGTTGACATCAAAAATTCCGACCGAAACGGCCCCGAAGGACAATTTAGAACGACCGGCTCCACGATGTGCAATGCAGGCCTATCGCTCTGGTACCCCTGCTTCATGATCCAGGTGTACCCAATCAAGGTAAGTATGAAGAAGAAAAGAAGAGAAGAGGAGGAAGATTTGGGGAGGGAGGGGCGTTTAAATAGGCGGGAGCTGATGGTCTGTGCACGTCTGCAAATTGCAGATGCTTGCACGTGATTCAGCCCAGCTGCTCCGATTTTTTGAGTCACCCTAACCCTTATCAAGATCGGTCTTTCCCGCCCCGCCGGCTTCCAGTCTCTTATCGTACCTCCCACCTTCCCTCCAAGCCTTCGATTCCACGCCGACAAGATCCAAGTCGCGTTGTCGTGGTTCCCCTTCTGTCGGTTGTATTTCTCTTTCGGTAGGCGTTTTGTCAAATTCTTCCAGCCAGCGAAATCTTCCTCTTTTTATTCTTCATTCGTTCCCCTCCAAATCCTCCACTATGCCGGACCAACTCTCGGTGCTCTTTGTCTGTCTCGGCAACATCTGTCGGTCAACCATGGCGGAGGGCGTGTTCCAATCACTCGCAAAGCAGCAACCGTATGAGGATCTCGTTGGCAAGATCGATTCGTGTGGAACAGGTGGGTGCTAGCTTTCGTTGTCGCTTTCGGCCATTCCGATTCGGATAGATCCTGATCCTACCCCTCGTCAGGCGCGTACCATGTCGGCGAAGATCCGGACGACCGAACCATGTCCACCCTCAAAGACCACGGTATCACCAACTATATCCATCATGCGCGAAAGGTACTATCGCTTGCTCGGGAAGTCGTCGGGTTCGGTGGGATCTGACTCGTTCGGTGCCTCAAATAGGTTCACGATTCCGATTTTGACAAGTTCGACTACATCTTTGCCATGGACCGGGGCAACCTCGAAGACCTACAGCGGATCCAACGTCGCAAACCGAATGCCAAGGCTAAAGTGATGCTCTTCGGAGAATACTCAGGCACCGGTAAGGCGGAAGTCATCAGTGACCCGTACTATGGCGGCCGACAGGGATTCCAGAAGGCGTATGAGCAGGCGACGCGGTTTTCGATCAACTTCCTAAAGGACGTCTTCCCTGACGTGGAACACCCTCAGCTCTGATGATGGAGGTTGCATTGGGTGCTTCGGTGTTTGGGATGTTCGTGTCGAGGCTCGAGGCTGAGGCTGATGTTTCGCTTGCCGGGCTCCTGCATACGGCGCAGATCGGGCGTGTCGTCGTCATTGGTGGTGTCGGACGTCGTCGCGGTCTGTCGAGAGCGGGCTGAGGCAAAGGTCATCTAGGACTCTGTTCCACGAGGAGGAAGCAGCCGCTTTATACCTTGAGCGGCATGTGTTTTGGAACCTGTCCCCTGTCACCTCCAGCTCTTGGAGCTCGTAACTTGGCCAAAAGGAACGACCGTCGTTGAGCCCCGCATATATCCGGACCCCTGAATGGCCTCAGCCCTACGACGGCCTGAGTGGTCCAAGAAACGACAGGCCGCCCGTCTAGGCCAGGGGTCTCATCCCAGCTTTCATTCTGATCTTTGTAGTGTATGCCACAGTCCGAAGGGATGAATAGCCCGGTACTTCTCATGAAGGGAAGGCGTTTTTTCCAAGGTTCCTTTTAGAGACTTCTTTTCCTCGAGAAAGGCCTCAGCCTTAGGTGCCGGACAACTGCATCGCGCAACCCGAGTCCCGGCTGTGTGAACCGGCGGTATCGAATAGCAACCCGGGAAGCCCGGTTCCAAAGGATCAACAGTCCCAACCAGGGCAAATCTGTGCCGACGCAACTGCAGCTTGGAATGTTAGGTTCTTGCTGTGCTCCAAGGTGTGAAATGCGAACTTGGTCGCGCGCGCGTAAACCCCGATGAGAAAAGGGGTGATCAACTCCAGGTGCACCAATGAAAATTAGGCTTGAAGCCTCGCCCAGCCAACAGAGCCCCCCGAGGCTCCCAAAACGGGCGATTGTGGGGGTGTTCTTGTTCCCTCGAGCCCTGCGAGCTCTGGCGGCATCTGCCTGTTCTCTGGCTTGGTTGCCCCTTGCTGCTCCTTCGTCACACCTCAACCAACAAGCACAGCGCTGCGGGCCCAGGTTGCATGCGCAGTTCGAGCTCCGATGGGCCCCGCAGCGGGCAGCGGTTGATCACCTCCCTCAGCCCCTCCATCGTTTTGGCCACGGCATCTCGACGGGAATCTCTGCTCTTCCTGATAAACACGAGGCTTTGCTGATTTGTGTTTGCTCGGCTTCCTTTCCCCTCCCGCCCTTGCCACTGCACGCAGTCCGCCTCATCTTCCTCGCGCTGCAATTATTGTTATTTTGTATACCCCGCTTTGCTTGACGGTTTCGAGTCCTGCGTCTGTTTTTTGCGCTCGCGCAGCTCCGTGGATTGCCCCTCTTCGGACGAAGCATCATCCCTTCTATCCCTATTCCATTTCTCCGCCGTGATTCTGCTAGGGAATTCCTCTCACGTCGCCGGAGAACCAGCAGCAGCAGCCTCGCGATACAGACGCTGAGGACCAGCAACGCGAGAACGACAAATATATAAAAAACGGCCGGTCGCAAACCACGCGTGCGCGTTCATATCGCCCATCATGTCTGAGCTCCAGGGCCGCAAGGTTTTCAAGGTGTTCAACCAGGACTTCATTGTCGATGAGCGATACACGGTGACCAAGGAGCTGGGCCAGGGCGCTTACGGTATTGTCTGGTATGAGCCCCCACTCTACGATGTGTCCACTCGTGCAAATGACTGTGCTTTGTGGTGTGGTGCTCAAGATGGTGTTTGAAGTGAAGGGGGTGTCATAATTGGGACGACAGCTAAGACAGGAGCTGACATTGAACTCGCCGATTTTAAGTGCCGCCCTAAACAGCCAGACCAACGAGGGCGTTGCCATCAAGAAAGTTACCAATGTTTTCAGCAAAAAGATCTTGGCCAAGCGCGCCTTGCGCGAGATCAAGTTGTTGCAGCACTTCCGGGGCCACCGTAACGTGAGATTTTTCCAAGATATGGGGTCATCACACAACTGAGTGTATGTTGGGGCTTTCAAGAGCGAGATTTGCTAATCGAGGAATTGTACTTCTCAGATCACCTGTCTGTATGACATGGACATCCCGCGGCCCGACAACTTCAACGAGACATATCTCTATGAGGGTGCGCATCCCCCCACAGTCATACATACCCACCCCGCGCTCCCTAAGCGATTCCTATGGTCATGCCATCTAACAAAGTCGCAGAACTCATGGAGTGCGACCTGGCGGCCATCATCCGGTCCGGCCAGCCGCTGACGGACGCCCACTTCCAGTCCTTCATCTATCAGATCCTGTGCGGGCTCAAGTACATCCACTCGGCCAACGTGCTGCACCGCGATCTCAAGCCGGGCAACCTGCTCGTCAACGCGGACTGCGAACTCAAGATCTGCGACTTTGGTCTCGCCCGTGGGTTCTCGATCGACCCGGAGGAGAACGCTGGGTACATGACCGAATATGTCGCGACAAGATGGTACCGCGCTCCTGAGATTATGTTGAGCTTCCAGAACTACACCAAAGCGAGTACGTCTTCCATCTTTTTTGTCCCTTTCATTCTGACCCCACTACCCCTTTTCTGCAGACTTAAGGACCTAAATGTACTGACCTATCCCGTCCTTTGTAGTCGACGTCTGGTCCGTAGGCTGCATCCTAGCCGAGCTCCTCGGCGGCCGTCCCTTCTTCAAAGGCCGTGACTACGTCGACCAGCTCAACCAGATCCTTCACATCCTCGGCACGCCGAACGAGGAAACCCTCTCCCGCATCGGCTCGCCCCGCGCGCAGGAATACGTGCGCAACCTCCCCTTCATGGCTAAAAAGGTCTTCCCCGCCCTCTTCCCCAACGCCAACCCGGACGCGCTCGACCTGCTCGACCGCATGCTCGCCTTCGACCCGACCCGCCGCATTTCAGTCGAGGAGGCCCTCGAGCACCCGTACCTCTCCATCTGGCACGACGCCAGCGACGAGCCGGACTGCCCGGTCACGTTTAACTTTGACTTTGAGGTTGTTGATGACGTGGGTGAGATGCGCAAAATGATTCTGGACGAGGTGTTCCGGTTCCGTGAGCTTGTGCGTACCGTGCCTGGGACGGCTGGTCAGGGGGCTGGGCAGCAGGGTGGTGTGCCGGTGCCGTTGCCGGGGAATGTGGATGGGCACCAGTGGAAGGTGGACGAGCCCAGGCCGGAGGAGTATGGTAGTGTGCATGGGCTGGAGGCGGAGCTCGGCGGTCGGTGAGGGGTGAGGCGTGAGAGATGTTGAGGAATGTAGGGAGTCGAGGGGAGAATGATGATGAATGATAACGGTGATAGGTAAAAGTGGGAAAGTTTGGATGAAGTAGCGATTCGATATCCAGGAAAGTTTTGATTGTCTCTGAGAGAGGAGGAAGATGGAAAAGGAAGACAGGATTTTTGACTAGCCCGAGGGGTGAAACGAGATACAGTGTAGTTTCTGTGTGGTCTTTTAGTATGATGATGATCTGGAGGAGAGACGGTCGATTCTTTTGCTGCCGAATCTCTCGGCCTTTACTTGATTCTCTTCTCACTTGTAGATTTTTTGAATCCAGCTGGTTGAAAGTAACACATGCAAATTTCGAGTATAGATATAAGCTGTGGAGGAGGTCCACGACTCAACCAAAGACATGGTTTTTACACCAGTTATCGCAAGTATCATCTACTCTGATTACTGACACACATCTACACTCACACACCATAAATGGCTTCCACCATTATGGCTTTATTTTCCCACCCCAAACAAGCAAAACGCCGACGCAATGCAAAAAATCAAGTCTCCGACCCCCTCATCACTACTCTTAACACACCATTTTACACCACCCCTAACATCAAACTCTCCACCATCCCATTCGTCTGAATCGCCATCTGCGCCTTCTCCACCTCCTTCGACACCTTCCCCAGCAGCGCCTGGAACTGCGCCGCCAGCTCAGCACTCCCACCTACATGCTCACTGTACAAGTCCAGCAAGTGGAACGACACATCAACACAAATACTCAAGTACCGCGGGTCAGTGATGTATTTGCTCGCCCATTTCAACAACGGCAGCACCGACACCTCATCGCGGCCCTCAAGCGCCTCACGCAGCCCAGACCGGTGGCGCAGCGCAACAAGCACCGTCAGCGCCGTGACGGGGTTGTATTGTTCGTCGTTCATGTCAATGACGTCGTCGAGCGCGGCCGCGTACCGGCCCTTTTGCAGGTTACGCTGCCACGGCTTGAGCTTGGCGCGGCGGTTGCGGCTGCTAGCGCCCGGTGCGCCGGTTTCGTGCGTGGGGATGACGACGTCGACGGTTTCGCCGAGGAGGTCCATGGATTTGGTGGTCATGGCGGCGCGTTTGCGCTTGGCCTTTTGCGCGTCGAGGCGCTCGAGGGCGGCGGTGCCGATGTCGCGCGCGGCTTCGACGGCGGCGCGGTCGCGGGCTTTTTCGGCCGCTGCGCCGGAGAGGCGGGTGCGCAGGGAGAGCACGCCGGATTGCATGCCTACGGCGAGGTGGCGGTCTTCTTGTGAGGCGCCGGCGGTTACGACGGAGAGGGAGAGGATGGGGCTGGGGTATTTGGAGCCGGCTACGACGTTCCAGTCGTTGGTCTCGAAGACTTTGACGTGGCCGTCGAGGCTGCCGCTGACGACGCGCCGGCCGTTGGAGGCGAGGGAGAGCGAGGTGACGGTCTTTTGGTGGTTGGTGATGAGGCGCAGAGGTTTGGCAGCCACGAGGTCGAGCACGGAGATGGTGCTGCCTGCGGCGGCCAGTAGGGTCGTGCCTGATGCTAGTGGGAGGACATCCTCGACGGGGTCGGCGTGCTTGAAGGTCATGACGGCACCACCGGCCGCCCTGGCATCCCACACGCGAACTGTCTCGTCGTAGGAGCCCGACACGAGCAGATTGCTGTTCCCGCCCGGCATGAAAGCACCACTGCGCACGTAGTCGGAGTGGCCGGTGAACATTCGGCTTGGGGTGTTGGAGGGCAGATCCCACAACCGGACGGTCTTGTCGTCACTGGCGCTCATGAGCGTCGTCAGCTCGGTGGGCGACCACTTCGTGACCCAGACGGGCTGCTTGTGGACGTGCCAAGTCTTGAGAATGACAGCGCGGGTGCCGCCGCCGACGTCAAAGACCTGCATCCGGCCCGAGTCCTCGCCGGCCACCAGTACGCGGCCATCGGCGCGGATCTCGCCGCAATGGGCTTCGCTGTCGAAACGGCCGATGGTCTTGAGGGGCTCGCGCTTGCGGATGGAGAAAATGTCGACACGGGGCCCGGACGTAACGGCAAAGAGGTCGTTGATCTTCGTGGCAGCGACGAGCGAGTTGGAAAGCGTCCCACCGGCCGCAGCGGCGGGGAAACTAATGTGTGATATCGGCCATGATGCCGTCGAGGTGTGGGATTTCTGGTTCTTGAACGACCTCCAGTACCGCTGCTCGGGCGTGACAGAACTGGGCCCCGACGGCAGCTTCACCTGCGCCAGGGGAAGCACTTCGGCCGCCATTTCGAAGAAGGGTGTCGGGTTTCACAGTCCGACGGCGGCGGCGTTGGGGCTTTTGGGCGGGGCAATTGCGCGGCGCTGGTGATTGTTGGTGTTGGCCGTGTCTGTTGTCGCAGCCTCGCGATCAAAAACTCGAAACTTTTTTTTGAACTTTTTTTTTGGCCTGGCGCGCTGCTGCACCCAGTTGGGGAAGCGCTGCTTGGTGTGCCGCTCAGACAGCTCGCCCCACAACCTACAGGGCGGTGTCGCATCCCATTCGTCGCTGAACCGAGAAGCCTCCCGCCTCTGATGTGGGGTCATGAAATGGTCCAGAAGTTCATGCTTTCTTTGAAGTCTTGTCTCAACTTGGAGCTCAACTCTCGGGGACTTTTGTATATAACGTTAGGTAGAAATCCGGAAGAGCGTCAAATACCAAGTTGGGCGCCGAAGAGCCTGCGGAGCAGATGTGTTTTGCGCTCTTTCCGTAGCTGTAGCTGAATTTGATTATGGGAGCTTATCCGACCTGGCCACCCACCGATGGGCAAACGAAATCACCAACTCCCAGTGCAGCCAACAGTTCCAATATTCGGGCTGCGTTACGCGAGGTGCTGAACCACCTGCATTTGGTGGTGCAGGCAGGTTGTTGGTCCCAACTGTCCATGCGTTGAATGGCGTAGTCTCGCAAGATGGTGTCTGCGAGACATAACTTATCGTCCCTCTTCGAAACCCGGGGGTTTTCGGGCAACTTATTGTCTTCCGTCTCGCTTCATACTGGTGTTGGACACTAGCATTCATCCCACTGGAGGTTGGAAGTTGAGATGATGCGCCGTTGTCGAAGCCCCGCCGAGGCCTGCCAACCACCCACGCCCCACTGCACCCACCGCTGCAGCGCTGTCGATCTCACCTGAGGGAAGCCCAACGACGGGCCAAGCAAACGAAGAGATGGTGTGTGTCCCCGACACCAACGCCACAACGCTGCAGTCCTCCAGCGTGGTTGCCAGGACCTCAAACGCATCGTTGGTTACAAACGCAACGGGTGGTAGATAAAGATCATACAAATACAGCGGAAAGTAAACAAAGCCCCCAAACCCGGGAGACAAGCCTCTGGGTTGCTGATCGGGCCTTGTTCTATTCTTGAATTCAAAAGTTCCTCCTGATTCCATGTTGGGGGTTTGAATGTTCAATATTGTATAATCCAGAACCCTGCTCTCTTCCCGTGTCTCCACCTTGACAATCGTGGTGGGCACCACTCAACGAGAGGGTGCTTTTGTCTATTGGTTGCAAGGTGTGAAAGCCGACCGTGACTTCCCTCTCGCCATCTCAAGAACCATCGATCCTTCCGTCCTGTCAAGACGACGTGCCCCTGTTAGCTCTGTTCTTCTCGTCTCTTTGGACGCGCCCTTTCTTCTTGATTTGGGTCCCGACAGCTGGGTCTTTTTCTTTCGTCAAGAGTTACTGCATTCCGTACTTTACGCGCCCATCACGCCAGACCGCGTTTGACCGACCGAAATAGCGACGACCTCTTTCTTTTACGGTATCGCCGACCTCCCTTCCAATGGTGTGTGGGTTTTGCGCGTTACCTGGTCGCGTCTTTACGCCTTCTTTTCGCTCTTTCATCCTTCCTTACCGCAATCCAACTCGATACACTACAACACAAGATCACACCAAACAAGCAGTCAATAAGCACCTACCAAAGACTCACTCTAACATCCCCTCTCCAGTTCCCGAACTCCTCCAGTCGCTTCGCGACCGGACGTCGGCGCACTGAGTAGGAGTGAACGATGTCACCTCCCCTGCCCGGCGCGGGCACGGGGGCGGGTGCGCACAACAACCGTCAGTCCGCTTTCCCCATCGACCAACACCAGATCGCCTCGTCAAATGCCACCGCTAGCTCTTTTCTCGGCAGTCGACAGCCATCATGGCTGGCACCAGGCACACCGGGCGCACCGCCGCCTCGAAAACAATCCCTATCGCGTCCTACTAGCGCTTCACGTTCCTCTGTTCTTCGCCCGCCTGCCGTCCCAGCGATTCAACACCAAGCACAGCAGTAAGCACATTCACAAAGGACTCGCGCTCTCAGCGCTCCCAGAGAGATACCAGCTTCTAATATGTGTGATCATCTCTTGCTCTAGACCCGCCGTTCTCCCATCACCTACCCCGAGCGACGAGCCGAGCCCCGCGTATTCGAACGTGCTCGATAGCCCTCGGACACACCCTACGCCACTCGCTCACCCACACATCATGGTGCCGACGACATCGTCCGTCAAGGTTACGCTTCCCGCTCCTAACGCTCAGTTCGCTCACCACGCGACCGGGAGTCCGGAAGTGGAGGAGATACCGAGGCCAGCGGCCGCTGGTCCAGCTTTACACGGTGTAAGCCGATCACCGACAGTCGACCATGCGTTTCAGCCCCTTATTGCCGGCGGGGGCATGCGAATCGGACCAGACCCGGCCCGGGCCCCTAAACGGCGGCGTACTGAGTGAGTTTTCATCCCATAGCACAATCATTGTTGTGGAGCCCGGCTAATGCATTTTCAAGGAGGACCCCGTCCGGTTCGGGCCTTCCCGGCTCAGGGCTTCCCAGCGCCAGCATTCCTGGCTCCTCGAGTCACGCCAAACTACTCCCCGTTCTCGACCACTACATCCAAACTAGCGGCGGCGACCAAGCACTGGATCCCGGCACTGAGCGGCCGCGCGTCATGCTCATCCGAGAAGCTTGCAAGACACAGGATGACTTTTTTCTCATCTTGCACCAGGTTTTCTGCGTTTGGTCTCTCAACAAGCCGAACGCTCATATGAGCCTTCTTCCTCTGGACCCGTCCACGATCGACAAGGGTTTGAGCGTGTTAGAGACTCTGCTTAAGAAGAACGAGCTGATGTCACCGCAGCGCCTGAAATGGTTATGCCACTTCCCTGTGCCGGACCTGAGGTTTGATCGATTCCGCGGTGGCAACGATGTTCTCAAGCAGATCATCACCTTCCTCGACGCCCTCACAGCACAATACGGGAAGATGCTCACGGCGTCGCTCCAACGGAAATACCCGTTCCTTGTCGATGAGCTTGTCAACGTCCTAGGTTGTCACTCTATCGTCTTGCAGTTTATCATGTTCACTGCCTGCCGTAGGAGGCTAGGCGTGCCAGATGGCCACTTCGGCAATTCCTTAGAGCAGGCCTTCCGCGAGGACCAAAAAAGACTCCGCACGATGGACGTCGCCTCGGCCAACGGCGTGCCCTCGTCGGTTTCTCGGCGGGACCTTGAGCAGCATAACGCCTCCCTGATTAACTTTTACAAACTGACAGTGGAGGCAGTGGTATTTCAATCCTCCGCCCACGCTCCCGGTGTTTCCAACGTACCAGCTCGGCACCAGTCAGCATCGGCGCCAGCGCTGGCGCCACCACCGTTGCAAAACAACACTACCCACACACACGCGCATTTCTCGGGCCCCAATACTGCTTCGCTGGTTCACTCAAGCCCTGTCTTGCCGTCGTCGTCTCCTACAGCCATTGCAGCCGCAGTCTCCCACCCCTCCTTGGTTTTCGCCTCAACGGGTGGCACAGAACAGCAGGCCCAAGCAGCTGTCCAATCACTAATACAACGGCATGCGTCCAACGATTTTGATGTTCAACAACCGCCGCAGTCCCCACGGGAAGCCGTGGCCCAGTTCCAAGGCTCTGGGCCCCAACAACAACTGCGGTGGTCGACGGAGGAGCAACACAAGCGGCAGCAACATCAGCAGGTGTATGGTCATCAACGGCAGTGGTCCCACCATGTGCAACAGCAGCCGGAACAACAGCAGCCGCAACAACAGCTACAACAACAACAGCAACAGCTACACCAGCAACAGCTACACCAGCAACAGCTACAACAGCAGCAAGAGCAGCAACAGCTACAACAGCAGCAAGAGCAGCAGCAGCAGCAGCAGCAAGAGCAGCAGAAGCAGCAGCAGCAGCAACAGCAGCAGCAACAGCAGCAGCAACAGCAGCAGCAACAGCAGCAGCAACAGGCACACATTCTACCACAAGTATGGCAAACACAACCGCAAAGACAGCAAACTCCGCAAACATCACAGCAACAACAACTGTATCATCACCATCAACAGCTTCAACACCCCCAAAATCAACCGCCACAAATTCCACAGGGGCACTCACAATTCCTCCAGCAAACACAGCAGTGGAACCAGCAACGCTTCCACCACAACACACAAGGGAGTATCGGCCTGCCTCAAATACAGACCGGATTCCAGCCGTCACCGTCCCCCACCAGCGCGAGACCCTCGCCACATATCGCCCTCTCCGGACAAAGTCTCCCCACCCCGAATGGGCACTCTGATATACGGTCGCTACAAGAACCTCCTCTTGTATCCCCAGCCGCTATGACCCCCAACGGAACGCAACCCAGGCCAGTCCCAATGGCGCGATTCTCGACGCCACAGATTCCACAGGCCGCGTCTACGCCCCAACGAACTGCGAGGATACCAGACCCGCTGCTCCCCCCCAAAGGGTCAATGATCGGACGGACGGAATGGCCACACGAACCGGCGGACCGCAAATCGGTGTTGATGTCGCTCCACCAAGCTCACCTTCGTAGCCCTAAGCGGGCGATCAAAGGAGGGGCGAGAGAACGATTCTACCAGGCCATCAAGTCGCTTCCGGTTGCGCCAACCCCTGTGGCTCCTAAGAAGACCATATACGAGTTCCAATTCGAAGTGACGGCGGAGCAGCTCGGCCTGGTGGCGACCAAGTCGAAGAAGCGTGGAGATCTATTGCCCATGGTGGAGCACTTCAACGGCGCACTTCGATGGCGGATCCGGTGCTGCGACATTCGAAACCCGGATAAGGGCATCAGCGAAGCATGGTGGGCCACGCTGGACGTTAGCTGGCCGATGTATATTCATATGACGATCAACGATAAGGTGCTCTCCGTCCGCCGGCGATCTCACAACGGCAAGGACCTGCCGACCGAGATTACCGACTTTCTCGTCTGCGGTACCAACAACCTTGTAGTGGCCGTGCATGACTCTCAGAATGAGGTGGGCAAGCACCGCCATCTGGCAGTTGAAGTGCTCGAGACCCTCAGCCACTCCAACGTCGTGGACGCCGTTTGGGCTCACGGTACCACGCCGGCGGAGACCACACTCAACACGATCAAACAGCGCCTCGCCACCTCGGGTCTAGATGACGAGGTCTCGATCGCCGCCCTAGACCTATCCATTGATCTCGCCGACCCATTCAGCTCCACCATGTTCACCGTCCCCGCCCGTGGCGCTTCCTGCACACACATGGAGTGCTTCGATCTCGAGAACTGGCTCAACACGCGCCCAGCCAAGCCGCCCGCCAAGTGCATGCACCGGTCGGCTGACTGCGGCTGCTCCGACCCCGCCAACAATGCTGAACCGTCTCACCCGGACAAGTGGCGCTGTCCGATCTGCTCGAACGATGCCCGTCCGTACAGCCTGCGAATCGACCAGTTCTTGCTGGACGTACGGGCGCAGCTGGAGAAAGAGGGGAAGCTGAGCACCAAATGTTTGCGTGTGAAGCCTGACGGTACTTGGTCGGTAGTGCTCGAGGAGGAGGATGCTGATGACAGCGAAGCAGACGGGCCCTCTGCGGTGGCACCAAAGAAGACCAACTTACAGCAGACGCCGGCTGCTCCAGGACGGAGAGAGGTGGAGGTGATTGAGCTGGACTAAACGAGATCGTCGGCCTTGCCCTTTATTTTTCTTCTGGCGTTTTTTACTATTCATTAATGATTTCTCATTCTTGGCTTTCTCTTCCTCATAGCAACATTTGCATGGCGAACATAGGAGTTTGGCGACCCATGTCACTGCCAGTACATGAGCCGGAATGAAACATGGAAGGGCTGGCGCTGGAGTCAAACGAACGGATGGGTAGCTTGATGAACATGGCAAGGGGTTTTGGAGTTTTGAGGGTTTGTTTCTAGACCTTTTTTTTTCTTCCATTCCGTCCATCGCTTTGATCTTTTGCCCACTCTGGGTTTTACGTTTTCGGCGGGGGAAGAACAAGCAGGCACAAGCGGGGGGACTATGGGCCAGGAGGAAAGGCGACGGCGTTCATTCAATGGTGGTGTTTTTCTCTCCCTTTTTTTCCTGTCCTGTTCTCTTTTCCCCCCTCGGCTTGCAGGATTGTTTGCTTGGCTTTCGGAACAAGCGTTGCGTTGCGTAGGAGGGTTATCTATGGGTTTGCCTCCATTTTTTCGGTGCGTTGTCTCGGGCGGTGCTATTCCTGGCTGATTGCGCTTGGGGGGAGGGCTTGGGGGGGATTACCGGATACCCAAGGGGGGAGGATGTATCTAGGGAAGAGAATATGAAATGGAACGTGAATAAGAGGGGATTTAGCTGAATGTGCCTTGGGGTCGGGTGTTCACCGTGTGTTGATGGAAGTCTCGGTCATGTGATTTCTGATGTATCTGTATCTACGTGATTGCTTTCTCAATAGAAAGACTGAAATATGTATTTTGATACCATGTACACGTACAGCACGAATGATGATATTTATATGGTCGCTATATGCTTCTTGTGTTATTTATCCATCGCCAGCCTGATTATAATGGCAAATGTTCCTCTACTAACCCTACCCCTCTTTGTATTCCTTTTCCGTTGAGTATCGATTAATTACTCTGACCGTGGGTATCCATCCTGTCCATTCCATCCGTGTTCATGGCCATCCCTCGTCTGGTGTTTTGTACATACACCCCTTCCTCTATCTCACTCTCCATTACGGTTGTTGATAGAGTTCGTGAGGGGCTGGTATCCGGCTGTTGGGTTCTCATGTCCACCCTCAATCATCCATTCCCCCCTTTATTTCCTTCACCTTCAACACACATACATATTTACTCTCTCTCTCACTCTCTGACCCTCACTCACTCCATCCCCTATGCTTTAACCTCCTCCCCCCACACCTTTCTCCTTTCTCCTTTGTCCTTGAAAGGCTGGTTACCCCTTCTCCGCCCCCCCACCAAGACTACTAGGCTGATTCTCATCCGTCACGCCGCTCCATGCCGGCCGCGCACCTCCATTTGGAATCGCGGGCCCCGTCATCTCTTCCGCCATGGCTTCTTCGTAGGTTGGTGGGGCATCGTCGTAAGGGGGGATTTCCTCTCCCGCTCCTGCTTGTCCCCCTTGTCCTCCCGAGGAGGCTCCTGGGGTGACGCCTGGTGCGAGTTGGGGTGGGTAGAGGGCTTCTGGGGGTTGTTGGACTTGTGTTTGAGGGGATGGGCGTGGCGGGAGGGTCGGGGCTGTTTGTGTTGATGTCCGAGGGGGTCGTTGCGAAGTGGATGGACCGGAACCCGTCTTGGGGGGCCGGGAGTTACGCCGGCCGCGGCCTTGACGGAGGGCTTCGACGAGGGCTGGAGGCGGGGCGAGGCCGGAGTAGACTTGGATGCTGCTGAAGTGCAGGGGGAGGTGGAGTTCTTGGGGGATGTGGCTGGCGAGGTGGGGGCTGTTTTTGGGCCGGCCGAGAAAGGTGCTGGGGAGGCCGGAGGGCTTGCCCCAGGCTAGACCGAGTTTGATTTCGAGTTGGTAGTCGCGGCTGCGGGGGGTTAGTTATACAAGTGGTATATTTAGGGGGTAGGAGAAAGAAACGGGAAAGCATACCTGAGATTGCAGGTGAGGAAACTGGGCATGACGGTGTTGGGCAACGGAGCATCCGTCCAGAGATAGTCAGGCACAGCTATTTCCGTCCCCACGGCGTCCTCGGGTTTAGCCACGGGGATGGACAGCCCGTGGCGAGACAAGACCACCCAGCGGCTCATTTCGTTGTTGACGAGATTCTGGCAGCGGACGGTGGTCTTGCCGACGAGGTCGATCTGGATTGTTGTGAGGTAGACATCCCCGCTGGACGGCAGCAGCTTCTTTGCGATCAGCCGCAGGGGCACCGGCTTGTTGCAAGTGAGAATAGCCGGATGCGGGAGACGAGCGGACATCTCGACGGACGGCGGGTTCGACGACGCTGCCCCTCCGTTGGAAGAGAAGCCGTCGGCGGCCATGACGGGCGTGGAGGGCCCGCTTGAGGACCGGCCGAAGAAGGACGAGCGCTTCTTCGGGTACGGGGCCGGGGTGGGGCTCTTGGGTTGGAAAGTGAAGGGACGGCGGGCATAGGCCTCCTGGTTCGTCTTCACTGGCCGTGGGGGCTCAATGGGAAGGAACTTGAGCCCCATCTGGTGCCGCCAATTCTCCTTGAAAATCCCCGGCCGTTGGACCGTCACCTTGACATAATACCGAATCTCGGCCTCCCCGGGGAAACCGGTGAAGCTCGGGGGCAGGGTCTTGGTGACGTGGGAGTACATCAGTTGCTTGGTGCCGTCCATGACGCGGAAGCCGGCGCCAAAGAAGCCGCCCGCGTTGACGACGCCGCCGATGCGGGACATGGCCTCGACGTTGCCGCATGCATTGTTAAAGGGGAACTTGAAGGAGAAGGGGAAACTATGCTGGCCCGGGTTGAGCATGTGCGGCTGCTGCATGGGGGCCGGGCCGGTCTCATCGGGGAAGACCTGGCCGACCTTGTACAGGATCTTGTGGTTTTCGTGAAGGGTGTCGCCGCTCGTGGACCGTTCCCGGCCCGCAATGCCCATGCCCGGGCTGTCGGTGGGCACGCCGAGGGCGGTGCGTGACTCGCCCTCTAGCTTGACGATGATGGCACCGATTTGCTCAGGGCGGCTGAGTGAGAGCACGACATGGCCCTGGATGAAGTCAAGGTTGGTGTAGAACTCGGGCGGGTTCTCCAGCCTGACCCGGATCGACATGGCGGCGGTCCACAAGAGTGGAGGATGGAGGGTGGAAGAGGGAGGATTTGAAATTTTTGTAAGAAGTCAAGGTCTTAACGCTGTATGAGGTCGGAGTGAACGGTGTAGGAATACAAAATTAGGATAATATTAATATAAAACAGACCACCATCCACGAGTGACAGACAGGCAGTCAACCCCACGGCCGGGAAACGCTGAATAAAAACAATGAAAGCTCAGTTGGGCTCGCCAAAGATGTATGTCTCGTTTGATGGTGCAGGGAGCTGGGCTAGCCGAAATTCACCCTGCAATTCGAACTGGCATATCCTGTTGCGTGTGTCCGTGTATTGAAGGCCCAGTAAGAACGAGGATGGTTGTTGGAAGGGGACTTTTTTGGTGGGCCGCTTCGCCGCAAAAGCTCGCGCGGCCTGTTACGTCAGTCCACATGGGCGGTTCAGTGAAATAGACATGGCAGCCCAGGCTTGAAGTCACAGGCTTGAAGTTACAGGGGGAGGGGCCCCTACAGATTTCACCACACACAGCCCCGGCGACGTCAGCGCCGGGCCGTTTCAGGTGAGATTCTTGGTGATTGTCGTGTAACGATTTGAGCTTCATTCGCCTAGTTAAGAGAAGAAGGGTGGATTGATCACTGAAACCTGCCGTAGCATTCGTGGCTTGGGCGCCCTGATTACAGATACGGTGGTTTACGGTACGCTGGCTTGGCTGGCACCACAGTTCCGGGTCTGTGGGCTGGGCGGCCTCTCAAGTCCCCACCTGTGTCCCAATTAGGCAGGCGGTGCGTGCGCAAAACCGACCTGACCGCTCTGGCGGGGTCTTTTTTCTGCCAGATCAAAAATTCCGGGCGGTGATGCGGTGAACCTTAATTTCTGGTGTTTTGGTGTTCTGCCGTCTGTGGTATCCCGCAAGTAACCAACCCGAATACCCACCACCACCCGATCACCGCCATGCCCAAGGCCACCAAACAAAAACGGGGCGGCGCCAGCAGCGGTCCTTACGACCGCAAGGCGCCGTCAAAAAGCAGCTCGGCCAATACCAACATCTTCCGCTTCGACAAGGACTTTGGCCAGCACATCCTCAAGAACCCTGGTATTAGCGATGCCATTGTCGACAAGGCGTTCCTCAAGCCGACCGATGTTGTCGTCGAAGTCGGTCCGGGTACCGGGAATAGTATGGCTTATCTCGCCCAGACATTTTACCTCAGTACTAACCCATCATCAGTCACCGTCCGGGCCCTCGAAAAGGCAAAGAAAGTCATCGCGAGTACGGCCACCCACACATCCATCCTCCCAACCAATTACCCAACCAACCGCCCCATCTAATAAGCCCTAAACGAGATCATCTCACTAACACCTCACACCACAGTCGAACTCGACCCCCGCATGGGCGCCGAAGTGACCAAACGTGTTCAAGGCACCCCCCTCGCCAAGAAGCTCGACGTCATCCTCGGCGATGTAATCAAGATGCCCGAGATGCCGCCCTGCGACGCCCTTATCTCTAACACCCCGTATCAGATCAGCAGTCCGCTGATTTTTAAGATGCTGGCTATGCCTAATCCGCCGCGGGTGGCTGTTCTGATGGTATGATCGATATCTGTGAAGGGCTGCTGGGTAGATGAGGCTGGATAGCTGACGATGGTGTGTTTTCTTTTAGTTCCAACGGGAATTTGCGAAACGGCTGGTTGCGAGACCGGGAGATGCGCTGTACTCTAGGTTGAGTGTCAATGTCAACTTTTGGGCGACGTGTAAACACATTATGGTGGGTGGACCAAGGATGGATGCGAGGCCTTGAGCTTTGACTGATTCGGTGTAGAAAGTGGGAAAGCAAAACTTTAAGCCACCACCTAAGGTTGAAAGTGATGGTAAGTAAGATGGAAAGAAATTTGGTTGTGAACACAGGAGCTGACCGTCAAAGTCGTCAGGATAGAGCCATTGGTAGGGCCTCTCACTCGATATCTGCATTGTAGTTAAACTAACAGAGTCTAGATTGGTTCAGCACGCCCCAACGTCGCTTTCGAGGTATGTCATCCTGTGAACCCCCCAGTCGCTCCTAGCTAACACATCCAGGAATTTGACGGTCTCCTCCGCATTGCTTTGTACGCACTCCTTGCCTCAACATCAACACCCCCCCAGATACTAACCATAAACACAGCAACCGCAAAAACAAGACCCTCCGCGCAGCCTTTAGCATAAAAGAAGTCCTCGCCATGTGCGAGCGGGTTAGTCTCCGTCTTTCTTACTGGAAGAGTATTCTGCCATACTAACAGCACACAGAATTACAAAGTCTACTGCTCCCTCCACAACATCCCCATCGACGAGTCCATCACCACCAGCACCACCGCTGCCACTACCTCCGACGACATGGACGTTGACATGGACGACGATGACGACACCGCCCCAGCCGACGCTGACGCAGATCAAGACGAAGACGAAGAAGACGACGAAGACGACATGCCAACCTTCTTCAAAGAACTCCAAGACGCGGAAGCCGCCAAGGAAACCGCCAAGACGCCTAGCCGGAACCCGAAATCCAAGATTGCGCTTGTCGTCAAGGCCAAGGTGGAGAAGGTGCTCACGGGCACGGGGCTGGGGGAGAAGCGGGCACGGCAGTGTGATCAGAATGATTTTTTGAAGTTGTTGTTGGGTGAGTTTCTCTTTTTCCCCGGGCTTTTTTAAAATGGTTGTGTGAATATACGTGCTGACATGCTGTGTTGTAGCTTTTCATGAGGAGGGGATTCATTTCTCGTAGGGCATGTGATGTGACGATGTCATCTTGTCCTAAAATCGGGAGGACGGCGTTGAAGGCGTTGGGACTGGGAAAATCGGAACGCATCTTATAGATATCCTTCATTCATGACTCGATGGAACTGATTTGATTTACTTCACATTTGGATACAACATGTTTGGTGTGACTTTGACTTTTGAGTGTAGATGTGAGATAAGATAAGTCTATCATATTCCTAGTTTCACGTTGAGCTAAGGAGTACCCAGGGTGGAAGCAAGTGGGTAGCAAAGTAGACGCAGCAGGGTATATCCCCTCCCTTCAACGCCTTCCAAACCTTCATCCGACCAGCCCAGTTTAGTTCAGCCCAGCCCAAACCGAACCAAACCAACAACGCCAACACAACAAAACGCCCTCTTTAACCGTCCCAACCGCCCCAACTGTCCCAGTGGCCCATCCGCCTCTCTCCATGAACTCCATTACTGGAAACAAAGACCGACACACAACAGTAAATAAACGTAAGTGATATATGTCCTGCGCCTGCCTGTTGCCTGCTCTGTACAATGATACCCGCGTCATGCGCTAGATCCATGACCAAGAACCCGTTAACGTGCCCTTCCTTTCGCTTACCAATCCAAACCCGCATGATAGATAAGACCATAAATGAGAGACCGTAGATGATAGAGGAGATGATAGCCAAGATAGATATACGGAGTCGAGAAACCCAAAACCTAAGAACCGCCAACGGAAAATGCGACAAAGTAAACCCAGTCCAGCCAAGTTCATGACCGTGTCATGCTTCTTACCCTTCTCTCACTTACCCCTGCTCTCCATCTCCTCCGACGAGAGAGCCCACTACCAACAGAGAAAGTCATCTCACTCCCACTGCGTATCAGGCAACTCCTCCTCCCCCACTGCCCCAGCCCCAGTCGTCCCATCCTCATGAATCTTGAATCCGGCTGCCGCTCCCGTACCCGCTCCCGTTACCGCTCCCGTACCCCCAAACCCCGCTGCGGCACCAAATCCCATACCGAATCCCATCCCGGCTGCTACTGAACCGAGTAGACTTTTCTGCGGGGGGATACCAGCATTGCCTGACAAGCCTGGTGCAGAGGAGGATAGGCCTGTTATTGCCATGCTGGCTGTGGTAGCTGTGGTCATTGTGGCCGTGCTCATAGTTGGCTGAAGTTGATGTTGCTGCTGAGGCGGTTGAGGTGGAGCAACGATCTGCCAAGCGTTGGGTTTACTCGAGTATTCGCTCGGAGCCTGACTACTCGTCTCATCGTCATCATCCTCCGTCTCGGTACCCGTTCCGGTGGCGGTCGGTTTGCCGGCGGTGTTGTTGGTGCTATTCTTCCTCGTAGTAACCGTCTCAACAAGCTCATCCTCATGAATGGCTATCTCCACCTGCTCGTCATCATCTGTCGTTCCCCGGGAGGCAGACAGGGACCGTCCCCCGGAAAAGGAGTGTTGCGAGAAGGAATGCTGCGATACCGGCTGGGCGGAAGACACCGATATTGACTGGGATAGTGATAGTGACCCCGACTGGGACTCGGATTGGGACGTGGGATCGACGTTCTCCCCGTCTGACATCATGCTGTCGCCGTCGAGATCGGCCATGGCACCGCCGTTGGCAATCGGGTCTTCGATGCCTGCCCAGGGGATATCTTCTGGCCGGAGCGGCTGTTGTTGTTGTTGTTGCAGCTGTTGTTGTTGGGCATGCTGAAAGAAACCCTGCGACGGCGACGGTGCTTGCCGACCGAACCCACGCCAGGGTCCGCCGTACCGCTGTTGCTGCTGCTGCTGCTGTCGCTGCTGATCATGATACCGACCCGAAAGCCGGCCATTCACATTCTCATCCCGCCCCCCACCAACATCCGTATCCACCCCATCCAACTCATCCTCCCCATCTTCATCCTCATAAACATCAATATCCTCCAAATCCGCCTCCTCCCCGTCCGTCCCGCCAAACCCAAACGACGACCCTCCCGTATTCCCACCACCACCACCACCAATCGGCCTCAACCCCGGCGTGCGCCGCACCGAAGCGCTTCCATACCCCCCCCGTACCGGCTGTCCATGATCATACCCATGATCCGTCATCTCACTATCCTCATCCTCCTCCTCCCCACCGGTTCCATTCTCCGAACTCCCCGTGAAATCATCATGGGAATCACCCATCTCCTCATCCCCATACTCCGCATCATCCAACTCTTCATCATCGTCTTCATACCCGCCCATGCGTAACCCGCCATGGTGGTTGTGGTGACTGCCCATGGCCACCGGTCCACGACTGCCGGCGCGTTGGTATCCAAAGTCGGGGACCGCTTCGCTGTGGGGTGTGGCGTAGTAGAAGGGGGTTGTCATCCTTCTCTCGCGGGGGTTTTGCTGTTGCTGATGATGCTGCTGTTGATTCTCGCGATCTTCCTGGTATCCATACATCCCACCTGGAGCGAGCGACGGTGACCGACTCATGCTAGTGCGGCTCCAGCGGGGGGTATTCCTCGGGATGAGACTCGGTGAACGACTAAAGCGGCGTTTGGGCACGGCACCCGGTCCGGCAGAATTAGGGATGGGGATGCCAGAGCGGTGGTTATATTGGGAATGGTGATGGTTATGACTGCTGCCCAGTCTGGGACTTGGCCGGGGACTGGCGCGGGCGATGAGAGGGGATGAGCGCCGGTCGTAGGGCGTGGCGCCGCTGGCGGCTGCAGCGTAGGAGGATAGACGTCGGCGGGATTGGGCGGGGGAGAGGATACCCGGGTGTACGGGCGGGAGTGAGCCGGTGCGGATGTTGGGTGGCCAGGGGTTAGTGCCGGAGCCAGAGCCGGAGCCGGAGCCGGAGCTTTTGCGGTCGCGCGGGGCATTCTCGCGCTGGATGAGGGGTGATGGCTGGCGAGAGCGGCTGGGGGGAATGATGCCATGGTTGGCTGGTCCATTCATGCTCATGGATAAGATAGGCGACTGCACACCGGTGTAGAACTGGCCGGACGGTTCGGTTGATGACCGTCGCGAGGAGCGCTGGAGGATGGACTGTCGCAGGCTGATGTTGGCGGACACCGCGACGTTGGGTTGTTGTTGCTGTGGCTGTTGCTGCGGCTGCTCGTCAAGCCGCTCATTATGGTTCCAGCACTCCTCCAGTGCATCCGCCTCGGGTACTTCGCTGGTATCGGCCTGGCTGCCGCTAGTGCTCTGCGAGTCGCCGTACACCCGACTGAGCTGACGCAGCCGCGGCCATGTCCACATCCAACCGGTCGAGTCGACGGTCTGATACCCTTTCCCGACAACATGCGCCTGATCCTGCAAATACGCCTCAGGCTGCGTGATATACAACCTCTGAACCCCCGTAGCCTTCATAACAACGCTCGACACGAGAAACGTAAAATCCCACAGCGCAGGCGTCGCCATCTCAGCCGGCGTGAGGAACCGCAGCCGCGAGTCCTTGTGCAGTTTCCGCAGCGGCACCCAAGCCTGGCGCAAGCCCAAAAACTCCGCCGTCGGCGCGGCGCTCCCTGAGTCAGATGAGTTGCCAGACACACGCAGCACATCCTCAAACGCAGCGTGCACAGCCAACTGCACGCTCCTCGCATCCGCGCCCCGGACACGCACCGTCTTGATCAGCCCGCGACTTCTCAGCCGCTGGTCGATCACCCGGCCGGGGATAAACGCCCGCGGCCACAACCACGTCGAGTCCGGTTCCTGGCCAGCCCATTCCTGGAACTTGGACTTGGGCAGCCCTTGCGGATCTGGCGTGGCCCGGCTGATGGTGTTGGGGAGTTGCGTCCAGCCTTCGAAGTGGGAGCCGATCGAGCGACGCTGGCCGTGGGTGTTGGTGAACTCCTTGGACTCGAGCCAGATGCCCTTGAGCGGGAAGGGGAGAAACACGACCTCTAGCTCCCATGGTTTAGTGTACGTCGGTAGGGCGGCCGCCTGCAGCTGGTGGACTTGGGCTTGAAGCTGCTGCAGCTGGCTGTATACCTCGGCGCGGCTGGTCGGCGGGAGGACCGTGGCGTTGGTCGATACAGACACGACGCTGGCTGTGGCGTCGTCGTTCTTGGTGGTCACCGTTCGGCGACTGCTCACCACGCTGCCGTTGTCGTTGAGGATCTTCTCCACCTCGTCGACGCGCGACTCGAGCTCTGTCACGCGCAGGTCGACGTGCTCATGCCGGTCGCTGCAGTCGTCGTGGCCGGCGATTGAGAAGGAGTTGGTCTCGAGCCGGTCGAGTCGCTGTTCGTGCGACTCGATCTTGTCCGACAGCCTCTGGTAACCGCTGCTGTCGGGATGGTCCTGTGAGGGGAGGGGTCTGGGCGTGGCCGCGTCCTCTGCTCCGGTTCCGGCTTGGGCTGGATCCTCTGTTGGTTCGGCAATTTCGCTATTGACGGTTATACCTTCGAGTAACTCCAACCGGCGGGACCCCGATCGGGGCCCATTGACACCACTTAGCGTCTGCAGTCCCCGCCCGGCAAACGGGCGCATATACCGGGCCTGGCTGGACGCGGCCGTGGACGGAGGAGCAGGCGGCGGTGACATCAAACACTGGGCAGGAATGGGCGGTATTCCGTCGGGGTATCCAGGACTGGCTCCAGTTCCGGCTGCGGTTCCGGCTCCTGTTGCAACTCCGGCTGTGGCTGTGGTCCCGGCTTGTGACCGCGGCGGGTCGGCCCAGTGGTTGTACGTATCCGGCATCGGGCTGTCCTGTCCGGAGTGGAGGGTGGTGGTGTCCTGTGGGCCGCCGTTGGCGCCAGCGGCAGCCGCGACGGAAGCCTGGAAGTCCAAGAGGTTGAAATCCAGCGATGATCCCAGACTCCCTGGGAGGTGAAACGACGGAAGCTGAACCGGGCTCAGCGGCGGTCGGTTGGTCACGGGTTTCTGGTTTTCCTGTTCGCCCACATTCACGTTCCCATTCCCATTCCCGGCCCCAACTCCGTTATTCCCATGTCCTCCCTGTGTATGTGCCACGCCGGGCAAAGGCTGCGGCTGTTGCGTCTGTTGGCCTGGCTGGAAATCCTCGTGGAAGCAGGCATGGTGCGAGCACATACAGACCTCTACCTGCGCGCCGTCGTCCTGGAAGACGGAAGCGCTCGCCGTCATCGACGCGCGGCTCCAAAACCGCCGGCACCCGCACCGTGGGAGCGTCGGGTCTGTGTAGTTGCACGGTCCGCCCGGCAGCGCGGGTGGTCCCGGTGTGGTCGGTGGCGGCCCAGGCCGGGGCGGGTGGCTTTGGGCATGATTGTGGCCATCGTGGTAAATGTCAAAGACAAAAGAGCTGCCAGGCGCGGGTATGTCAAAGGGAGTGGCAGCCATGGACGCGTCGGGGTACCATCTCTCGGAGCGATTGGGACTCCGGGAGCGGGTGTTCAAGGGGGGAGGATCGGTTCGAGGTTCGTCGACGAGGGGGGCGAGATTGCAAAGATTGAGGAAGTTCGGTTCGAGTCCAAGGTCGAGTCCGGGATCGAGTTCCGGGTGCGGAGCGGCCCAACACCACGATCGCTGGGTCGCGACGAGGAGCTCGGCGGCTCTAGCACATGATCCTACGCCTTCTTCCATAGCGTTAGCACCCAGCAACGTCGACAGCCATCTTCACAGGTTCCCGCGCAAGGCAACAGCTCCAGGCGGACGCCAATGCCAATGCGATGCGATGCAGGACCAAAATATGCACGGAATCCAGCAGTAACCATAAGAACAATCCGGACGAACAGGTAGTGATAGTTATATAGTTTCGATTATACGAATATACGCGTCGTGTAAGCCTCGGTCTCGGTAGCGCACTGCCGCATCAGACGGCAGCTCCGTCGCAAAAGTCGCAAATCGCACGTCGCAAACCGCAAAGCGGGCACAAAAAAGAAAAAGTGAGGCGCAAAGTGCAAGGTCAAGGTGTCGCAAGTCGCAAGCTTTCGGAAGTCGGGGGGGGGGGGGGCCAGGAAAGGAAATGCAGGGCGGGCAAATGGGTGGGCAGCACAGCGGGGTGATCCATTTGGGTGCAGCTCTGTGAACTTGCCTGCTTGGCTTCCTCACCTCAAAATCACCCGCTGTGAGAGCAAGAAACTATGGGGACGGGAACTGCAGATTGGACCCCTGTCAATCAACGTCCCGTTCTTCCGCCATCAGGCGAACAGGTGACTCGAATTCCGCCTGCGTTGCATCTTTTGCGGGGGGGATAAGATAACACAGCTGCACAACGGCGGAGCTAAAATCGGCTACTTTGTGTCACACGCCATCCTTTCCCTTCAACCTGAGGCCTCAATCCGGGAAAAATAGGCCCGTCCGTGAGCCTGAGGAGCCTCCGTTGACCCTACAAGTCCCAAAGAAGGTGGCCGTTTGTTATGGTCAGCTCGTTACGGCGAAGAGCCAAACCTTCCAAAACAAGACGCTAACAGTTCTCACAAGCCCTATTGGACCGCCCGAGGCGACAGGCGACACAGGCGCGTCAAGGACCGCACTGGCCCGCAGCGGGCCGCCCTCGAATTGGCTGGCCGCCCCTGTTTTGTTTCGACTGCGCTGGCAGGGTGTGGCGTGCTGATTGGTCAAGAGGGCGCCTAGCCACTTTAGATCCCTGCGCTTTGACGCGTCGAAACGCGTTGAATGAAGTGGGGGAGCCGGTGGTTCAAGGGCGGCAACGGCGAGAGACCTCGAGAGGCCCAAGCTTTGGGGGGGCTGGGGGTGGAGTCAACGGAGTCACAGGTTGTGGGGCATGGTGAGCCAGAGCTTCACCGTCTTTCCGTTCAGCGCACATTTGCAGGGACTTCGACTGCAGAAATCCAACCCAGCAGTGATGCTATCCATGGACAGAGATTTCCTCAACGCAAATTCTTCAACACGAAACTGACAAGTATCAGTGTGAACACTTATCCATGTAAAATCCTATCAGCTTAACGGACGCCAAGTCCAATACTCCGGCCGAGGCGAACGAACAGGCGCATTCGGCCTTCTTTGTCTGGCCGGAAAACACCCGATTCCTGCAGGGCGGACGGCGCAACGCAAGGCGTGCGAAATGACCTGCCGTCGACAGGTTCTAATGGTCGGCCGTCAGCTCAGCCTCTCCAGGTCGGCCCTGCTACAGTTACACCGGATATTTCTGAATGTTCACTTGCCTTGTTCGGCGCTTCCAATCATGACCAATACATAGTATTCCATATTCCCGCCTTGTCACTTCCATCACCATCTTCACGGTCCATCTTCACGTCCAACTCTACCGCCGTGATAATGCCATGAAACCGCCCGGACGCGTCAACCAAATCATACAACACGCCATTTTGCAGCCCTACTCCAACCATCCTCCGTCATCTTTAGCCGCCCTTCGCACCACCTCGTCCAACACAGGTAATCCTCTTAGTGTAGATCTAGGCTGTTACGTCTTAAAGTGCATTCACATCTCAATTTCCCAATGACTAGACTAGCGTAAACACATGACTCGGTCCGATGAGCGGCCCGGGACGAGGCGGCGTTAACATGCCAGGCAGACCTTGATTAGAGAGAGAACCTGATCAGGGTCAGCTCAATACCGTATCGTTTGTAAGGCGCGGCCTCAATACGCATCATGAGCTGGGGCTTCCAACCATGGATTGGATTCTCATCCCCAGCCAAAAAATTTATATCCATGAATTACAGCGAATCACGAGGCTGGCAAGCTAACTGGATGAAAATTACCTGGCTGAGTTCGTAAATTAGAGACAGACTACCTGCTTAGCAGCACCGACGAGGCTGTAGAAATTTCCTCCCAAATCACAAGCCGCAACGAACCGTAGGCGTCGAAGCAGGGCCGCGTGAAATTGCTGCTGCTGTCGGTCCATCCACCGACAGGCAACAGAGCCTTGAGGTTATAGTTCCGTCTCTTCAATAGATTTAGCTGCTTCGTACAACCGTAGAGATTCGTGCGGAACTCTCTCGGGTGTCACCCTCTCAATGAATGTTAGATATCGGCCCATTGGTCGGTCATGTCCACCTCGGAGCATGTGTAAGCAAAGGACAACAAGACTAGTAAGTAAATAACCCAATGCAATGATGTAGATTTCTAAGTAGGTAGGTAGAGATGGTATGTATTGTAACCCGTAAATGCAACCAAAGATGAAGATGACCCATTATTCTCATCGCCAATGCCCGTATCCCATGTGCCACCGAATATGCCATATGCATGCATGCAACGTTATAAGCCAGCGTGCGTGAGTGAAGAGAAGAAAGCAACACAACCAAGCAACAAACCCCAATCGTAAAGTATACACACTACACTCCTCACAACCCCCTCCCTGTTTTCCATTTCCCACCCGCTCTCCCTTCAGCCTAGTTAGTCAGGCAGAGAGACTCAAACCTCCCCCCAACTCCCCATCGGCCCCGTCCCCGCAATCACACTCCCCGTCCCAATCGACCCGCCAATATCCCAATAATGCCTCGACGATGGCCGTGACGAGATACTGCTCCGCCGCGCCGACCGCCTTGTGCTCTGACTCGCACAGCTGCCGGCTTTCCCTGCTTTGGCAGCTACGACACCGCCACCGAGGCCGATGCCGACACCGCTGGTGGCGGTGGTGGTAGCGGTTGTGGTGGTGGTTGCTGTGTGGCGGATGGCGATGGGGCTGGAGGGTGAGACGATACCGGCTGCGGCGGCTGCGGCGGGAGTTGTGGAGATCTTGAAGGAGCGTCGCTCGACGGGGCGGGGTCGGTGGTGGTGGTGATGATGATGGAGGTGGTGATGGTGGTGGTGGTGGTATCCGTGTGAGTGGGCGTGGGATACGAGAGGGTGGTGTTGGCGCACTCTGGCTGCCTTGGCCGCGGCGTCTTGTGTGCTAGACGTGGCGAGGTGGGATGTGCTTGACGAGAAGGCGGACGGCGCGGCCTGTCGGGAGGATGTGAATCGGGACCGGAGGTACCGGAAGACCAGCCGGATGTCGAGGTCCTGCTCCCACTCCTTCTGTGTGAATGACTGTTGGGTATCATGAGTCACGCCAGCGGCGGTCGGGCTAGTCTGGTGCGACGCGGGCTCCGAAGGGCGCGAGCTGAATGTTTCGACGGGCCGCGGGACGGTAGGCTGGAATCGGGGCATGGCCGAGATACTGCTGGAACCATCCAAGCCCCGCCCGGTCTCGCTGGCGTCGGCGGGTGTTTCCGGGATCACGGGGAGGCCGGCATACGGCAAGGGCATTTGTTGCACTCGGTTGTACGTCGAGAAGGCGCCAGGGTGACTCGACATTTGATGCACAAGCACGCCAAGCTCCCGCGAGATGCGGTCCAACATGCGGAGCTGCCACTCGGAGTCATGCGATGACTCCGATGCCATGTGGCTTGGCGCGGCGAACGTGGATGCCTTGGGCGTCGATGACAACATCTCCTCATCTGGGAGAGCTTCCCCAAAGAGGATTGACAGCAGTTGGTCATCAATCCCCATCAGATCGCAAATCACCTTGCGCGCTAGCCTGCTCCATGTTCCAGGCTCTGTACTTGTATCCGTGCCTGTCCTCGTGTTGTGTGTTACTGGCTCATCTTGGTCATGCCAGTCTGCCCCGTTCAGATTGATATCTGCCGCCTCCTCGTCGGCCAAGCTCATCTCGCTGGGTTCGTATGGCATCCTGCTCATACTTTGGACCTTACGGAGCGACGCCTGGGACTGCCGCCGTCGCTTCGTCTCGTTGCGAATATCGTCGAGCAGGAGTTGGCTCTGCTCTAACCGCCAGGCTTCTATCCTGCGGTTCCGCTCCCGATCTTGTGCCTCTTCCGTCTCGATATCAAGCTGCGCCAGGCTGAAGCTGTCGGTCCTCGTATGCCTCACGCGGTTTGGGTTGAATCGCTCAAACGCGTACATGCGGTCTTGTACCTCTGCGCTCATACCAGGAGACTCGAATCGGAACGAGCCTAGGCCGTCGTGCCCTGGAAGCACTGGTGTCGCGTGGGGGACTTCGGTTTGATGGTGATGTGGGTGATGATGACTGTAGGGACTAGGGACGGATCGAAACTCGGGAAGGTGGCTGTCTAGACTGTCGAGTTCTGCGTCCTCCTCGGCGCTGCTTTCTGCGATAACCTCTGAACCTCCAGACACGTCGAGTCCGGAGCGTGGTACGGTGTCAAGACTACCAAGGTCGCTTATCCTCGACCTGCCCGGTGTTATTTGGCCGTCGTGGACGGAGCCTGTGAGGTAGGAGGTCGTCGTGCCCGCGTCGGTGCCCGGGGTAAACAAAACCCAAGTCTGAGACTCGTTTGGTGGTGCCGTGGGGTGCTGGGGCGCCAGAGCCGCAGGCTGATCGTCCCCCGATTCGCTGAAGTTGACCCGTTGGGCGGGTTGCCGCGTGGACTGCTGCTGGAAGGCCATACCGGGGATGATCGTGGCCCGTAAGAGGTCGGCGGTGCGTGGGTACTGCGTCGGAGTGGTCGCCCTTTTTTTCTAGGGCCCGCTGTCGTCGGCCGGGTGACTTTTAAGTCGGGGGGTCGGCCTGTCAGACACCACGTCGCCAAGTACGACAAGTGGTCGCCAGCACAAGAACACAGTGTTGCCCTGACGTTGGACGGCGCCCAGAGTCGCGTGTGCAAGCACCAAGGCGGTGAAATACCCCCAAGGGTTCGGTCTGGCCGGGCTCTCGGTCTGATTACTGTGGTAAGGAGTGGAACTCGATGGCGGGCCGTTGAACCAGAGACGTCGGATGGATGACGGGATGATACCAATGCATTCACCCAGCCTCCCGCAAGTTGCAGACACGCGCTGTGCTGTGCTGCGCTGCGTTGGCTGGCGGCGTATCGTGTACCTGAATACCCCTGTCAGGGAGCTTGCGGCAAAGAAGCGGCGAGCCAAGGCTGAGATAATAGGTCCGCTGTCGTGAGAAATAAGATGGCAGGAAGATGGGTAAGATACGGGAGAAGCGATGACAGAAACACGAAAACAAAACAAAGAACAAAGGCGGAGAAAACCGACGGAAGAGGTCGGATTGGGAACGGCTAGGATGGGGCGACCCTACAGGTCCGTAGTGTCGATCTATTGTTTGAATGAGGGGGTCGGGCGGCGGCTGCGGGAAGGTGGTCAAGCTCACAGAGGAAATGCACGGGATCAACGTTGCGAATGGAGGGGGCACGCGGGATGGGAAAGATGCCACAGCGCCGGTTAGCTTAGCTCAAGACCCTTGGAGTTTGGCGTTGTTTGGTGACTTGAGCGGTTGCTTTTGCCCCACTACCAGTCGCCTTCAGCGCATTGCGCCAGTGTGCGCCCAGCCCTCCAGCAGATCCCCCACTTGGCTGCTCTCTGCTCCGATTCGCAATTCAGCCCAAACGTTGCCTCAATCTCATCCACATTGCTGTGCCATCTGACCGTGATGACAGAGGGAATCACCATGTTCGACTTATCGCCCCTTTATTGGTTTCGTCATTTTTTAACAGGCTCTCAGTTTTGCTCGCAAAATCGAATATTGGGACACCGGCCCGCCGTTCGTTCGAGTTCATGCACAGCGCACGCATCTATCCCAAACATGATTTCCACAGCGCCACCTACCCAAAAGGGAAACGTGCTTCATGACCCCCCAGGCGGTTATCGGAACGACCTGTCCGACAACGACCGACCACCCATTTTTAACCCGAGCATTCTCGACACCGACTTTTCCGGGTGGGAATGCGATTCTTTGAATCGCCGAAGACCGGAAGCCATGGAGTTGAAGGGTTGATAACTCTACTAATCAACATCATGTATCTTAGAGGGCTGACAACCAAATACGGGCGGGACATGGGTTCACAGGTTGTGACCGTACCTATGACCTCATCCCTCTTTTCATCCCAACTTCCTGCAAGATCCCATCCCATCATTAAGAGCGCCAATGCCGGGACAACTTATGGAGAGTAGGGGAATGATTACAGCTTCACAGATTCTACAACGGGTACATAGTACTTCGTAGGTCCCGCGTAGCCTCGGAGATAAGTAGCAGTAGACGATTACATGGCACCTATAATATCGTGGTTATCGATTCTTTGCCGCCGTGATGCAGAGGTGACTGGTAAAATTGTGCTTGGCTCAACGACACCCTCGTCCAATGATCGACTCAAGTCAAGAGCTCGGCTGAGCCGGGCGTTAAGACTCACCCCAAACACTTGCTGGCAAATAAAGAATCAGCCGCCTCGCCTTACTCAGCCTCGTGCCACTGAAAGGATGCTGATAAATCAACTCGAAGGCCATTGTTCAACGGTTTCAGGTTCGCCCAACGCCCGGAAACGGTCACCGGCTCGGAATGCACTCCTGTCCCGCGAGGTGTTCATGAGAACCACATTGGTTGATTGGTTCCATTGACTGTGCTGAATCAAGACCATAGTACTACTTGACATGCTCTTCATTTCAGCCCTGATATGACCGTTGACGCCACCCTGAAAGCCAAATAAACCATTTCACCTCTTCCCCCCGTAGACCACCACGAAAACCTGTTTAGGCAGCGAAGGCATCCGGGAAGCGCTTCATGTTGTTCTGCAGGTTGCCGCGGTTGCTGAGGAACTGGACGTAGGCACCGTCGACCTTGACACGGCCGGCAGCCTTCTTGTCAAGGTACTCCTCGCGACGCAGGGGGGTGAAACCCCAGTTCTTCGAGATAATAATCTTTTGGCGACCGGGGAACTTGTACTGCGAGCGGCGGAGGGCCTCAAGGGCGATGGCGCGGTCTAAAAAAGAGGACGAGGTTAGCCTACTGCGTAAAACGTAGGCAAATCATGTTTCCCAGAGGCACTTACTGGAGTCACGAGTGCGGACGCTCATGAGAATCTGGCCAATGTTGACACGGGCGACAGTGCCGTTAGGCTTGCCCCACGCACCACGCATACCCGTCTGCAGTCTATCGGCACCGGCGCAAGACAACATCTTGTTGATACGGACGACGTGGAACGGGTGGGCGCGGACGCGGAGGTGGAAACCTTCCTTGCCGGCAAGCTTCACCAGGTACTTGTTGGCGCAAATGCGCGCAGCCTCGAGGGCCTCGGAGCTCAGCTGTTCATACTCGTTGGAGACCAAGTGGATGCAGAGCGGGAAGTCGTCGACGGTGGCACGCTTGCGGCCGAGGTCGAAGATGCGGATCTTCGGGTCCGGCACACCACGGTTGAACCGGGACTTAGGGTACGGCTAGAGAAGAAGGCGCCTGTTAGCAGACTGAGTCGAAAAATGAAACAAAAACCCTTGAAATCGACACTCCATCCGCGATTCCACCTCGCTGCAGCGCTGTTCATGATATCCGGTCCTTCCATCTATCCCTTTTTCCCTGCTCTTTTTCCCCCGCCCTCGTCTTGCCAGAAACTGTGTGCGAAGTGTCCTCGGTCGGGATGTCGAATGTCAGAATCACAAAAATGCTCACCTTGTTCTTGCAGTACCGGTAGCATCTAGCAGGACGGCGAGCCATTGTGACTGATTTCTGTTGATGTCACAGGGTATCTTGTCGACGTGGGTGTTGGGTGAGAGGGAGGGTTGGGGGGTCCTCTGCGTTTTTGACCAAAGCCAAATTCGCCGCGCGATTACCAATCCGGATTCCAAATCCCACCGGCTGAGTCTTGACCGGGCAAAAGTGGAGCCATTAGGGTTTCGAAGGCAAAGACGCACCCGACGGCTGACCAATGATAACTCAGCCCACTCTACAACAAGAATTCCACATTGGTAAAAGAATATTTCGAACTCGACGATTTTCCTTCCCTTGAGCGACTATCCAGCCCACGACGAGGACCATCGACACCCGGAGACATCTTCATTTCTCTCTCCATTCCAACTCCAACACCGTCGCAATGGCCCCCAAGAAGAACAAGTCCGATGCCCAGTCGCTCGGTGCCAAGGTCCGTTTTGTCGCCGCAACAATGCGCCGCTATTCAGCGTGCTAACATCGCGAACAGCTTGCCCTCGTCATCAAGTCGGGTAAGGTTGTGCTTGGTTACCGCAGCACCCTGAAGTCGCTCCGCAGCGGCAAGGCCAAGTTGATCCTCATTGCGGTAAGTTTGCTCTGATTCTTAAACGACCCGTGAGTCAAAAAACACAAACGCTGACAATTACCTTTTAGGCCAACACCCCTCCGCTCCGCAAGTCCGAGCTCGAGTAGTATGTGGCCACCATAATTGTCAGATGGAAACGAACAGAAGGGCAAATGCGGCGATATCCACGGAGACATAGGGCTCTATGCCGACTGAGGCTGTTGTCATTTGCCCCGAAGTTTGTTTCCAGACATGGAGCAACCGTCAAACGACAAGACCGGCTCGCTAACCGCCACAACAGCTACGCCATGATGTCCAAGACCGCCGTCCACCACTACACCGGCACTAACGTAAGTTCACGACCCCCTCTATCCCATGCTCTGCAATTTGGGCCTCTGTGACTTTTGTGTTTCTGCTCCACGTCCCCGCGGCCAGCAAGACACCAGGTCTCCTGGTCCACCCAGAGAAGAAGTCTCGTTGCAGACTTTGGAGGGTACCCGATCGCATGCTTACTCTTCACCCACCACAGATCGAGCTGGGCACCGCTTGCGGTAAGCTCTTCCGTTGCTCCACCATGGCCATCCTGGATGCCGGTGACTCGGATATCCTCAGCGACCAGCAGTCGTAAATCATGCCATGAGGAGGCATATGGGGCAGGATACCGGTTGGCATTTACACGGCGTTCAGGTCTGAGATCGGGAAAAATGATTTGACGACTGGGCGATATCCGGCTGCAAGGGTTTTTTTGACAGCCATGTTCGACATCCGGAGTTGCGCCGGAAAGGCCCTCCGTAGACTAGTCGTAGTTTATGACAACTAGGTTTTTCTAGCCCGACCCAACCTAAGCACTGTGCGATGAACTATGTGTAGTTTGGCGTGGTCGTCTTGAGGCACACGAGACGCCATTGAAGGCTTCTCGGCCAAATCCGGCAAAAGCGATCGGTTCGAGAAGGATGTCGTGTCTGTAACCCAGCAACCAATGGTTAGGGATGTGTACAGAGCCGGGACCAGGTGTTGCATTGAAGGGCTGCATTGAACACCAAATTGTCATAATCAAACCTGAGCCAAGCTCGACTTGCTCCGAACTCGTGGCCCCCAATCTGGCATTCCTGTTTTGTATGTTTCACGTCTTTCGGCGCCACGCAGGACAGATCTCCCGATCTCTTCCACGCAGCGGCTTGGCCAACATCGCGAACCAGGTTGAACTAGCGCATGATGTGCGGCCGTCCCCAGCTCTGAACCTCAGGTAGTTGGACGAGGGGAGGGGGGAGTTCGGCCTTGAGGAAGGTCATGGGGATGAAGAGACTTCCGGACTGCATCAGTCGTCGAAGGTCCCTCGGCTCGCGGGAGGCGGTCAACGAAATGCAAGCAGCAACTTGCATTCGCGCATGCGATTCTGCATGTCCATCCATGCATCTCACTCCATAACGTTAGGGCCTTTTAACAAGCAGTGAAACAAAATTGAGGGGCAGGTGGGTGGATGGATTCGATGGGGGGCTGCAAAGTGGTCGTAGCGAGTCTGCAGCCAGCATGCATGAAGACAGACAGCTCGACAGCTGCAAGTGAATGCTGCTTGAATATGGCTTCTTATATCACCCTTCACAAGATGCAAATTCATCCAGAATGCAGAACACATGGCTTCATCTGAACCACAGCCAGAAAGTCTCCAGCGCCCCTCGTCTTGTTTCACAGGGAAACACAGCCTCGGGCAAGATCCCTGGGGCAGTTGGGCTGGCGGGCTGCGAGCAACCGGGTCTGGTTAATCTGATTGGCCCGCCAGCTGCCAGCGTCCCCTCGTCTCAACGGGCAGCACACGTTTCCCCTGTAACTGGGGGTACTTCTCAGGGGGGGGAGCGCCACCCACCGACTCTTCAGTCTCCAGTCCCGCAGACGCAAACGCATCAACAGCCCGCCGGCCGCCCGTACGTTCTGGGTCAGTCGTCAAGTAAGGTTGCAGTGGGCCGAAGCAGCAAATATCCCCATTCCCGCTGCAAACAGGACCCCTTCTGCACGTTTCCCGTCTCCATCGAAGACCGCCGTTTACCGTTTACTCTTTGTACACACAAAGGAAAGCGTCGACTGAGAGCCCAAACGCCGTGGATTGCGATACTCGCCCTTGACTCGACCACACAAAACCTCGGACTTGTCAAAGAATAAACCAAAATACGAGACAAACAGAGCGGTCCAGGTCGTTGTTCCTCGGGCCTTCTGACCGCACCGAGCGGGTTGCCTCTTCTTCGTTTTTTTTCCTTTGCATTATTATTCCCTTTCTCTTTATTTCTTCCTTTTCCGGAAAGTGCTATTTCAAGGTTACGTTTGAAGCAACGACAATAGCAGCCATAGCAACATAGCATCGTCAGCAATAACAACAACAAACAAAACAAAGAACCACTACCCTATAGCCCACCATGGCCAGCGCCGTCAAGAAGCCCCCGGCATCCGGCCGCGAGACGCCCACGGGGACACCATCGCGCCCATCTCCGCGAGCCTCAACGCCCTCCAGTCCAGGCAACGCCGGCGTAGGTCGCACTCGCTCCGTCCGCACCACCACCCCCGTGACCGCCCGTGCAGCGGCCCACCAGCGGCGCGAGTCCATGCTCAGCAACGGGACCAGCGTCAATGCGCGCGGCAGCGCGGGCTCGCCCGACATCGAGCGCGAGGAAGCGCTGCGGGCCGAAACGGTGGCGATCATCGACGACCTCAAGGAGCGGCTGGCGACGGCCGAGACCGGGTTCGACCAGTACAAGCGGCAGACTGAGGTGCTGCAGAGCAAGCTGGACGATGCGCACAAGGAGCAGGCTAAGCTGGAGGAGCGGGTGCACGAGAGTGATGAGCAGATTGAGGCGCTGATCAATGAGAAGCGGGAGGGGGCCCGGCAGATGCGCGAGATGGAGACGATTTATGAAGGGGAGCGCAGCGCTATGATGAAGGAGAAGGATGAGATGGCCAATCGTGAGGAGGAGATGCAGACTGTGATTCAGAGGCTCAAGGACAGCTTGGCCCAGCGGAACCTCGACGAGGACCGGCCGTCTCGGCAATGTGCGTTTGCCCCGTCTTCGTCTCGTGATTTCTTTTTTTTTCTTTTCTGGTTTCATTGACAAGAATCTCGGCTAACAATGGCTTTGCAAACAGCCATGAACAACTCGCCCAGCATTGAGAACGGCAGCTTTGCGCCCCCGTCTTCGATCCAGCGCAGCGACTCGCGCAACAACTCGAAGCTCCTGCTGCAAAAGGACAAGGTGATCGAGTCTCTCCGGCTCGAGCTTGCTGAAGCGCAGATCAAGTTGGTTGAGTCGCAGAACCAAGGCGGTGGTCGTCTCCAGGAGGTCGAGCGCCAGCTGATGGAGGCACGGGTGGCCAACGCCCGGTTGATGGAAGACAACGAGAGTTACCAACTGCTGCTCCAGGAGAGGACCCTGAAGGGAGACTTCGGGGCCAACGACTTCAACTACACGAGTGGTTCCTCCGCGAACCAGGATGCCCTGGCGGCCCTGGAGGGTAGGGCCAGCGGTACCAGCCTGGCCGACGAGCTCGGTCCCCACGATGAGGTCGAGGACGACCCGGAGACCCGGCGCAACCTAGAGGCCGAGATAAGATCGGTTAAGGACCAGAACAAGGCTCTGACCCTCTACATCAACAAGATCATCGAGCGCCTGCTGCAGCACCAGGGCTTTGAGCATATCCTTGACCAGTCCAACGACTCTAAGGCCGGCGGTACCCCCGACACCAACAAGGAGCTTCCCCCACCTCCGCCCAAGACAGCCCCTGCGGCGGCGCCCTCACTTCTCCAGCGCGCCAAGTCCATTGCCAGCGGCAACTCGGGCGCCCGGCCGAAACCGCGCCCCATGACCTTCATGCCGTCGGCGAGCAACGCGAACGCCCCCAGCACCGCGTCCGCGATCAGCAACCCGGACACCGCACCCAGCATCCCCATCGGCCTGAGCCGTTCCACCAGCACTCGCCGTGCCCGTCCCATGAGCGAGCAGTACACCAACGTCCCCGGCGCCGCCAGCATCGTCAACGCCATGTACAAAGGCCCCTCCGCGGCCGACGGCCCGCTCTCCCCCTCGCTCCGCTCCAGCCAAACCTTCTTCCTGCCCCAAGGCGCCGGCAACCGGACCTCCTCGGGCACCACCGCCGGCAGCAACAACTTCCCGGGCATGCGTTCCGAAACCAGCAGCGTGTCAGGCGACTCAGTCTCCCTCTCAACCACCACAGGCGGCGGTACCACCGCCGACGGCCTCAACACCCCTCCCAGCCAGGCCAGCCCGCCGCGCTCGGTGCACCACCACGAGAAGAGCACGTTTGCAGGCAACAAGCCGCGCCCGCTGCGTCTGGTGCAGGAGAATGCCGAAGCGCAGGCCGCAGCGAACAGGCGGCAGAGTTGGGTCGGGTGGGCAACGAGCGCGTTTGGTGGGAAGAAGGAAGATGAGATGATGGGGAGGCCTAATGGGCCGTCGGGGGTGCCTGTGACCGGTGTCGCGGAGGTCATCCGAGAGTAGGGGAGCTGGATGGCATAGACGGCAGACAGGTGGGGGGTGTTTGGGCGTCCACGCGCATCATGACCGCCTCTTGTTTCTTTTTTTTTTCTTCGATTCGCACAGACATGAGATCTTGATCCAACGCCTACGACAGCTACAATTGCTCGCATGACAACCGATTCCACGACGATTGGGGGGTAAGGGGAGGGCATTGACGAATAGAGCGGTGGATGAGACAGCATTGGAGACTGGGGGGGTACGGAAGAAGGGACAGGGCCATGATACACCATGCTTCAATTTGCTTGCCCAGGCTAGTAAAACTCTCGGCCTTGCTACGCTTAATATCTATCCAGCATGGCTTCAAGCATCGGCCTCTGGCTCTTTGCTCATCTAGCCAACTTCCTTCGCTCTCAAGCATATCCTTCTAGCCCTCGGTAAAGATCCACGGGATAAGAAGACTTTCAGATGGGCAAGAGATGGTATGATATATCATGGGAACCGGTCAAGGTGTGGATGGGGCAAAGCGGGAATGGAACGGAACGGAATATGATGGGACGGATGGGATGGCACGATGATTTGATGTGTACCAAACTCAAACTGCTTCAAAGAAAGAACGCGCAACAACATATAACGCACGCACTTTCGTATGTGCACATGTGCACAACGCAAATGCATGCATGCGTTACATTACGGCACGATCCGTTGTGGATACGGATGCGGATGCGGAGATGCGAATGCATAAACCCCTAAAGATATACGACATGTTATGGTATGGATGGGGAATCGGGATAGGATAGGATAGAACGATGGACGGATGAATGGGGTTTGTTTAAGGGCTTTTTTTTATTTTTTTTTCATTTTTTTTTTCACTTTCGGTTAGTGTTTTTTTTTATTATGCAGGTTTTTTTACGTAGCATATTCACCCTCCTCCTCCTCCTCCTGCTCTGTTCTAAATGTCCCAGATGTGTTGTCTTGGTTGTCTTGGTTGTGTGAAGTGTTTGGCTTGGGAATAAATGTATCCTCTGCCGCTCCTGACTGTCAAAGTGGATAACCATTTTTAGCCGTTAGACCTTGAAAGTGAATGAAGAATATTTTCTGATTTACTGGGACGTGAAGGGATGTTGGTTGCCCTAGCGGTTGTTGAGGTGTGGGGAGTTGTTCAGAGTAGAGGCCCTAGCGAGAAGTATACCATAACGACTTCTGTTCTGCAATTGCCTCTCTTATCCCTTTTCCCCTCTCGTGCTCAGCCGTAATTGAAGTTAGTGTGGAACGGGTGGATGAATGCGAGACTGAAACCAAAGTTCACCCGCTGGAAGATCGCTGTAGTGGTGTCGTGTCGTCATGGCCAAGAAGGGTTGTTCCATCGAGAGCCCTTGTTACGGTACCGAGGGTAATTGTAGCACTGATGTAGTCGAGCCGTCAAATAGGAGCTGTGTTGATTACGCAATATAAGATCAAGAGTGATTGGTGAGAACAGGCACACGTTTTGGGGGTTATAAAGAGCTAACTAGGTCGGTACTTAGGAAAACATCACACCACAATACTAGCCGACCCTACACTACCACCTCCTCCGTCCTCACCGCAATCACGCCATTTTTGGTGCCCGGCGCAATCGCGCAGCTGCCGGTATCCGGCGCAGTCGCCCTCTTTTTGGTACCCAGTGCTTCGGCGCATTTTTTGATTGACTCCTTGACCTCAACGTCTTGCACGTACTCTTCCAACATCTCCATGAGCTTCTCCTTAGCCTCCTTGGGGTCATTAAATTTTGGAATGGCCTCGTAGTCCTGGCTGTGATGGACAACCTGGTCCTTGCGCCCCAAAACATTACGCTCGAACCATCTGGGCTCAACTTTCTCATACCACTCCTGGATGACCTTGTATACGTTGAGCCGCCAGTACTTGCGCTTCCCGGCCCAGGGTGCGAACGCGTCGATGAGACCTTGGAAAAGAATGTGCATGATTTCGGTGTTGGTCGCCACGCTGACAAACGACTGGAGGGTGGATGGCAGCGGCACGCGGTACTTGCCCGGCTGGACCAGTGTGCTGTTGGCGTCGATCCCCGTGCCGATGCTGAGGAAGCAGTCGGTTGGACGGGTCGCACCGAAGACACCGAGGATCTCGGTCCATACCCTGCATAATGAACAACAATCAGTAACTGGTACCGGTAGTAGGAACTAGACTAGTAGACTCATGTCATACCATCCGACGGGATTGTTGGCAACAAGTCCGCCGTCGACAAGAGTGTCATTGCCGGCGGTCTGAGGTTTGAAAAATCCCGGCGCGGCCGTCGTCGCCCGAGCTGCCTGCAGTATCGTAATGTCGCGGTGTTCCAACGACGCGCCCGTGTTGATGTATGAGCGGAGAATGACAGGGCCACGGTTGTTGCCGCCTTCATTTAGCGTTGCCGTGACGAATCTAGGTTGGGAAAGTAAATGAGCAACAACTTCCATCTTGCATGCTCCGAGGTGTTTTCTTAATCAATGATTAGAAGGGGAAGGGGGGGAAGGGCTGTACGCACGTCTTGCACTTTTGGTTGTCGTTCAAGAGACGGCTGGTTTTGCCGATTCCTGATCCCAGTTTCTCGTCGATAACCCCCTCGATAACCTCCTCCAGTCGCTTGGCATCGTGGAACTGGCCATTCCAAGCGTAATTCCACCTCGTGGAACCTTTGAACACTTCTTCCATAAGATCCTCATACTTTTTGATGCACTCCTCTACCGTCATTTCCAGGCGTCCCAGCATGATGGCAATCAGCCTGTGATTTGCGATGTTACTACGAAGAGACCACAGAGAGGGGAAGGCAACATATTGGCAACATACCCGCCTGTGCTGGTTCCTCCGATCATGTCAAAGACGTCGCACGGTTTCTCTCCCGCGTGATTGTGGTTCATAACCTGCTCCAGCAACTTCAGGGAAGCGAGACCCCGAACGCCACCCCCGTCTGTTTCGGTTCTGGTTGGTTAGAAATGGCAGCATCAGGTGGTGTCAATGCGGGAAATAAGAGACCGACCTAGAGACAGGACTCGGAGGGGACGGTCCTCAGTGGGCGCGAAAGTCATGGCTGTCTTCAGGGTTGTTGGTAGGGAGGGGAACGGCTGCGCAGCCTTGTCGGGCTGCACAGAGCTCTGTATACTGCTCATAAATTTATGAGCCGAGATAATGGCGTTCAAGGCCGGTCGGTGGTCGACTTCCGCTCGGAAAACTAAAAAATATGTCAGTATTGGGTTACCAGATAGCCCATGATAGGTATCCAGTGTAGACAGGTGGATCTTGGTGTTCCTCGGCTCTATGTCGAGCAGTTTGTACAACACTTCATCCATGTACTCACTCTTATCCTGTGATTGTCCGATTCTCAACTCCCCATTTCTAGCTAAAAGCTTCCACGCTTCAAAACGGGCACAAAGCCGCACGGCAATGAAATCGCCTTCCTACAGCTTCAGGGTCAGATTACGAGCATCATCCGTCGCATCGGCTTCGCTTTCTGGCTCCAGACGCACATAATATACGCCCAAACAGATGGAAGTGGGGAGGGGAGCGGGCGGGGCGTACCTTGAGATATCGCAACAGGTCATGTTGGGGTCCAAAAACATGACCTTGATACTGGAGGGTAGGGATGTATCCGTAAGTCACAATCCAAAACATCTAGCTGAGAAGAAGAAGAAAGGAAAAAGATGGAGTTACTTACTTTCTGGTATTCACCGCAGCCCATACTCGTTTGGTGGCTTTCCCAGGTGAGGAGGATCTCACCCCGAGTCACGGGAACCGTGGCTTGCGCGTTGTCGAGGATGCACAACTCGAACCATGTCCAGTTGCCGGCGGCACGGTCATCCACAAAGCCTTGATCATGCGATTCGGCAATGAGCTGGACGCTTTCGATATGGCAGAGCTCAGAAGCAGACAGGGGCTATGTTCCAAAAAGATAATTAGGTTTAGACCAAAGGTAATCCAAGGGCTTCGATCAGCTTGCTTTGGTAAGGGACACTTACACCGTGCTTGAACCACACCTCGGATTTAACTTCACCATTATGGGCACAGACTGAACCCTCTTCAGCATGGCTCACAACGTAGTCGGCCATGGCGTCTGTCTGTGGTGGATTGGTGATCGAATTCGGGAAAACGAATGCTTCTAAGTTCTGATTCTGGTCGAAGTTGGGGAATCAAATTTTGCCAACCTCGAGTGTGGGTATATCTTGCAATTTAAATAACTTCAGCATTCAATATTACCGCGCTTCCAGCGGCTGGTTTGGCAAAATGGAAGTGGGATTTAGGCAGACAGAAACACCGAGGCCGGTTTCGACGAAACTCCAGAGTTGCATTCATTCTTTGTTGCCAAATAGGGTCGATAAAAAGACAACAACACCGCCAGTGCCGCAGAAATAAAGGTGATAGGGGGTGGGCAAGGCTTTTCCTTGGCTTGAACTTTGGTAGACCACTTCCGTTACACAGCCCAGTGCTTCAGACCAACCACGCGCAGCTGCCCTTATTTTTCTCAATATCTCTACCAACAGTATTTTTGATGAACACCACTCCGTCAGGCAGCAGTGCGTTATCCTCACAAACAGACGCGAGGACCCAGCCTTGGGGAGGGGGGAGGGGGGGGGGTCCTTAATCCTTATTGACTCTCCCAAGTTGAATTCGATGGTGTACAGACATACATGATACAGCACGGCAACCTTGAGTTTCTACAAGCTGCAACGCAACTTCGGTCGATGAAACGTCCCAAGTTCGCTTCGCCGAGACAGCCAATGAGCAAACCATATTTTGTTACCTAATGCCCTATCCCATTTGTCTTTGTTGCAGACGTCTCTGTTGCAGACGGCAGAGCCGCAGAGCCTCAACCCCGCACGAAAAAAACAGGAAATCATACCTGTTCTGTCCCGCTCTCGCGAGATGATAGATGTTAAGCGTGAGCCGCGCCAACCGGCCAAGGCGCGTAAACCATCGACATTAGAAATGGCTGCGTCCACAGAAGCGAAGGAGGAGTGAGGCTCTGTTTGTGTATCACCCCCGGTGTATACTCAGCCTTGACAGTGATGAGTATCGGTCCCCTGTCCTCTCCCACAGGTCACTCCAAGAACGTGCTCTTGTTATAGGTTCCGACGGGTCCTTGGGTACCTAGCCCCAAGTCTGAGAAAGATGCTAACATGCCGCATTGTGCGGTGCTACCTCCTCTGTTCGAATGACCGGGATGGGCTTCTTGCAGCAGCAAAACGCATCACTTGGCCACTCGGGCAGTCACTTATGCGCATGAGAAGGCGAGGGACACGGCACACGGGAGCTCTTTCCTTCACCTCCTCCTCGTGCTGCTCCTTCCCTCATCCCCTCCACTAGGGGTCTATCCACTTTGCATCAAGTGGTCCCGGCTTTGATAGTTTGCTGATGGTGTGCTTTTTCTGAATTGGGACTTGCCCGGTAGCGAGATGATGGGCGTGTTGACCAGGAAAGTTGGTCATAACGGAACGAGACCTCCTTTTGGGGGCCGTCTGTTGAGGGCTGAAGATGGTGTTCTGCCGGTGGTTGATATTCTTCGGCTTTCGGAAATTTGAAAAATCAGCGACGAGGTAGATGACAATCATGTATGCCCATCCCCCCTTTGGGCAGCGATCAAGTGCCCGAACAAAAGATGGTGGAGGGTGGTTGTTGGTCCTCTCCACTCGATGCCGTCCGTCCGATGAGGTGGGTGAGTGACGTGGGAAAACAGCCGCTGCAAGCGCCAGTTCAGGCAGATGTTGTCAAAGACGCGGCGACACATGGCATTGCTCATGTGCAGATTGATAGTGTGCTTTAGACCTCCGCCAGAGCTGGGTAAACCGGTGTGCTAATTACCTAGGATGAAACCGGAACGAGAGTGTTGATAATAAATGATGAAATGGATCCAAGTCCACTCCGTTATTGCCGTAGTAAATGTTTCAAGAAGCTTAGTTACCCTCTAGATAGTTGAAAGTTGAAGGAGACTCCCCATTTACGTAATAAACCCCGGTTGCCAAAAATATCTACAAATATACAAGTGGTACTTGTCTTCCAACTTCTACCATATCTCATCTCTCGGGGCCGTAAGTTGAACGTCATCAAAAGGAATACATAATTTCTGTATTTTAACTTTGTTTTGGGGGACTAGTCACCGTCACCAGTAGGGCGGCCTTTGAAAAAAGAGCGGCGTGTTTCTGGTTCGTCGTTACTCTTCGTTTCTCCTGGGGACAAAAATAAGAGAGGTAACGGCAACAGAAAGAAGGAATCAACGAAACCAAACGGAAAAGACACAGATAGCCCAACGCCGATGACAGATAACACCGCTTACCTTCAAGAACTAGCAAGCTTCTGGCCAGCCACAATAACGCCCTTCTTAGTCTTTCCGTGAAGCCGCAAGATCCAGAGGCGAATTGCAGTGATGACAACCATGAGAGCCCAACGCTCTCCCAACTCCCCAGTCTAGCCCTTCCCAAGCAGCTGGAGCGTGAAATTGTGCTTGAACGTCGGCCACAGCTTTCGCCATATCAACAAAGCTACCACCTCCTCATCCTCTTCTTCACTAGTACTGGACAACGAAGCGGACGACGCACCAGGTTCTTGCCCAGCCCTGGAAGAACCTGGAGACAGTACCCGTACAAGTTCAAACCCGCCCTCCGTAGCGGCAGCAATCTTGCCCTTCTCAAACTTTCTCCACTCAAACTTCTGACGCTGTCTCTCCTTCCCATGATCAACCTCAATAAAAAAGGAAAACACGACTTGTTCCCCCCGAACCGTGGCAGGCATCTGCTCCGTATCAAACTCACTCGTCCGCTCCGCAGCCGGTAAGAGCGACGGCATCAAAACCACCGTCTGGTTGAACGAGTAGAGCCGCGCCGAAAACTGAGAATCATAACCCGCCGCGGCGAGAATGGGTGTTTTGGTATCCATTCCTTGGTGGAGGACCACGCCAGGCCGACTTCCGAGTGGCTCTGAACGGCCGTAGCCGCTGTGCATAGCGACGTGGTGGAGACGGTCTTTTTCAGTTTCGCCGCAGAGGTTGAAGCCTCTCTGTTTTCCCCATTGGCCATATCCGTTCATGACCGGGGGAAAGAGAGGGCGCCGAGCCTCGATGGGAAGCGCCTGGGTGACGGTTTGAGACGTGGAGCTTTCAGCATGAGCTGAGTTCTCGTTCCCTTGATGAGCCATTTTAGCTTGTGCTTGGTTTAGTCTTGGCCTTAATTTGGTGAGTTTTGGATTGCGGAGCGTTTTACGGAGGTATTATTGGCAAAGACAAGGAGGGGAGACAAACCATGAGGGCAGGGGAGGCTAACAAATATTATAAAGGGCTGGAGCGGGGGATGTCGGATGGGAGCCTCGACAAAAAACAAGGCTGAGTCCGTTCTCCCGATCGTTTACGGGTTCATCTAGCAGTAGCAAATCCGGATAAAATCCGCACGACCCAATTGTACAGGCGGCGGAAGCGAGGGCTGTTGGTTCTGTGATGCCCGACCTTTTCCGGGCACGAGACCACGTCTAGATCAGGTGCGCATTCCAGTGGCATTCCACCCTTCTTACAAGATTTAATCCAGGCGGTTAGAAAGTTTCCTTCGTTCCTCCAAGGGGTTAGGTCAGATCGCAGGATGGAATTTGGACGAGTAACATTGCGCAGGTGAAGACGGCTATGCGATCCCAGAGTCAAGGTTTTGTTGGCATAACTAGGTATATTGCTCAATGAATAATTGTCCCAGTGCTCAAAACATTCACTATGGCACTGGCCTGCGTTTGCGGCTTGTTCCGATGTCATAGTGCAAAGCCAGCAACTTCGCCCATCATGACAGTACTCTGTACTGTGTAGATGGATGTTTTCTTCTCGTTTTCAATTTAACACCCGAAATGCTCAAGAAACCGCTTCCTAACCCCCCCTGAACGATCCAAGCCTTGGCATGTCCTCTACGCTGAAACCTTTTATGGACAGCCTTTCCATACCCCTCTCCTCATAGTGCGGTGAATCCACCTCTCAGGAGACATTGTTGATTTAGGAGCGCCGTGAGGCACGTTGGGAGACACTGTTTTGAATGTAGGGCGTCGCTTTGGGACAAGAATGCAACTCTGCAGAATGGATAATTTGGGCTGGTCTTCAAGTTTATAAAGCTCTCCATGAGCTCTATAGTTAATTGCTTAATATATAATATTTTTTTTTTAAATCCATACTATCTTTCACCATTGCTTCAACTCTAAGGCGTTCATCTTGAGCCTTAACGGTCTAACCTAGAGACATGAGGTTTGGGGTATCAGTTTTTCGGTGTGCTTTATATTTTTTGCCTGGGAGAATCAGGGGTGTTTGGAACATCATTGATTAGGGTGAAGCGACCATAAGTTTACGAGGAGGGGCTGGTGTTCATAAACCGTGTATTTCATTTTGATTCATGAGTTCTCAAGAAGCGTCAACATGTTGAACAAATGAGAAATGTCTAATAACCACGGCTCACATGGTTAAGGTTGGGGTATCCCTAACCCTAACCCTGATTTTCAACGCGCAATATTGGAGCCGACAATGACATGGGAAGCAACGCTGAAGAATATCTCCAAAGGAGATCTGTATTTTGTCGTGTCTTAGGTGAGTCAACGCGCAGCGTGGCCTGGGTGCTGCAAATGCCCGACCAGCAGGTTACGCTCGGGTTTGATATCGGAAGTTGGACAAACGACGTGGACGAGGCGAGTGTGGTCACAAGATCTCAAGCACCGAAAACGGTGAGTAACTCCAGAGTGGTGGCACGAGACTCCAACCTAGCCTTGAGATTGGGTACTTAGGCCCGGCCCGCTCGACAAGACAATCTTGAAGAGGCTGCCATGCTGGGAACGACCTCGCCCAACTCTGCCTGGCCAGCAAATCATCCCAGGCGAGGGGGATTGCGGCAGGGTCAAAAAGGAAGAAGAAAAATCGGCTCCCACCCACCACCACGTGTCACCCAGTCGTTGGCATCAGGTGCCGAAGGCTGTCAGCCGAGTCTTGGGAGGGAGTTTAAATTCCCTCTGCGAACACGCGCCAGCAATCGGGTTCCCAGGGAGGGCGCGGGGAGCGAATGAAGGACGGGCGTCCCATCTTTTTGTCGTCCCTTGCGCCGTTTTCCCGCCCCGGCGTCCAGGGGAACGGAAGGGGGGGAAGAAGGGTTTGCTCTGAAGCAAACACGGGAGAATTTTCCCCTGTGAGATTTTGGATGAACCTTTTTTTGAGACTTGCCCCTTGCATTGGACTAACGGCGAATGTGGGGTCGTTCCTCGGCCCCTGCCGGAAACTGTTCGGTGGGTGCCTCCGAATGCTCCGGGACACAGGCGGAGAAGCGTCTCTGCGACTCCGTTGTGGTGGTACGGGCTGAGAAGTTTTAACTCACCGAGAGCGAAGCCGCTCAGCTTACTATGTACCCAGGCAGCATCGGTGGGCGTACCCGACTTTGTCCGCTGGTCCGAGGCTGTCAATTTTTTTTCATCCCTCTTCCGTTTTTGTCAGCAAGAGCAAAAGCAATGGCCGATGACACCCAAGATGTCGGGTTGTGGCGCGTCGGAGTGAGCCACTGTCCACTTGGCCGCCTATGAGAGGCTGAGGCGTTAAGCGGTTGGCATCACTGCTTGGTAGACTGATACTTCGTGCCTGTCAGCTCACCCACTCAAGCCACTGCAAGGCTTCAGCGATTCGTTCCGGACGGAAGCTCCCTTCATCTTAACCTATTCACCCTTTCGGATCTGAATGCGCCGTCTGATGAACTGCGAAGGGATGGAGAGGCATTTCGGACAGCCGAAGAAGATATCCTGTTTTTTAGGACCAAGCGCTGATCTTGCTGGATACGGCCGAACGGGCAACGGCCACCATGTGCAGACACCAACTGTCAGATTTCCAGACAGTCCATGACGAAGGATTGTTTCATGAAACCGGACGGTGCCGCAATACCGGGAGCGAGTGCGTTTGCGAGGTCAAATGCTTTACACCAGCGCACTTGGATAGGTAGTCTCTTGTCAAGTCTCTTGTCATGCGCGTTTGGTCCGTACTAGCCCTACTTTCGCAGTAGTGTTGGTCTCTCAAAGAGCGAAGGGGGCAAGTGGGGTTGCTGTCTCTGGGATTGAAACAAACTGCCCGAAAAGTCGGTCCTTGGGCATGGAATATGGTAATGGCGCGGGCCGTCATGTCGGATTAATTCTCCCGAAGCCCTAACTATCTTTCTTAGCCTCGCAAGCTTCCTGTGTGTGAAAAAAAGAGCGCAAAACGTGGCCATGGCTGGGCCCGAAGCCTTCCCATTACTAGTGTATCTTCTGGAAATACGGGAACCACGGATTTCGTTGGCTGACATTACGACGACGGCTCGGACGGTAGGCTTTTACTAATAAGGTGGTAGTAATGAAGTTACTCTGCCAACATCTTGTTCGCCCCACCAGTGCGATCGGTGAGAATCGATGAAACAAACAAGAAAAAAATGCCCCGGGCTCGCCGGGGGTTGTGACAAGTCATGTCGTCATTGACGCTGTTCGAGATCTGCCCCTCGCAATGAGATCTCATGGGTTGCCACGATTGACTGCCAATCGCTGGGAGAGCGTTTCGGGAGGACGGGAGCGCAGGAGACGGGCATTGGCTGCTGGAACGGAACAGAAAGTACCGCGTTAACACTCAAACCGGGGAGGGAAATTCGGAAAAGAAACTTTTCGCCAGCGATTCGGCATTGGTGGAGGGAGAGAAATTCTGGAATCACGCAAAGCGGGTCATCCAGCTGGGAGAGCTTGGAGAGGAACTTGCGGTGAGAAGTTCTGGGCTTCGGAGTACCCGGTCCTTGCGCGCTGCGCCCACAAATTGCATGAGAACATCGTCACACATTCGTACCCCACCTCTCATTTGCAAGTATTGGAAGGTACCACCACCCACAAGAGAAGCGCAAGCGGCCCGCCCGAGATGTGGCGCTCGGACTGTGCCACAAGCGAACTGGGCGGAGTAACTTGTCCGTTACCAAAATTACGCAGGGAAACTGTTTGCCTGCTCACAATATTCGTCGTTCTGGTAATTAATTTGTCTCGGGGCGTTTCAGGCCAGCGCTCTCGGACGCTCTTTTAATATTATTCGAAGTCTTCGAGCGTGCTGCGTAATAGAGGAGAAACCAGTCTCTGGCGAGAAGTCAACAGCCCAGCTTTCTCTCCCAATTCAGGGTCCACGAGCCGCCGTTGCGCCGTTTTGGGCCGCAAACTGCCTGCCGCCAGACCCTTTTCAGCCCGGCGCAGCGTTGCGACTTGCGAGCGTTGTGAGCGAGCCTTGAAGCGAGAACTCTCCAAGCCCAAAAGGGCAAGGGGGGCCAGCGCACCACCTGCAAGCAGGACGGGAGCCCCATTCCCGTCCCAACGACCCCAGGACCCACTGTTAACTGCTAACGCTCGTGCTGCAGCCCAGTTGAACGGGGCACGCACGCAGCGGTCATTTTGGGGGCGGACCAGTTTCTTGAATGGAGCCTGGGCCAACGAACGACATCATCTCTCCATTCGTGCCATTTTCCTGTGCTCCGTCAATCATTCATCCTCCACAGCCCACACGCACATCGAATCCCGCGTCAACCTCTCAGTCCCCCTGCCCTGCCCTGCTCTGTCCGGTCAACAAGGGCGCTGCCTATCCGCAGGTTTGACTTGGTTTCTCATTTGCCGTCAGCAAATGGGAGCATTCCTGACATCGCCCATCTCGGTCAATTCATCTGTTTTTGTTGGCCCATTCTCGACCTCCAAGAACCGCGTCAAGTGGGCGAATTCCTAAACCCCCAGTGGTACGGATCCGTCTTCTTGTCGGCTTTGCTCCGGACCAGGCATCCCACGCATGCACGCGCCTTCACGCGGATTGAAAGGGCAAGGTGCGGTCATCAAATCATCAGTTATCGACCGTCAATCAATCACATTAGCCATCGTCAACCCACGCCGAAACAGGGTCGCACGACACAAGTCCACAAAACCCACACACAACCCACCGCCGACATAACGACTGGACGTACCACATTGCCTCGCTTCCGGCCACCAGCGGCCATCACGGCAATCCCCAACTTTGGCAGCTCCGTCTTGGGTCGCGCTGGGATGATTTGCTGGCCAGGCAGAGTTGGCCCGTCTCCAACCCACGACGACTAACCGGACGTTTGGTGGTGAGGCGTGGCATATGTGTGGCTTGCTCTGGGCGAGCCTCCGTTGATTGATTGCCGTTGCCATTCCCCTTCCCCTCTCACAGCCAGTTGCCGCTGCTCGCATGCAACAAAAGACATGGACAAGTCACCAAACATACGTCGGGTCGGCTCGGCGCAAGACCCTGAGCTGCACCCCACGCTATCCCGCGAATCGTCTGCCAGCACAGCGACCGTGACGCCAATGGCCGAGTCGGGCACGTCCCGGTTCCCTTCGCAGCAGTCGCACGTCTCAACCTCTGCCTCTGCCTCTGCCACGTCCGCCTCGTCATCCGCCGCGCCCTCCCCCCTCGCCTCGCGTGAGCCTTCGCCGACTAGGCCGCTATCACGCACGACAACCTCCCGCAATTCATCCGCACACTCGGGTATCCGATCAAGGAAGAACAGTCAGCAAGACCTCAGCCCTTCACGCTCCGCAAGGCCGCAACCTCAACAACCCAGTCCGGCATCCAAGACGCCATCCTCTGCTAACACCCCAACCCTTCTCCCGTCTTCGACTACCTCCTCGTCTTCCGACCCCAACTCTACCCATGCGGGCGCACCCGTCAAATCCCCCACCACCATGGATCATCTACGAGAGTCGCCGAGATGGCCCATCTCACCACGGCTTCGATCTCCACCACCCATCCTCCACAAGCCAAATATGGGGCTTCCGCGAAGGTCAGAGCCGGAGACACCCTTGATCAACGTCCAGCGCGCTAGCCCGCCGATAACGGGCCCGGCCCCCGCCGACCAACCGTCCGATACCGACCCAGAAGACCACGCTGTCTCGAACGGCATGAGGACACCAGCACGAGGCGGAGGTGGTAGCACGTCGACCCTTGAGACTGTTCAGGAAGTCAGCCCCATCGGATCGCCGCGCGCCCCCGAGGAGCCCGGGTCTATTGAAGAAAAGCTCGACGATAGCAGCAACAGCATGACTCCAGAGGCGTCGCAACCCGAGTCGATCGGTCTCGGCCTTACACAGAACAGCAGTGGCAGGACAAGCGCCGGCGACAGTGGCAGCGAGACCGATAACACGACGAACAACAGTCCTTACATCATCAGGCCAGGAGCCCGGAACGGATCAGCCAGTGCACCACCACCGCTGACCTCGAAGCAATCGAGCACGTGTATAAAACAGGGCATCACCAAGACCAAGACCGGCGAGACGTCGTTGCAGAGCATGACAGTCGAGACGGAAACGGTGACGTCGATCCCCCAAGCCCCGCTGGTCCCCGGGGCCGGTGCCCAGGGTTCAAGCATCAGCTTGCGCACAAAAGGGAGCACAGAAACCATACGACCCAAGAAGGAAAGGAAGAAGCCGCCACGAAAGCAACCCTCTGTGACGGCCGGCAATGGTGAGCCAGCAACGTCTTCTTCGACTATTTTGTTTCCTAAGTTGCGCCATTATCAGTCGATGGGATCAGTCGCCCCATCGGCGAACAACAAGTGTACTTCGCCCACGCAGTGTGCTCACGACGAAGGAGATAGTCGCTCCCGTCGCTCGCACGCCCGCAGGCAGAGCATGGGTATTATTTCCATGTCCCAAGTCAGCAGCCTGCTAACTAGACAACCCCGTGCAGCGTCGTCCAAGGCCGATATCTTCGAAGCCAAGGTAGCGAGCGCCGTCGAGGAGGCCAACTCGTCCGACTCGGACGAGACCTTCGTGTACGATTCTAACCCTCCAGATGCCCGCGACCGGCCGATGCGATTCCACTCCCGGACCCCGAGCGCCACCTCGATGGCTAGCCAGGTCGACCGCGCCGGCATGCGCTCTATCCACGCCGTCATGGAGAGCAACGGCCCCCCGATCATGGTCAAGAAGAGCATGAAGTTTGTCAACTCGTCCGCCACCAACGGCCACAGTGACAGCGGTCTCGCCGAAGACGATGGACGAGGGACTGGGAGGAGCACTAACGGCTCTGGGCGTGGGACTGCCCGCCATCACCACCACTTCGGCCGGTGGGGCCGCAACGGGACTGGAAATGGCCATCCATCCTTGTTTGCGGAGCATAGCCCATTCAGCAACTCAGCACACGGCACTGGGAATGGGGGCTCCCGGCAGTCCCCGACACCACCAAGCCCTCGGTTTGCGAACCGTCCGGGTATCGGGCTGAACGGAAAGCGGGGGACACACCTGTCTGTAGGCTACGACCTCGACGACACCACGACCGGCGCTGACGACGAGACGACCCCGCTCATCCCATCTGGCACCGTCCGATCGTCGCGTTCTGGCCGCGGGCGGCGTAGTTTGCATTCACTGCGGTCTATGGAAGCACAGACCTACCATCGATCACCGCCATCGGTTCTCAACCGTTTCGCCAGCTGCTTGGTCCTTACCGTGATGCTTCTCCTGGTTGTATCCGGCGCGATCGGCTTCATGTTTGCCACTTCGCAGCCACTTACCGGGATCGAACTCGTCTCGATGGACCACGTTGTCGCCAGCCAGCAGGAACTGATGCTCGACCTTACCATCAAGGCCCACAACCCCAACGTTGTGGTTGTGGTCGTCGACTCGGCCGATATCGAGGTATTCGCCAAGTCCCCACACGCCATGTCCGACTCAGAATGGTGGCGGCATACCCACCCAGGTGAGATTGGGCCACCGCCGCCACGCCAACCGAAAGAGGAAGACAAGAGCGACGACGACCACAACGACGACGGTGCATTCCACACCCTCCTCGAAGCCGACCCGGAGCCGTCCCCTCCGGAAGAATCCGCCCCCAACATGCGCCTCGGAACAATCACGGGTTTCGACAGCGCCCTCTCCTTCGAAGGTTCCTTCTTCCACAAGGGCCTGTCCTACTCGAGCGGCGAGGTCCGTCTCAAGAGCCCTGGCAACGGGACCTACGGCGGACAGGAGCGGTGGGAGCGGATCATGGAGGATGAGTTCCAGTTGATCCTTAAGGGTGTGCTCAAGTACACCCTGCCGCTGAGCCAGCGTGTGCGGACGGCCACTATCTCGGGGAAGACGACGGTGAAGCCGAACGCGGCGGTCGGACCGCCGGGGTTGAAGCCTAATGGAACGATTGGAGGAGGGGAAGGTGGGGAGGAGAAGAAGAAGGGGGAGGTTACGATTTCTTTTGACGTTGATGATGATAATGATGATGGGGGAGGAGATATCTGAGAGGGGAAAAGCAAGGGTCGGGCACGAGAGAGAGACCCTCCGCGTCCGGCGAACACCCGCCATAGACCTATTTTTCCTTTGTTTTTACCCTGACATTACACACTCCAAGCGTGTCGTCAAAGAAGATCTCTCTACAGACTTTGGGTTTGGGTTTGGGCTTAGGGGGAGTTAGGCACCTACCTACCTACCTACCTACTTACCTATTTTATTAGCATTGCGGTCTGGGGTTTTAAGGCTGGGAGTTTGTTACTGAGTCAGTCCCGAAGAAAAGAAGAACCAAGACGAGGACCATGGACATGGACAAGGAAGAGGGCGGCATAGTGGTGTTTTTGTTGGCTTGTTTTTTTCTTCTTCGCTTTCTTGCTTTGTTATTGGGAGCGAGCGGGGAATTACCTTTTTATGTATACTGACTGATCGACTGACTGAATGACTCTCTTTTTCCCTCTTCTTGCCCTTCTAACTTCCTCGCCTTTCCTCTTTTTCTGGCTCCCCGTCCTGTTGTTTGTACCAAGTTGATGAAAAACTGGGCTTTGTCTATTCCGAGCATGGTTGCTCTTGCTGGCTTTGTTTTTCTCTTGAGAAGGGTGTCTTTGCACGGCGCAGATTTTTGTTAAAGCATGGATGGGCATCATGGATGGATGGGCGAATGGCGACCCGGTGGGTGAATGGTAACTAAACGGTAACCCGGCAAACGGCAAATGGTATACTACTCGTTCAGGTCTCAGGATTCCACAAAAATTCTAAAAGAGTCTTCCTTCCCTTTTCTCTCCACGCCACACTTCTCTTCGTCTTGCCCTTGCGTTGCTTTGACTACACATTTGTGTGGTTTGTTTGCTTTGCTTGGTTGTTTGTTTATTTGGTTACTGGGTCACTGAAAAACGAGAGAGAGAGTTGGGAATGCGTTGATTTACGATGGCTCATGATTGATGACTTTTACTTTTCTAGTCTCTAGGTTCTCTTCCCTCCTTTCTCTCTCTGTACAATGAGATGAGGGAGGTGTTTTGGTTCGTTGCGTGGGGAAAGGGGACGAGCTAGGTGTTATACAACTATTGTTGTACACTACCACTACAATTACTCTGCCTCGGGGCTTATGTACCTACCTAGTTATGACTGTTACGAATACTTTTACCTCGACGAATTGTCTTGCTGCTCGAGCTCTACTGCTTGGCTTGATGCTCCCCTACCTAGGTAGTCGGATTTACTAAGCCCCATATTCGACAAGTATTGCGCCCGCCTCTCAAACAAAGTCGATAAGTCAGGATAAGTCAAATCAAAACAAACGACGATGTATAGCATGAACTCGAACAAATAGATCTTACCGAACACGCTCAAACTCTACGCCATGTGATTCTGCAGTGAGATAAGTATCTCAATATCTAGTGTATCTCCGCCCCTGTTTGTGAGATATGACGCGTCATGATTCTCATTGTTGTGTATCAGAGTAAACAACACACAACACAACGCGACACACACCCCCCGACGCGAAGCAACGTGAAACGATCTCATTTGTGGTCCCCGCAAACCCTGTGGACTTGTGGTCCTGACAATGTTGGGAAGCGAGCAGCGAGGGCGATGAATGGGTGGTACAAATCTGAGGTGGTGTTGTATTTCGTCATTGTGCATTTGACCGTTGACTTGTTGGTGGGGAGACTGGCGGGGGGACTTGGGGGACCAAGGTTTGTTAGACAACAGAGATTTGGATGGACAGAAACACAAACACAAGCACAAGCACAAGCACAGAGATGTGATGTAAACACAGACTTGGGGAGATAGTAACAAGGGGGGGGGTGGTATCGGGGATGTTTTGTTGCACATCCACGGCATATCAGTCCACAGGGGCGATGGGTGTTGAGTGTTAAGATCCTCATGACCCGGCTTTGGAGCTGCTGCGGTTTTCAACCGAGACATGTGTTATGGATGATATTGAACCATAACAATCACCCCACAAGTAAGGCTGCCGAGAATGCAAGTATCGTGACCAGTTTGGCTGGCCTGTCATATTACCCCCTAGTTAGCAAACTTTAGCACAAGCAAGTCTATGATCCGCTTCAAATCCCATTACAAGACAATACATTCCCCATCATATAAACACACCCCCCTTTCTAATAAAAAAGCTCCATCAAGCTTCAATCTCATCCTCCTTCCAATCCGCCGTTTTCGCTTTCGTCGTGGCATTCCCCCCACCCACGACTCGCCCGCCCTGCTTCCTCTTAACCCGGCACCTCATCCCGACCTGCTCGTCAAAGATAAACCGCCACAGCACATACACCCAGCTCTCGTGGCGGGGCAGGTCGGCGTAGAACTCCTTGGCCATTTCCCGCAGCGCAGGCAGACGGGTCCAGGGGATGGCGGGGAAGTCGTGGTGTTCGTTGTGCAAGCCGACGTTGTAGGTGAAGAGGTTCAAGGGGCCGTAGTAGCTGAAGGTCTCCGGGATGGGAATGTTGTTGCCTGGCTGCCGGGCCTCGGGCTCGATCTTCTCGTAGACGTAGTGCTCGGCGATGAAGTGGCCCGCGGTCGGGTGCAGCGAGCCGGCGAGGAAGGAGGAAAGGAGGAAGTAGAGGAGCGAGTTGACGGAGAAGTAGCCCGGGAGAAGGAAGACGACGAGGTAGTCGAAGGCGAGCTGGACCGTGAGGTTGAGCCAGTGGATGCCGGTGAAGGGCACGCGGTAGATGGTCATGGGTCGGAGGGCGTAGAAGAAGATTTGGAAGGTGCAGAAGAAGGCTTTGCCGAGGATGGAGTCGAGGAAGACGGCTTCGAAGGCAGTGGGGAGGTCGGTGTCGAGCCCGTCGACGCCGAGGGACTTGTGGTGGGTGAGGTGGTAGGGCTGGGCCAGTGTTAGTATGCGGTGTGGTGTCACTCTTTGGGGTATATTTGATATCTTAGGCTACTCACCCGGAACGAAGCACTGTATGGCACGCCAATGGGGAGGTTGGCGAAGATGGCGAGCAGGCGGTTGGCCATGGGCGAGCGGAAGGCCAGGTTGTGGGAGATCTCGTGGATCGCGAGGAACAAGTTCTGGTTCGAGGTGGCGCCGAAGACATAGGCGACGGCCCAGAACTTCCAAGACCAGAACGAGGTATCGCGTAAAAGGTGAGCGAGTAGCACCTGAAGGCCGACAACGCCGGCGACGACGTATTTGGTTAAAGGCTCGGGGCCGCAAAGCTTCGTGACCTGCGTGGGTAAAGCTGTTAGCTAATTGTGGTTTTGCTCGGGGGTCTCTGTTAAGGCGAAATGAACTCACCTCAGGATGAGCCTTGATAATAGCCAACCGCCTCGTCCGGTGTGGTTCCTCAGTGTAGGTCCAGAAGAAGTCCCGGTAGCTCGCATCGTCCTCTACCGCGTTCCCATTGCTGGCACTGCTCCCCTTCTCGATCCCGTTTCCATTGACCTTGCTCGTCTCATGATCCCTCCTCTTTGCGACCCCGTTCGTTGTTGCTGTGGCCGAGTGAGCCATTGTGTTCGAAATCCGGACCCAATTATCGACGACAATCGGGCTTGCGTGTGATACAACAAGCAAGAAAATCAACACCGTCTTGTTGTTGAGGTTGACATCAAGGTGCGGGTTGCTCTGGGAGCTCCCGCTGAACTGGAACAATTTCACCAATTTCACCGCCCAGACCAGGGAAGCCAGGTACGCGTGGCGGTTGGAGACAAGCGGGGCCGTTCCCCAGCAGCGAGCGGGGCATCTGCGCTCGGCACCAATCGAACCGGCTAGGGATCGCCCGTGGTCCCTGTTCGCACCTGCCTTGGCAGAAAACTGCCCTGAAAAGGGGCCGTGGCCCGTTCGTCTGAAAAGCACCCCGGCCGTTTGGCATGGAGGTTTAACTAACGTTATCTGTGGCTTGCACAAATCATCATCGCTTGCGATTTGAAGACCACAGTTTTGGAACTTGAACGTCTCGTTTCATTATAACTTATTTTTACATTTGTGCCTAATGTTTTCCAACCCTATCAACCCCAGCTGAAGAATCAGTACCTCTGTACCACCGTCGGCGGCTTGTTGTTGAGGATCTCGTCAATCTCGGCCAGGATCTCAGGCGTCAGCTTCTTATACGCCCGCACGGCCTCAATGTTCTCGTAGATCTGTTCCACGCTGCTGGCGCCGGTGATGGCGGAGCTGACATTGGGGTTGGCGAGGACCCAAGCGAGGGCAAGTACGCTCTGCTTGACGCCGAGACGCTCGGCGATGGGCTCGAGTTTGGCCACAGTGTCGGCCATGGCTTGGAACTCGGCCTTGCCTGTCCTCTGCCAGAAACCGGCGATGAACTCGATCTGTGACTGCGCGAACCGCGACCCATCCGGAATCCCGTTCTTGTACTTGCCCGACAGGATGCCCTGCCGCAGAGGCGAGAAAACGGTCAGGCCGAGCCCGACCTCACGGTACAAGTGTGCGTACTCGCGCTCGACCTGGACACGCTCCAGCATGTTGTAACGCGGTTGCTCTGGGAAGGGGTCAGTGTTTGAGTCCTTCCACGGAAAGAAGACATCAACTCGGGCACTCGACATACCCATGACTGGCCCGATCAGGCCCAGCTTGTCGGCGTACCGCCACGCCTGCGCAATCTCATCGGCGTTCCACTCCGAGGTGCCCCAGTACAACGCCTTGCCGGTGTTGATCAGGTGGTTGAACGCGCGCACCGTCTCCTCCATGGGAGTGTGGCGGTCCGGGCGATGGGCATAGATTAGGTCGACATACTCGAGCTGCAGCCTCTCGAGCGACTGGTTCATGCCCTCGATGACATGCTTGCGAGATAGGCCGCGGTTGTTGACCTTGGTCTTGCTGAAGGCATCACCCCAGTAGAGCTGCAGGTATGTTAATGGATTGGAACCACATAAAAAAACAGCAGGAGGGCCCGGGGCAGCTTGCCTTGGTGGAAACGACAATATCGTTTCGCTGCCAGCCGTACTTCTTGATAGCCTCGCCAATGACCTTCTCTGACTCGCCGGCCGAGTATTCCTCGGCGCAGTCGAAAAAGTTAACGCCAGAGTCGTAGGCCGCTTTCATGCAGGCGTACGTGCCCTCGCGGTCGACATGGCCGCCGTAAGTCAGCCAGCCGCCGAGCGAGATGGCCGATACCTGCAGCCCGGACCGGCCCAGGAAGCGGTACTCCATCTCGGGGAGGTTATCGGGCTTGGACATGGTGGTTTCTTTACTGAGTGGGTCCTTGAGCAAGTGTCGCGGCGGAAGAATAAAGAACTGCTCAGGACTTTTGTTTCCAGAAAGAGGAATGCAAGGGTTTCTTAAATAAAGCAACGCGTTGAGCCTTGTCAAGAGCGCCTCCACTTCTCAACCACCTGGTGTCGCGGAGTCAGGTGCACCGAGCTGCATGGTGGTGCGGGGTGGTTGAAGCTGCGAGCTCTCATTTCTTGCGCCCCTCCACCGATTACCTGAGAGGTTGCCAACGGCCCGTTACACCTTCCCAACAAGCTCTTCGATCGGGCCTGGCAGTCTAGGATAACTGGGATTATCGCATGACAAAACTGTGTTCCTCGAGATTCCTTCTCGGTCAATAGCGCCGTGTAGTGGCCGAAAAGACGGGAACTAGCGGCTCAGCGTTCCATTTAGCCGCCAAGTACGAATGAGAGTATCTCACTCAGCTCCTCTTGCTTTTCTCCTCATTCTTGCTTAGCTTTAATCTTTATTCTCTCGGCGTGACTCAGTTGTTACAGATCTCAAACAGCTTTATTTTCATGAGTTGAGAGATCAGGACTAAGGAGATAGCAAGGTGGGGGTGGAAGCAAGAGACAATGCAACTCTGTCGTTGTTCTTCTACTTCCTGATTGCTGTCACCCCGCATGCTTAGAACTGCAGCCAAAACTCAGTCCCTTAATCATGAAATAAAGAGTGGAAAATATTCACCGTAACAAGAAGCTTTGTCCGGGCGAATGTTTCTGCATTCACGTCACACGATACCCTTGCTCTCTTTCAGGTGTTTGCAAACCCAGGCCCATATTCACGCCACTGGTACATATGATAACATGTGTTATCTAAGATGCATTGTCAGAGAATAGTTAGAAGATATTCCGTCCGAAGAAGTCAAACTCAGCTTTTAACACTTTTCATCGCAACATCTGTAGCACGTGGCAGATGCGGCGAAGCTTGGCTGTCTGTGCGAAGCACCGTGCAAATGAATGCCCACACAGTATGTCACCCCCTGAATCGGTGATTTGTTTACTTGCCCCTTTTTCTTCACCCCGGATATCAAACCACCAAGGAAGCATCACCAACTTGCAACCAACAGCGTTCTTTGGAGTTGTATTCTCAGGTCATATGAATCATGGGTTGCTCTTTCCTCTTCGACAACTTGGACCACGATTTGTTCCCCTTCTTGACCCGCCTTGCGCCTTCCCGCAGAGTTCACACCCCCATCCCTTTCGATCTCCCCCAAGATGTAAACCCTATCTCTCCTTCCATACAATCACGCCCTCAGGCCATCAATTAAACGATGCCGTTGCCCTAGCCCTGCCGAGAGATTTCTGGGAGAGAAAGCAGGGGCCATGTTTTGAAATTCGCTGCGGCCTATGCTCTGTGCGAATTTGCTCTCCTTCTCCCTCCCCTCCGCGACCCCTCGTTTCTCCCTTCTTCTTCTACCCACCTTTCCCGCCCTTTTACCATAGGGTTTCTCTCATTTATCTCCCACTGCCACCCGATCTACCCTTGGGAAAGACAAAGTCGATCAACATCTTCAACTGTTGGTCGGCTCGGTTTTTTAAGGGTATCTACGATGTAAGCTTTTTTCCCCTCCTTTGACGGATTCGTTCCTTGATAATAACAAAATTCCCTCTTTGTGATGTCTGTCGTTTGTAGTAACGTCCTGCGGGTAACCACTAACGCAAGCGCTTTGTAGAAACGGATCGCTGCTCTCTGAAGTACCTCAGGTAAGCCAGCCGTGGTCCCTTTTCGGGTCGCTCTTACATTTCAATCCCCAAATTCCTGCATTTTGATTAGGATTGATTTACCCCGACTTCGCTCGGTTATTCCGTGGTTCCTAACCACTCGTCTGCGTTTCTCAATCTGTCAAATTAAAACCCAGCCAGGGTGTAGTTTCTCTAACGCGACGGCGAGCAGTGATCAACGATCGAAAAAAGTCACCATGTCCGACTGGAACAACAATCCGGGCACCGACTGGAACGGTGGCGGCAATGCCGCTGCTGATTCTGGTTGGGGTACCAACGACAACAACTCCGGCTGGGACACCGGCAATGCTTCCACCAATGACTGGAACGCTACTTCTGGCGGCAACGACGCTGGGGGCAACGACACTGGCGGTAACAATGGCGACAATGGCGGTGGTGGAAACAACGGAGGTTGCTTCAACTGTGGCGAGACCGGGTAAGTTCCACGATTTCTTCAAATAATGACCGCAACTGACATGAATCAACAGTCACAACAAGGCTGATTGCACCAAGCCGCGCGTCATGAGCGGTGGTTGCCGTCGCTGCGGCGAGGAGGGCCATTGGAGCAAGGACTGCCCGAACGCTCCCCCCATGACTTGCCGTGGCTGTGGTGCTACCGGCCACATGGTGCGCGAGTGCCCCGACGCTCCGGCCATGAAGTGCAAGGAGTGCGAATCTACCGAGCATTTGGTCAAGGATTGCCCTAACCGTGTGTGCAAGAATTGTGGCGAGACTGGTAGGCACGCTCTTGTAAAACTTTCAACGTGTGGAGGTTGTTGACATTTTAAACCTCTAGGCCACACTGTCAGCGCCTGTAAGAATGCTCGCAAGGTCAACCGTGACCACTTGCCCGACCTGAGCAGCGAGGATGCTTGGGCTCTGATTCTGCGTGCCGCCAAGGAGCGTGACATCGACGACGTCAAGGAGGCCATTCAGACTTACGTCAAGTCTACCCCCGAGGCCACCTACGTCGAGCTTGAGCGTGCCTTCCGCGCCCACGACGTCGGCATCTGGCTCATCGCCATTGAGAAGACCCTCGCAGACACTCTCACCAACATGGATCTCCAGGGCAACCTCGGCAAGAAGTACACGGTCACGTATCGCTTCCAGTGGAACCCTCCCCGCCCGCGTGACCGTGAGATGTGGCCCAAGGACGTCGACGAGAACCTCGAGCGTCTTGCTGATGCTGGTGAGGTCGTTGACGGCGGTCTGCCCAAGTGTAGAAACTGTGATGAAGTCGGCCACATTTCCAAGTCTTGCCCCCAGGAGCGTATTGAGAAGCCGAACCCGTTCGATATCGTTTGCTTCAACTGCAGCGAGATCGGCCATCGTGTTCGTGACTGTACGTGACAGATTGGAAAGGTGTCAATTGTATTCAACTTCCAACTAACAAGCTTCCAGGCCCTACTCCGCGCGTCGACCGCTTCGCTTGCAAGAACTGCGGGTTTGTCGTTCCTCTCTATTCTTCTTGATCACGAGGTAAAATACTAACAGTCTCACAGCCAGTCGGGTCACAAGGTTGCCGATTGCCCTGAGCCGCGCTCCGCTGCTGATGTCGAGTGCCGCAAGTGCGGCGAGAGTAAGTTTCCATTAATCACCAGACTGCCTTGAGTTACTAATTAGTGGTAGTGGGTCACTTTTCTCGCGACTGTCCCCAGGGCGGTGGTGACCGTGGTTGCCGCAACTGTGGCCAGGAGGGTCATATGGCTCGCGACTGTACTGAGCCGCGCAACCTTGACAAGGTGCAGTGCCGCAACTGTGACGAGTACGGCCATATGAGCAAGGAGTGCCCGAAGCCGCGTGACAGTAAGCTTTGCCTTTGTTTCCACTTACCTGCCTTGATAACCAGCTAATTCCTTGACAGTTACGCGTGTGAAGTGCAGCAACTGCCAGGAGATGGGCCACTTCAAGTCCCGTTGCCCCAACCCTCTCGTCCCCGACGACGGTGCCGGTGATGCTGGCGGCTACGACACCAACACTGGTGCTGACAACGGCAACGCCGATGGCGGCGGCTGGGGTTCGGGTGGCGGCAATGCCGACGACTGGATGAACAGTGCTAACACCGGCGGTAACGACTGGAATGCCGGCAACACTGGCAACGCCAACAACGACTGGTAAATCCGGGAGCGCAAGATTCGGGAGCGCAAAACCGGGACACAAAGGCTGGCTATCATTGATTGGGGCGAGGGTTGATCTGTCTTCACTTGGAAGGGGGGTATTGGTCGTCTATTTGGCTGAATCTTTTGGTCATTTCTAGGAGGTTATGCCGCCATGACAAGTGAGATACGATAAGGCGGGGGGATGTAGTGCACGAGATAGCCAAGCAGAGGACACAGAAAAATATCACATCGTTGATTTAGACTTTTGCTTCTTTATTTGTGAGACTGTGATCTTGATGTGCAAACAGAAAGCGGTAAAGCTCCGGATAATTACTACTAATTACTTGGTGAGAACGCCAATTATGTGCGGCATGGTATAGCACCAGAGCTCATCGTCCATGCGGTGCACGTCAACGTTGCTCCAGGGACCGGCCTCCTTGAGGTAGGTATTGGTGTCGCGACACATTTCGCAACCGCCGATAAACTGGGGCCAGAAGAGGTTGAGGAACGCTGGATGAAGAAATTCGGTCAGTAAGTCCCCCTGTGTCTCGCTCTCTCACCCCGCACCGTTTCCCCACCAAAAGAAAGAATAAAAATAAAAGCCTCAAAAAGGGGGAATGAGTGAATCAAAGAAAAGGTTTCCGACGAACTCACCCTGATAAGCCCTCATCCCCCACCCTTGCTCCCGAAAACATTTCACATGCTCATACACATACCACCGTCCCCCAGGCTTCAAATACCCATACAGCTGTGCGATATTCTCCCTCGGCTGTGGGATACTGCACAAACAGAGTACCGTGACGATGCAATCCACGCTTTGCGGGGCCACACGCCCGGACGAGGCCAGGGATTCGATGCCTACGGGGAGGATTTCGTAGGTGCTGTTGTTATTGGCGGGGCTGGGGGTGTCGAGACCGGCGGCGGCGATTTGGGCGCGGAGGAGGGGGTGCACGCCTACGTTGGGCTCGATGCCGTAGATTTTGGTGATTGGGGGCGTGTCTTTGGAGGCGTTGGGGTTGAGGAAGCGTGGTGTGAAGAGGGACACCCACATGCCTGAACCGGGACCGATTTCCAGGACTGTACCGCTCACGGGTGGATGGTGTAACCGGTCTTCGTCGCTGTCATCGCCTCCCTGAACAGAAGAATCCTGGTGGCGGGGCACAACGCCCGCGCTCACGCGCCCCTGAAGCAGCGGGACGACATGTGGTTCGGCATGGGTGCGCACGTTGGGCGCGACAAAGGCCCAGAAACGGCCGAACCAGGCGGCGCGGAGTCGGGAGGGGTGGAAGAGGATGGTGGATAGGGACTCGGCGCGGAGGGTGGCGGGGAGGAAGGAGAGGGAGATGAGCATGAATTGCCAGGGGTGGAGGAGGGAGAGCGCCCATTCGGGGAGGGCCATTGTTGCTGTGGGCGTGCGGAGGAAGTGGGCGTGGTGGTGGTTGTGGTGGGTAATGTGGTAATGTTGTTCTGGTGGGTGAGTGTTAGCTTTGTGGTCAAAAAGGGGGAGGATGGGGGTGACATACCTGGGTGAGAGAGGGAAGACAAGTGAGAGCGGGGAGGATGAGTTTGAGGGGAAGAGAAAGAAAAAGGGATGGAGGGGAAAAAGGAAAGAAAAAAAGGACCCCTCGGGACTATTTGTAAGGCTACCTGCCCCCGGCAGCGCGTACCCCCCCTCTCCCCTCCAAAGCCGGATTACGCACCGGCATGTAGGATCAGAGGGATACCTTATGTGTGGACGACCTACCTAGCTGACCGGGAAAAGGGGGGTGGCCGTTCTATATGGGGAGCGAGCATAGTGAAGGTGTTTCTTTGAATTGCCAGAACTAGGGTTAGGGCTCAAGCAGGCGCCCGTCGCACCATCGCGAAGAACAATGGAAGCTGGGACCCTGCAGGCCCCTGCTCGTGGATAAGAAGTCTTGGCAGTCTTGGCCCCCCAAATCGGCGCCAACAGGCCAACCACAGGCGTCCGATTAGCCCACCCCAGCGCCATCGGCCACTCTGACCACGCTGGCTGGAACCGAGTGCCAGGGCCGCGCTCGCTGCGTAGGGAATTGCAAGCCATTGTTTCGCCTTTTTGCAGCGTGTAAGTTGACAACTTTCGGAGGTCCAGGTCGTTTTGGCCAGCACTTTTCGACCTTTTTCCTCATCCTTGAGACCTCTCAACGATATTTGCTTCTTGTCGCCGGCTGCGAGACTTTCTTTTGCTCTCGTTAAATCAATTGCACCGTCGATCGACCGCTGTGTCGCCGTCAACTCGTATCTTCGCAAGCAAAAAGAAGTCGCAGAACCGAATACGCACCAAGACACACAAGTGGACAGCTTGGCCATACGGGCCACGGCGGCATCATGAGGCTGCTCAAGACGGTTCTCCTGTCGCTCCTGACGCTAGCGCAGGTTGCGCTATGCGCGGAGGACTACTACAAGGTGCGTCTGGTGTTTGGATGCTTTCTTAGAAGCTGATCGTCGTCAACTAACGTTTGATGCATCAGGTCCTCGGCGTCGATAAGCAAGCGAGCGAGCGCCAGATCAAGTCGGCCTACCGCCAACTCAGCAAGAAATACCACCCCGACAAGAACCCGTACGCCTGATTCCCTTCTCTTCTTCTCAATAAGTGAATGATCACTGCTGGAAGAGACAGCTAACCAACCCCCGCAGCAACGACCCATCCGCCCACGACAAATTCGTCCAAGTATCCGAAGCCTACGAAGCCCTCTCCGACGCCGAATCCCGCCAAATCTACGACCAATACGGCCACGAAGGGCTCAAACAACGCCAACAACAAGGCGGCGGCGGCGGCGGGCACGACCCCTTCGACCTCTTCGGCCGCTTCTTCGGCGGCGGCGGCCACTTCGGCAACCAGCCCGGCCAGCGCCGTGGCCACAACGTCGAAGTCAAAGTCCCCATCTCCCTGCGCGACTTCTACAATGGCCGCACCACCGAGTTCCAATGGAACAAGCAGGAAATCTGCGAAGTTTGCGAAGGTACCGGTGCCGCCGACCGTGTCGTGCATACCTGCCAGGCCTGTGCCGGCCGCGGCGTCCGCACTGTGCGTCAGCAGCTTGCCCCAGGCATGGTGACCCAAGTCCAAATGCAATGTGACGCCTGTGGCGGGCGGGGGAAGGCCATCAAGCACCGGTGCAGTGCTTGCGGCGGCGAGCGCGTGGTGCGGAAAGCCACCACCGTATCCCTCACCATCCAGCGGGGCATGGCAGATGGGACGCGTATCGCGTACGAGAATGAAGCCGACGCCAGTCCGGATTATGTCGCCGGCGACCTGATCGTGACGTTACTCGAGAAGGAACACCCAGACCTCGAAAGCGAGGAGGACAACCCGGACCGCGTCGACGGGGTATTCTTCCGCCGCGCCGGCGATGACCTCCTCTGGCGCGAGGTCCTTTCCCTTCGCGAAGCGCTCCTCGGCGACTGGACGCGCAACCTCACCCATCTCGACGGCCACGTGGTGCGGTTATCCCGTCCCCGCGGGCAGGTGATCCAGCCGCACCATGTTGAGACGGTGGTCGGGGAGGGTATGCCGAAGTGGCATGAGGACGGGGACAGTGTGTACCATAAGACGGAGTATGGGAATTTGTTCGTGGAGTATGTGGTTGTGTTGCCAGATCAGATGGAGAGTGGGATGGAGAAGGAGCTGTGGGCGTTGTTTGAGAAGTGGCGGGCGAAGAAGGGGGTGGATTTGCATGAGGATAGTGGAAGGCCGGAGAAGCCGGTGATGAGGGATCAGGAGCATGATGAGTTATAGACGGGGGGCTTATGGAGAGGGGGATAGGTATATACCACGGGTAGTGGAACGCATTTATAAAGACATGATTTTGCATAGACACATGTTCCGTCCAGTGTCGACACATTTGAGTTCAGTAGCATTTCAGGACACGTAAATATCATGATAACTACTTGGACGACCAAGGTACTCACTACAACTTTACAACCACACACAACACCCAAACAAGACAAGACATCAAAACATCATTCATATCTAAAAACCAAACTAAAAAAACAAAACGCAATACAAAAAAAACACACAGTTAAAAAACAACAAAACAAAATCATAAGTCATCAAGGCATAAGAAATCCCATCCCATCTGTAGATCACCCCCAAGTCTGAGACCTCCCAACCCCAACCTTCCTTTCATACCGTCCCCCTTCCTCTCTCTCACTCTTCCTCTCTCTTTCCCTCCTCCGTCTCCCAGAATCATCATATCGGTGATCATGATCATCATATCGGTCGTCGTTGTCGTCATCGTGCTCATAGTAACGATCCCTTTCGCGATCCCTGTTCCTTTCCTGGTCTTGACCCCTCTCCCTCTCACGCCTATCACCATCACCATCCCGGTCCCTAGTCCGTCTCTTTTCCTCTCCCCGCCGACTACTACTACTACTACTCTCCCCTCTCTCATCACCCCTACTAGCACCACCTCGGTCTTCATCGGCTTCGTTATCATCCGACCTTCTCTTCCACCACCGTCGACTACGCCCTTCACTCTTCTTCTTTTCCTCCGCTGCTCGGTCTTCATCATCTCTGCGTTTCCGTTCCCGCTCCCGATCCCGTTCTCGCTCCCTCTCTCGGTCTCGGTCTCGTTCCTCGTCGTCATCATAGTCCCGCTTGCGCCTGTTACGTCTATCATCATCCTCCTCTTTGCGATCCCGGCGGTACTCGTTCTCATCATCGTGATCGTCTCTTCGACGCCTTCTCCTCTCCTCGTCTCTGTCCTGTCTACTACTCCGATCTCCATCTCTTTCCCTATCCTTACTGCGATCCCGATCCCTGTCTCGTTCACGGTCCCGGTCACGGTCCCGATCACGATCCCGACTCCCTTCCCTCTCCGAGCCATGCCCACCCTCCTCACCACCCTGCAACAAACTCCCACTCAAAATCCCCCCAATCAACCCAATCCAACTGCCCCTCCCCTCCAACACCCCCGTAACATCCCTCACAATCCGTTCCACCGCCGCAGCATCCGGTGCAGCCACGCCCCATTCCCCGCGCATGTTCATACCCCCCGGCCCGCGAGGACTCCGGTACTCAAAGTCCCCGCGCCGACTATGCCAGCCCGATGCAGACGACGACCGAGCAGACCCGTCCAAAGGACGGCCCTGAGAATCGAACCGGTCCGGGAGCACCTCTACGGTGTCTTCGTCGTCGTGGGAAGCGGCGGCCCGTTTCTTGCCCCGGGGATCTCGGTTGTAATCGCTCTCGCTTGCGCTTGTTGCGTCTTCTGTTTCGGACTTGGACGTTTGCTCCTCGTGGTGACGACGGAGGGTAGCGGATGACTTGGGGGACAGGGGGATGAAGACAACTGATTTGGCGGTCCGGGGCGTGTCTGGGGGCTCCATCTCTGATGATGCAGCAGTGGTTGGCGGAGTGTGGGGTCTGGAGTCGCTTACACCATCTAATAGGCACACACATCAGGTTAGTACAAGCTTCGACGCGTGACACACCGAGGGAGATTTTATGATTGTTCTTTCTCTTTTTTTTTCTTCATGTGTCTCTCAAAGGTCATCACCGCCAGTGGACGCACCCTTCTTGTCGCCATCAACGGAGCGAACGGCAGCTTTTGGCTCTGGAGTGGAACGACCAACACGAGAAGCTTCACTCACATGTTCAGGGCCCGTGGGGTGTGGTGGCGGTGGATGTACTCCTGGGATTAACGATGGCGGAACATCCGGATGCGCTTGCACCGGCCCTGGCGGAGGAACTGGGCCTGGGCCTGGGGTTGGTGGAGGCACCGGTACCGGTACCGGGCCCGGCGGTGGGCTAGCCAGGTCCGGAACGGCCGTGTTTGGAGGCGGACCAGGCACTGGCGGTGCATAGGGAGCGTACGGTCCATCTGGTGGGTACGGTGCATAGTGCTGGTGGAGGTTAGTGGTGGCGACGTTGGGATGTTGCGTGAATCCGTTGACCACTGGGGGCTGCTGGGCTGCTGTAGGAGGTGGTCCGTTGTAGTAGCCGCCGGACGCGTGAGGTGGTGAGGGTTCCCGGCGGGTGTACGTGTCATAGCCGTCTGGTGGGCGTTCGTCCCCATAGCCTGGTGATTGTTAGTCGCTTACCCTCTTTCTGTCTCTTTGTCTAGTGGACGGAGTGCAGTAGACTCACGTTGTCGGTCCCTCTCTCTCCCCTTCTCCCTCTCCCTCTCCCTCCTCCTCTCTCGGTCCCTGTCTTCCCTATCCCTATCCCTCTCCCTGTCCCGATCGCGATCCCGGTCTTTCTCCCTCTCCTTTTCCTTTTTTTGGTCTTTTTTGTCATTGTATTTCTTGATGCCAATGGCCGCCGCGCCTGCAGCCGCAGCACCCGCCGCAAGGTCGCGCAACCTGCTCCCGCTACGCTTCTTCTCGGCCTTCTTATCTCGGTCCGTGTCCGCCTCGCTGTCGGCCGAATAGTCGTCGTCGTCGTCCCTCGATCTACGGCTCTTCCTCCTCCTCCGCCTGCGGCTCCGCTCCTCGGCCGCAGACTCGTACCCCTCTGCCGCTGCTGCGCCCCTCTCGTTCCGCTGGGGAGGGTCTGCGTACAGGGGGTGCGCCCCGTACTCAACCATGCCTAGCTCAGGATCAGCTGTGGAAGAGTCACCGTCGGGGTACGTGGGTCCGGACCGTGTCAAGCTCCTGCTTCTGCTACGCCCGTGCCGGTCGTGCCCATCGCTGTTGTAATACTCATCATCGCTAAATTCGCGCTCCCGCTCCCGGTCGCGCTCTTTCTCCTCCTCCTTCTTGTCCTTGCGCCGGTCGTACAGCTTCTTGGCTCCCGCACCCGCGAGGCCAGCCGCCACGATCTCCGCTCCGGTGCGAAGACGAGACCGCGACCGGCTCTTGCCGTCTCGCGACTTGCTCTTGCTCTTGTTACGGTAGTGCTGGACCAGCCCGACCGCGGCCGCCGTGCCCAGCCCGGCCTTCGCAACCGACGAGGCCCGGCTCTTGGAGCGCTTGCGGCTGAGGGACCGCTCGGTGTCACTGTCGCGGTGGAGAGCTCGGCCACGGTGCATCTCCTCCTTCTCGATCTTGTTGCTCTGGTAGTACTTGGCAGCACCAGCGGCTGCTAGAGCAACAGCAGCAATACCGAGACCGGTCTTGAGTCTCGAGTGAGGCGGGCGAGAGCGCGAGCGGGAACGCGAACGATCCCGGTTGTCCTCGTCACCGTACCGGTCCTGGTAGGCGCTGTGTGCGCGTCTGGCAACCTCGGTGCCAATGGCACCAATGGCTGCTCCAGCAAGCACCTTGCGGCCGCGGTTCTGCTTGTACTCACCGTGCGAGTCGCGCCTAGAGGCGAGAATGGCCGAGAGACCAGCGCCCGCGAGAGCGCCTTCGGCAATATGGCGCTTGCGGTGTGGGCTGCTCGAGGCGCTGCGCTCCCGCTGGGTGATAGTGCGCCTCACATAGTACTCGCCGTCCGACTCGCCCTCGCTATGGCCGTGGTGGTGGTGGTGCCGGCGATGATGATGGTGATGATGATGATGCCGGCGGTGCTCATCGTCATAGCGAGCGATCGCGTACTCTTCCTCGCGGCGTTCCCCGCGGTAAGGGCCGACTTCGCGAGACTCACGATGGTAGTACACCTCGCCTTCGCGCGAACCCTGACGGGCGAGCGCCAGGTCTCGCTTGTCGGCCTGCTCACGGATGACGACTGTGGCCGGCGCGGCTTCCTGCACAATGATCCTTTGCTCTGGCGCGCGCTGCCGGATGACGATGGGCGCCGGAGCAGGCTGAGCCGGAGCATAGTACTCGGTTTCCTTGCGCCAGCGCTCGACGTTGTCACCGCCGGGGGAATAGGGGTCGTCACGCCGTTCCTCGACCCGGCGTTCGATGCGGAGGTCGGCCCCATGGGAGTCGCGGTGCTCGACCCGCTTCTCGATGCGCACCTCGGTGTCCTTCTCATCGTCCCAGTGCGAGCGGCGCTCCCACTCCCGGGGCGAGTACAGGTCACGATCGCGGTCACGCTCGCGATCACGGTCGACCCGGTCAATCTCTTTGGTGGACTCGTAGACCACTCTTGACCGGTCGTCTCCACGGCGGTGATCGTCGTCGCGCTCCACAATACGCTCCACGCGGGTGTAGTGGTCTTCCCGGGGCTCGCGCTCACGCTCGCGCTCCACAACCTGGCGCTCGACGTAGGTTGCGCTGTGCGGAGAAGGCTCGTAGTTCGAACGCGGCCGCTCCGGGATGTACAAACGGTCGACGCGGCGGTCTACTTCGACCACTTCGTCTCGGCTGGAACGGCGGACGGGGGCATAGCGGCTGCGGCGCTCCTCCTCCACGACATCGATCTCGCGGTCGACACGCTCGACACGGTCGCCGCCGACCTTATACCGGCGCACCGTGGTCCTCTTGTAGCCCTCGTCGTCGGACGGGGATGTGTCCCTGTCGCGCGACCGCTCCCGCACGTAGCGGGCTTCGCGGTACACCTCAGGCATGGTGGATGGGCAAGTGTGCCGTCACACCCTGCAGAGAGGATGGTCGTCGTGGATTGTGGGTCGTTGGTGGTGAGGGGTCTTTCCGGGTATTCTGCGCGCTGATGTAATGGGGATTTCGGTCAAGTCGTGACGCCGAAAGGGGTAAAGCTAGGCTTGGAAGCTATGCGCGTTCTGGGTATCGCCAAAAAATAATCATAAACAAAATAACATAAGGTGCAAAGTCGCAAATCACAAAAAATGAAGCGTGGAGAGAATCCAACCAAGGAGGGGTGGAAAGAGGGAGGCTGTGAGCAAGGACAGGTGGTATAAGAGAGGAGGGGGGAAAGAATAAGCTGTGGGCCAGAGGAGGATCAAGGTGAGTGGGAAACCCGCTCGGAGAGAGAGAGGGGGAGGGGCGGCCACGGGATGGCTGGGAGGGTGTGTGGAAAGTGGGAATGTGAGATGCGCCTGCCTTGGGGTGTGTGCAAGGGAACGGTAACGCTCCAGAACTTGGTGCTGACGGACTTGATCTTGGCCCGCAGCTCCAAGCATGCGCAGCAACTGGTTGCATTACGTTATTACTCGCAGACGGGGAAGGAACGGCGCGAGGGCGTGCTTCTGCAGTTCTGTTGCTTCTCGCAGGTCCGCAGGGCAGAAACCAACTGCGGCGCAGCCGCCGACTTCACACAGGATGCCTCGTGTTTTGTGTTTTGCGTTTCGCGACATCGCTCAACGAACAATTTCCAGCGCCATTGTTGGCTGCCGCTCGGCGTCTGTTGGCCCCAGCGGCGGCCCGTTCCACGACCGCATCCTATTTTCCCTCCTAATTTTCACCCCTCTTCGTTCAACAAAAAGGCGGCTTGGTGGCCTGTCAAGGCGGCCGATCTTTGGTGGCCACCCCCTTCCCAACAGACCCTGGACGTATGAGGAGTTCCAAAAATGATGCTTGCGCCGCCCTCAGCTTCGCCGCGCGCCTGGAACGATTCGAGACAAAGCACCTAACAAGGCGAGGTTCAGAAACACCTCGCTCAAAAAGGCCAACAGTCGCTCGTTTGGCTGTCTCTTTTGGCCTCGACGACAATGGAACCCGGCTATCGGCTTCGAGTTGAATGCAACCTCCCGATACTAGGAGGGGTTCATCCGCCAGGGAGAGCCGCAGAAGTCTTGTGTTCCCATCAGAAGACAGGACAGGCAGACAAGCTACCCTGATGACCCCACCTCGACCCTTTCTTTACTTACTATGTATTTCTCAGTTGCCACAAACACAAGACCCCTTACAAACCATCCAAACTCATGAGAACACGGTGGGCACGAGGCTTCAAAACTGTGTGTGACCCCACCTAAATTTACTAGCCAGCCCCAAACCTGCCCCACCCCGGCACGCCCGAATGATGCGGGCGATGGGCGAATCGGTTATCGAGCGAAGCAGATGCCGCTCGGGAGGGTTACGAGGCGCAGCCTTGTGACTCTTCCACAAGATCACCAGGGTTCGCAGAATTTGCAGCTCGTGGCCGGCAAACTGGATCGCCCGAACCATGTTGGCGGTTCGCCCGCCCTCTGAAGGCGAATCAGCCGGGTAGGTCGCCTTGTAATATTCCCCGGGATTGTAAAAGTCTAGTTTACGGTGAAGTCCCGCGACTCTCCCGAAATTTATGGCCCTAGCCTACGCACCGTCAAGGATTGGGAATGGAAAGCTCAGTATTCCAAACCCTCAGTCAACGCGGCACTTGGCGCAGCTCGAGTTACCCCTCCCCCGCAGTTGCTCACAAACGGATCGTGCCATTCCTCCGTCATTTGCTCTATCGTCCCTTAAGAAACGATCAGTTCACTTTGATAATCTCCTAGAACCCTCTCGGCTGCTGAGAGAACGAGAGCATTTCAAAATGTATTGCTTCTTGATGAGCAATCTTGCAAAGCTTTGGTGATGAGCTCTGTTTCGGCAGTTCTGGAGGGATCCATTTCGTCATCACCGCCCCACAGAGTCCGCCAAGACTACAAACGCCCATGCAAGGCTAGCGTGCCAAGACACTGTGTTTTTGCATCAAGCCCTTATGAGGTCTGCGAACCAAGACTCCTACTGAGAGTGAATCTGACGCTAGCTGAGAGGAAAGTGTTGCAAAAAAAAGAGGTTTACTGTATGTTGATGACCTCAGCGTTGAGAGCAGGAAAAGGGTCAGAGCTTCGGCGACTGACTCATCCGGTGTGACTGAGACACCAGTCCCGTTTACATACATCGATTAGCGAAACTTCCCCCAAGGGGCGCCATTCGAGAAATGGGAGTCTCTGAAATGATGTCTACTTTAATGGCATTGTTGATTGCGAGGTATGGACGCCGTATCAATGAGCTGAATACATCCGGGCAACTACGTAGTAAAGCGTAACCGGCGGAAAGCCGAGTGACGCCATCAAACTGCGACTTGGACTCTCCATTGAGGCGGCTATGTGTCTCAGAGGATGGACAGGAGTCCAACCTGGCCTGTCAACCACAGGCTCGGAAGCAGGCCTCGCGAGTCTCCATCACCAGCCGCACGGCGGGACATGGCCAAAAAAAAAAAGCCAGTCGAACCCAAATTGCTCAAAAGCGCATCTTCAAATTCCGTGTAAAGCTACGCCGATGAACCCGGATCCCCCGTATCATAGTCTCCATTCCTGAGGTCGTATGTGCGAAATACCGCCGCAAATCCATGCAAGTCCAGGCATAACAAAGGGAATCCGAGGAGTCAAAAACACGCCCTGACCGAGTCGAAGCCAGCTTAGTCGAAGAGACCGAAACCCATGTCGTCGTCCGACTCCTCCTTCTCTGTAGCAAATTATTAGCCATCCGCCCGAGTAGCGCGATACCAATTCGTGGTGAAATCCTTAAGGGTCGCAGAAAGAATTGGCACTCACCCTCCTCCTTGGCCTCCTCCTTGACCTCCTCGGCCTCACCACCAGCGGCAGCAGCGCCGCCAGCAGCAGGGGCAGCGGCACCGCCGCCCGAGCCGACGTTCGAGAGAAGGTCCTTCACGTCCTTGCCCTCAAGAGCCTGTAATCCAACAAAAATACCTCCGGTCAGCCAATCTGGTCCGTCTCAAAACAATCCCGCAATCCCATCACTCGAACAAAATAGAGCGGCGTTGTGGCGGGCGTTTCGGGCTTTCGTACCTTGGCGAATAATGAAGCCCAGATAGGCTCGACATCGACGACGTTAGCGGCCTTGATGAGCGTCTGGATCTTGTCGGCCTGGAATTGAACGGATTAGCGATGGTTCCGTGTTGTACATTCGAGGCTCCCGTCTCTACGTCTGCTGCTGCTGCTGCCATCGCCGCTGCTCCCCCAAATTCGCACATGCGGGGTGCGGCGAGGCGAGGCGTGCGCAGAACCGGAAAAAGGGTTTTCTTACGGTGATCTCGACATTGTCGTCGGCGAGGATCAGCGCCGCGTAGGAAGTGGCCAGCTCAGCGTTAGACATTGTGACTGTGGTTGCCGAGGCGCAAAGGGTGCTGTGACTCGAAAGGTGGGCTTCTTGACGTGGGTTGTGAAGACAGGAGCTCGAAATTCGTGAGCGGGAAAATAATTAGTTGGTAGTTGTGGGCAGGACGAAAAAGGAATAGCGTGGCCCTACGGGCTGCCAGCTGGGAAGGCGCACGGGCAGCCGGCAGCCAAACCACTGTTGGTCAGTGCGTTTCCTGAGGAAAACCCACTGTTCAGCGACTTTTGGGACTGGATCACATGACTGCATCCCCATACATAACCCCAACCCTGCCATCCCTCCTTCTTTCAACACTTCCGCAACTTCTACTCTCTAACTGTCAAGCTCTCTGGCGCTGGCAACCGTTGAATCGCTCAAAACTACAATAAAACCGGAATTGGCCAATTTTTGTTCTCTCCTTTAGCGAAGTACTAGGCAACTAATCAACCAAACGGTATTGCCCTCCTGTCTGCCCTCCTTCCTTTGCCTATCCCTTAACCCCTGCTACCACTGCCTGCGTCCCGGGTGGGCGCATGTAATATAGTTGTTAAGTTGTTGCTCTTTCTGCCCTACCTCCCCGGCGGCCTCTCTTGCCCCTACGACTAGGTCCCTATGGTACCGGCTGTAGAAGATGTGGAGGGTGTCAATCAGGTAGGGATGGCGGGGTTAGGATTATATGCGGGATGTAGTTGTGACTGTTATGCGATACAATCCCAAAAGTCAAGGGCGCGGTCCCAAAATGCAGGCTCGTTCGAAGTTCGGTCCGAGAAGGTTCCTAAGCAGTTGTTTGGGATGCCCAACTCTAAAACCACTTGACGATGGGACAACACAGTCAACAAATTCCATGGCTCAATCCGTTGTTTTGTTCCGCAGGACGGCGCAGGTTCATGGACTCATGGAGTCCTTGTAAGCTCAGGTTCCTTTTTCGCAGCATTTGATACAAAATGTTATGGACTGGATATATTGTCATTTTGGAGTGTAGAGAGGGCACCTCTCAAAACGGCCGGCAAGCAAACATCTCACCAAATGAATCGCGGAGGCGGCGCTCCTCTAAGGTTTCGTGCAGGTTGCCTACGTAGGAGAGTACTACCCTGAACTTTCGTGTCTCGGAACGGCTATCTACCTAACTCTGTCACACTGTCTCGCTCCGCCAGACGAGTTCAACCAGTGGGCTCAACCCCATGTGAATGTGGTAGATCGGTCATGGCCCGTCATGTGCCTGAGTCGACGAAGTTCTCTTCGATGAAGACCCGTCCAAAAGCAACCCCCCGTACACCACACCAGAATCCCAGCGAATTCCGAGGCCATGATAACTGTTACGCACCGTTCCGGACGTGATCTTAGTCCTACAACCATTGGTTTCACCCTCGCCGTAGTATTCCGTCTCGGTGGAATGGAACGAAACCCAGTTTCCGCAGCAACTGTGGGCAGCCCAGCCCCGGGTGGAGACCTCGTCCTGGTATATGATCCTGTTCTTTCCTATGACGAAGCAGTTGAGTAAAGTTAGGCTGGCGGAAAAGACCGTTCCAAGGATGGCACCGGCGACCATTGCGGGCCTGGTTGGGCAGATAGGGTAGCCTGGGGATGATGAGTTACAGTCAGTTTCAGAGACGGTTGATTAGGCAAGGTAAATGAGGTTGTGTTGATTAAACAGAGTCCCCCATTGGACTAATAAGAGAAAAGAGGTGTAATGATCTTACCTAGGTTGTCGGCCATCTTCACGAATGTATATGCCCCGAGGACATCCAATGGAATTGAAGTTACTGTGACTGGTACTTTAAATGCTAGAGCGTACGTGTGAGAGTCGGATTTGGACCAGCTGGTTCCAGGAACTACCGAGATAGGGGGCTTACCTCCATAATAATATACCAGGCATAAGGTGAGTGGGACGGACGCCACAACGGTGGCTACGAGAAGCTGGGTTGGCGCTGGATGGAATGTCAAAGGCACTCAGCTCCGGTTCTTGATAGCAGATTAAGGGGGAAAATAAGGTTTGTGCCCACCGTGTCCAAGTATCCAAGTTGATATGGCTGCCATCAACACAACATTTGACGCCATGGTTGTACCCAAGGGCACCGGGAGGATGATGAGGGCCGACTTCTGTGGCACTAATAGCATAATGAGGCCGGCAAAAGCCATAAGTCCCGATTTGAGTGCGCCGGCGGCAGCAGCATTCCGTAGTATCTCGGGGGTCAGGGGGGCACCAGCTGCGTGTGCGCCGGCTGCTGCTGCTGCTGCCGTGGCCGCAGCAGTAGTGAGGGCGACATCGAAGACGCGAAGGATTGCGAATATAATGACTTTTTCAGCAGTTCTGTTAGATCTCAGGCGGCGTCGCGGAGTGCTGCATCGTAGGTCCCACTTACGTTGGTCCTTCAGCCGACGCGGTCTCTGGTAAGTCAGGGAGAATGTTTGGATCTAGCTGTAGACGAACTGACTGGCGGCTTGAAGCAATAAAGTTGTTCAGTAGGGCTTCAAAAGTTTGTGGGAGGGATATCAGGCCGGGCGCGGATGCTTACCCAGACTCATCTTTCTTGGTCGAATGCACAGGATGCGCCAGTTAACGGCTGGAAGCGTGGTGGGAGTGGTGTCGGGTTCGGTTTGGTTCTTGGTGATAACTTTGGAAGGTAAAAAGTGCAGTTATTTGCCAAAATTATCATCTTTTTAACTCTTTGAGCTTGGTGGCATGGCAAGCTGAGGCCTTCAGCTCGGTGAATGAATCAATTAGCGCGCGTCACTTGATTGAGGCAACCCGCAAGTGCGCGGGAGAGTCTCCCGCTCGCGGCTCATTCCTTTGTTTGCACCGTGCCACCGCCTCGCTGCACTGCTTCGTTGCCTTGACACCTGACTCCTGGGCCCTTTGATGATTCTGGATCCTGCAACCACGCTCCTTCAGGCCGTCTGGGTCTGGGGAGGTGTAAGTAATTCCATTTCGATGCTTTGTTCATACCCATTTTCACCTCAAAGGCTCAAACAGAACGCCGTGCGTTTGACCAGCAGCATGACGACTCATCGCCTTAGTCCTTATCCCGCTGGCGACTATCACTTATGGAAACCAACTCGACCAACGCGTGTCTCATCAACCGAAATCCTGACGTGGGTAAGACCTCTCTCACAGTCTCTCTTTCTCTCTCTCTCTCACACACACTCACACACACACACTCATACACACACACTCACACACACACACACACACACACACACGCACAACCTACCTACCTAATAATAATTACATCTGCT